TAAAACAGTCTTCTTCATTCACAAAGTCTTCCTTCACCAATGCTTTAAAAATTTTCTGTGGCGCAGAAGGGCTCTCCAGCTCCTACTCCCTGAATCCTCCTCCTCCCTCCTCTTTCAATCTCTCTCTCTCCCTCTCAGTCTCTGCCAGGCGCTCGCAGAACCAACCGGCCCGACCAGAAAGAGAACAGGGCGGAAGGAGCAATGTGATTTTAAATGCTAGTTTTTTCCACCTAAGGCTTAGTTAAAATATATACAAAGCTAAAAGTTATAATAAAAATAAAAGTCCAAAGTGCTCACAAAAGATTCAACAGATACGGGAATTAACCAGAAGTAAAAAAATACAATCAACTAAATTGAGGACCGTAAAGAACTAAAAGTTTATCCAAACCAAGTCTTTTTATTTTATGGATGAGTCAAATGAGTCCCCAAAATGTTATATAGCCCCAAACACTTAGATATTTAGTAATAGCGGAAACAAAACATCAGAGTTTCCATGGTCCTCTTACCACCAGAGCAGTTATTATATTAGTAGTATAACAATGAAAAGTACCTCTCTTTGTTTATATACCTACATGGTGCTACTACTGACCCATCATCCCCAGGATTTGGAATGAGTCTTTTCTTCTAGGGTGAGTGATGGAGTTATCCAAAGCGTTCTCTACCTGTAGTCCAGTTAATCTTAGAATCAATGGCATGAAGCTGCTCTGTAATTGACAAGAGTCTCTATCTATAACCAAGAAATTAGTTTCTCTTGCAAAAAAAACCTGTTGACTCATACTTAGATTGATTAGACATGATGGGGCAAAAGTAGGTACAGTTGTGGGTATGCAAAACAATTTATTCCTGTACTATTTATTATTGTATTAATTTCCCTACACACAACTCTAAACCTACTTTTGCCCCACCCTGTATGGCTTTGGCCTTACTAGAAATATGATCTTACTAGGAAATTCTATTAGTTTACTCACAGATAGATTTATTATTAGTATCTACAGTTATTCTAGTTAGGAACTATAGATGTCCACGTGAACCTCATGAGAGATAAGAAAGGCAGCATTGGGACAAGTCTCTAATGCAGAAAGGGTATATATTTTATCTCTAAATTATGCATTTATTAGATTTAGATATCTTCCAGGTACATTATTGAGAATGACACTGGTGTTACATGATAATACAGTGGGAGAAGTAGAAAACACTCAGATGTGGAAATTTAAAGTTGAGGCTCTTTTTTTTTTTATTTTAAAATATTTGCCGAATTTGTTGGATCATACAGTACGTTAACGGGCAAAAAATTAAGGATTTAATGATAAGTAGCATATTTTGTCATGTATAATGCGCAGTTCGTTGCCCAGACTTTTGACGGAAAATAAGGATGTGCATTATACATGGGTAGTGCCTGGATTGCCTTGTATCTATTCCTGTATTTTGTAGTTACTTGTTATGTAAAATTTTTTGTACCATAATATATTAAAAAATAAATGCTAAAATTCCATAATAATATAAAAAACAAGTATCCAAATATAAATAAATAAATAATTGAATTAAAATTTTTAAATGAAAGATATCGTTTCCTGAAAGTTTGGGCCACAAAATGTGGGTGCACATTATACTCGGGAGTGCATTTTACATGGCAAAATACAGTACTCCTTGAATATTAATGTTTGTTTCCATGTAGTAATTCACTCAGAAATGTCTTGGTACTTAAAATTTCTAGCTACCTTCACTTTCAGAGACTCATAAATTCTATTCAGTCCTCATTGAAGTCTATAAATACCTTTATATTTCATTGTCATGTATTATATGCTCTCAGATACTTCCTCCTCCCTTTTTTAAACCAATGGAAAAAATATTTGAACATATATGTGAATAGAATACAGTGATAAATTAAAAACTTGGTGTGTACTCAGTACTACCTAGTAACATGTAGTTGCACACCAACACTTTTCCTTCCTTCTGTCCTTGCATTGGTAAGTCCTTTTATACAAAGGTGGACTGTGATGGGGAGGACATATCACTGTTAAAAAGAGTGGGTTAGCAAAGTTTCTGTTTCCAAAAGAATAGTCAGATCACCCTACTCAAGTCTTGCCCTCGAGCCTAACTCATCTATGGCATTTCCCCAGGACTCTCTCTGCCTTCTCTCCATCTCAACTTTTGCTAATGCTTTGGTTGCCAGTGTATAACCATCTCAACAATCCACTCATTAAAATCCTACCTCATTTCCTTGAAATCTTTATTTTGGTCAGGAAGAAGCCTCTCCTTTCTTACAGGTCTTACTCATGTCTTTGCTATGCAGCTGTTTAACTGATGGTCTTTTTAAAAATTTTTTTTAATTATTGTTCAAGTACAGTTTTCTGTCTTTTACTCCCATCCCAGCCCACCACCCCAAGTGCTCCCCACCTCCTTCCCATTTCCACTGATGGTCTTAACAACAGTCTCTTTATTAGTCAGACTAGATCTTTGCTCCTCTAGCAAAGATTTGGTCTCATTCAGCTCACATTTACTACACTAGCAGTTTTCATATACATTATTTCATTTATGTTCCCAAATTACCCAATGAGGGACTTTCACCAAAAAAAAATTGTATAGTAAACAGTTGAAGGATGAAAGAATAGTTGAATAAATGAATCCTTAAATGTCACTGCTGAATCCTTGAATATAGAAAGTTTAAGTTGTTGCCTATTGTTAGGAAAGTAAATATGCAAAAATAGTGCAAATTTAGCATGAGTGTGTGTGTAATCTGATAATGTTTACTTAGGATATATCTTAACATAAACACATCAGCCACGTAAGCAATATAAATAACCAATCTTATTAATGCATGTGTTGGGAAAGAAAATGGCATTTTTATTCTTTGAATTGATATCTCTGACTGTCTAGCAGATACTCCCATGGAACATTAAGAATATCAGTTTTATAACTGAAGGCAAAAAGAGTCTGTATAAAGTAAGTGGACTTTGTGTTCACAATGGTGACCAAAGTTCACATTTAAATACTTAACGTGACCTCTCTTATTTGTTTTATTTTATGGGTTTTGTTCTGCTGCATTTTGCATTTGATTCTAGATGAACACTAGAGTTTATTGTCTATTTTAGGACAAAAGCATCTTGGATGTTTAGATGATGATATTAAACTAGGCATTAAGCAACCTGTGGAGTTTATAATTATACACATATACCTAATATGTATATTAAGGCTCTTCACAACTTTGTACGGTGATTTAGGAGAGGGAGTTTAATAAATTAGGAATGCTGAATTACTGTTTACTCTTATTGACTATGACTAAGTGAATAACTGAATTTTCGTCAAAAGAGAAACGAAGTGGACATGGACACTACAGGGAGCTCCCTGTAAACGTGCACTTACTTATACTTGGTGTTTAAGGAACAAGGGTATTTACTTCAGAGAGCAAATTATTGTTTTTATTTTCTGAAATTAAAGGGATTTATTTCTAGAATACAAGTATCCCATATATCATTTAAGCATTAATGTATGTTGTACAGTAAACTCACTACTTGTTTTATAACACAGTACAATTTTAAATCCATGTGTAAATTATATGTTGGCAGATAATTTCTAAGTTTTACAAAGCTCCAATATATTTAAGAACTGTGTAGAGATGAATTTGAAAGTTTAGTTTACCAAAATATCTTTCTGATTGTGTTGGATTCATTTAGCACCATTATCACCACCACACACACAGACATTTGAACTGTCAAATTATAATTGATGTTAAGAAGGTATTAATTTGCTAGAGCTGTTATAACAAGGTCCCATAAATTAAGTGGCTTAAACATCTCAAGTGGCTTTAATATCTCACAGTTCTGGAGGCTAGTAGTCTGAGATCAAGGTATTAGCAACATTTATTTCTCTAAGGTCTCTCTCCTTGGCTTGTATGTAATGCTCTTTTCTCTCTGTGTTCACATGTGTGTGCAAGTGTAAACATGCCTGTATTTCATTTCCCTCTTATAAAGACTCAAGTTATATTGGTTTAAGGCCTGCCCTAATGACCTCATTGCAACGTAATTATCTCTTTAAAAACCTATCTGCAGATGTGGTCAAATTCTGAGGTGCTGGACTTTAGGGCTTCAACATATAAATTGGGGGAAGAAGGGTCACAATTCAGCTTAGAACAAGAAGAGAGGTGGGTGTGTTTCAAATGATTGGATTGCTAAGTACATGAAGAATTGTTTGTTATTAAAATGACACTTACATGACATTTATTTGTTTAACTTAGGAGCTATTTATGAATGATTAACCTACCTAAACCAAGTGGAAATAAAAAGTTAACTGTAGTGTTTAGCATTTATCAAGGACAGGTGACATTTTGCAGGGTAGCGATACTAGTTGTAATGTTGAACCAGTCATGAACTATCATTCTACATGCACAAGACATTGATTAAAGATCTCTTTACCTACCTCATGAGATCGTTCCACAAGTAAAATAAGAAATAAAGTCCCTTGAGAACGTAAATGTGCTAGACAAATCATTATTGAAATTTCTAGAAATAAATCATTTCTGTTCATTGCTGTTTAACTCTAGAACTTACCATGAATATTTTAGTCATTATAAATAAAAATGTCAACTACTTATTAGTAGGAAATTCTGAATGTATTGAGCATTGTCAAATTCAGGAAGTCAGTGGTGATGCACCAGAAAGACGAGTCGGAAAACCTCGCTTTAAGATTCAGCTCTTGAGAGTACTAGCTGAGTTAAACCCATTCAAATTATTTAACCTCTTGAGATTTATTTACTAATTTCTAACAAGTGTATTTACATACAGAGAATCATGTATAAGAAATAAATGTGATAACAATCATTTTGTAAACTATGAATCACTATCAAAACATAAGATGATGGCATATTGTTTATAATATAAATTTATAGTGAATGAGCAATCTGTTAATGAGTTTTGTTAACATTTAAATTGGAACAAGCAGACAGTCTTAATACCTGAGCATGTTATATTTATTTTCTCTTAAAATTAATACATTTTCAATAGATGGTCTACACAAAAGATGGAGCATAGCATCTTCACCAGAAAGGGAGATCACCTTGGTGAACCTGAAAAAAGATGCAAAGTATGGCTTAGGTAAGTCACTGTGGGATTCTTAAAGCCCATACATAGCATTGTCATCAAGGCACAACCTGCTTCTGATCAGAACACTGGCTGCCCACTTGCAACACCTCACCCCATATGCCAGTCAGGAAATACCAAAGATGAAATGCTTACAAGCAATACTTTCACCAGATTTAACAGTCCCATCTCACATGTGTTACCTATTAATCACATTTTCTATGACAGTCTCCACACTGCTGTGTGTCAAACAGGCTAATCATTAGTCACTGAAAACACCAGTATAATCAAGATCTTTTTAAAATGTGCTATTTCACAGGATTTCAAATTATCGGTGGGGAGAAGATGGGAAGACTGGATCTCGGTGTATTTATTAGTTCAATTACTCCTGGAGGACCAGCTGACTTGGATGGATGCTTAAAGCCAGGTACTTTACATTTCAGTAATTTCTTGACTGCTTTACTGTTCGGCACGAATATCTGTTTGCACAGATGTCAGAAGTGGAACTTGGGCAAAACAAAAATAATGGGAGGAGTGACATTTCTAATATATAGAGTGAATTTCTCTTTGTCATTGAAAATACTGGATTGTCTATTTTTACAGGAGACCGTTTGATATCTGTAAATAGTGTGAGCTTAGAGGGGGTCAGCCACTATGCTGCAATTGAAATTTTGCAGAATGCACCTGAAGATGTGACACTTGTTATCTCCCAGCCAAAAGAAAAGATATCTAAAGGTAATACAAATGTTGCTTAGCTGTGTTCTGTTTCATTTTCACAAGAACTTCAATACTTTGGTCAAATAAATTGGATTTAAGCTCATGTCCTTTCTGGACATTTTAGATGTATAGTTCTGATTATTTTAGTTTTATGGGTCACTATAGCTTTTTGATTTATTACTTCTATGATTTTCTGTCTCATTCCTCTTTAGTAATACAGTTGACCCTTGAACAACCCGGGGGTTAGGGGCAACAACCACCCACACAATTTAAAATCTTTGTCTACCTTTTGACTCCCCCAAAACTTAAGTTTTCTCCACTTAGGGGATTGGTTCCAGAGCCCCCATGGGTACCAAAATCCATGGAAGCTCAAGTCCCCTTTATAACATGGCATAGATCAATGCATACAGTTGGCCCTCCACATCAGCAGGCACCCAACCACAGGTCAAAAATAGTACAGATATTTATTGAAAAAAAAATGTGTATAAGTGGACCCATGCAGTTCAAATCTGTGTTATTGAAGGGTCAGCTGTTTCTGAATAAAAATGGATTTCCTATGCAAAATTGAGGGCATTAAGTATTGAATAAATTCTCCTGAGGACTTGTTTTCCATCACTTAGACCAAATTAGAAATGAAATTCTTTTTCATTGCCTATGTAATATAAAACACAACAGATAAAAACATGACATCTATGAAGGCCTATTCTGAACCAGATTATAAAAAGGAAAGGAAAACAATATACTAGCAATTTCATAATAATACCATTACCTTTTCAGTCTCAGTCCCTGCCATTGGCATGTTATGGGGGAAAAAAACACTTGACAAAGATCAGATGACTGAAGTTTGAGCCATGCCTGAGTCACTTAGTAGCTTTATGACATAAGTCCTCTTGAGCCACAGTTATTTTTTTCTTTAAAGAGGAGTCGATCTCGGGCCTGCCTTGTCTGCCTGGCACAGAGTTGTTATGAGGATCACGTGCAGGGCACTGTTTGTGAAAGAAGCACTCATTGCACGTGCAGTCTAGTCCAGCACAATGCAGTGGGCAATGGGAAGGACCACAGAGTCTCCACCACTTAGCACTATGTACCTGCAGTAAATCGCTTGAACTTGCTAAGCCTCACTGTGCTCACATATCAAATGGTGAATATAAAAGTGCTTATGTTGTAGACTGAAAATTAAGTAAAATAATGCATGTGAAGACTTAGCATATTGCCTGGTAATATTAAGCACTTAAATGTGAGTTTCAGCTGTCATTATTAACAGTATTTTTTCAAAAATGTTAATGTGCTAAATACATGTGAATTACTTTGATTCCAAAGATACTAGGAAAACATAAAATAATTAGTAATATATTAGCTAAAAATCAAGTTTAGATGAAAATGACTATTTTCTTCTTTTAGTCACTAAATATTGTATATATATTGTGTGTAGTATGTATAGTATACATACCATACCATATATATTGTGTTATATATAGTATGTATGTATATAAATAATATTTTCAGCACTTGTTTACTGTGAACAAACACAACAGGTAACTACACCACCACTGCCCCAAAGAGCCTTCTAACCTTATTGTAGTCTAGGTCTTTGGCAAAGGAAGATGATTACAGTTGAAAATGTAGCATATCTCTGGTTTTAAGCAACCAAGACCCAAAAAAGTAGAACATTGAGTTCCATTACTCACCATTATTCTGGAAAAAGAAATATGAATTCAGAAGAAACTCATTTTGTCCTTGAATAAAGTCCTAAGACTTCCATCTGAATTTTGTTTGTGATAGTTGTTTTATAGAAAATCTATTCATTCATTCAGCAAATATTTACCAAGTGCCTATGACATACAAGACACAGAACCTCTACCCTCATGACACTTTACCAGGGGGCACAGCTGCAGACGGACTCTAACTGTGATAGATGTTAAGATGAAGTCCAAGCACTTAACAGAGGAACCTAGAATGGAATCTATAAAGCTTTCTTCTCAGCAGACTTTCATGTGGTTATTTTATCTTTTACTATCTGTTCTCAGTAAAGATAAAAGCATAATGTTAAAGTATAGTTCTGTGGGGTTGTTCCTTCAGAAGGCCGTATTAATCTTTTCTCAGCGTGGAGCTATACTGTAGTGTAACTTGAAAACAGATAAAACTCCAAGAACATAGACCATTACCAGTACCTACCTCAGGCTATTGCTCTTAGTTATCAGTTAGCAGAGGTCTTTATTTTTTCTTCCTGTTTGCCATTTTTTTAAGTTATAGAATGTGTCCTAGTTTATTTAAATGAATCCATTTTATACAGAAACCTATGCAGTAAAAACCAAAAGTCTCCTTTACAAACAATTGGAAAGGACATATGGACAACAGCAGGGGGGGGGAGGGGAAGGGAGGCAGGAAGGACTGGGTGGGAGGAGGAGGGGAGGGCAGAAAACTGTACTTGAACAATAATAAAAAATAAAATAAAGTAAATCACAAAACATATTACAGTTAAAAATAAAGTTTGCAACCTGAAAATAAATAAAGTCTCTTTTACCCTGTTTCCTAAGGAAATTATTTGGTGTGTATGTAGCCTTATATATATGTTGTAATTTTTAATAAAGAATAGTACATATACATACATCCATATATACACTTTTTAAACTAAACTACAATTATTTTTATACTCTGAATATCAGTCTGTAACTTATTACTCAATATATTCTGGACATGCATGAATATGTATACCTTTTTGATATGGCATTACATTTTATGTTTCTGGGAATATCAAAATTGATATAATTTTTTCTTTTGTTGTACATCCAGGTTAGCTAGAATTATAATTCATATGCCTCTGCAACAAATACACTTGTTTACATACCATTGAAAAATGTACATGTTTCTAGAAGTAGATTGAGTATGCACAGTTCAATTTTTGACAAATGCTACCAGTTTGCCCAAGTTGTATTAGTTTATAGTCAACCAACTAGATAATGACAGTGTTCTTCACACCATCAGTGGTGTGAGAAATTATCATTCTCATTTTTGTCAGACAAATAGGTAGAAAAGTTCATTAAACTGCATATCCCTGATGAACAATGAGAATGTCTTTTCATATATTTATTAGTTTTGAGGATTTTACTCCTAGTACTCTTGTTCAATAGGGGTTCTAAACTTTTTCTTATTGACTTAGAAATTCTTTGTATATTAAAGATATTAAGTCTTTGATTAATTTTGTTATTGTTCCAAGTATTTTCTCTGAAGCTGCTCATTACTCTTCAGTTGTTCTTGACTTTGATTGCTTCATAAAACTTTTAGTTTCTTATAAATTTGCACCTGTAATTCTTTTGCAAATGTCCCAGGTGGTTTGTGTCTTACTTAGGAAAGCCTTCTTAAGTGCCTTTTGATAAGACCTGTATATAAAATATGTGGAGTTATCTTTCTTAATAATAACTTGGAGTCCAAAATATGCACTCTGGTATGGAAATATAAGATAAATATACAAATAACCATTAAACAAACAAAAAAAGCAAGAAATTTTGAAGGCCCCAATTAGTTACGAAATCAATAAAGTCTTCACAGAGGAGACACACTTGAAATAGGTAGAAATGGGGAGTTAAGGTGAAGTGGGTACACATTTCAATAAAAATTGCCTCAAGAAGGACCAGAGGGAGGAGCAAGGAAACAGAAAGCATCTACTACACTTGCTGGGTTCTTGTCACCAGTGCAGGCCCAGCTGAGGTGTGGTATATGTGATGTCCTGCCTAAAATCCACCCACCAGTCCTCAGGGAACATTGTGCATGTATGTAAGCACAGGCATGTGTGACACTAACCTGTTGTTTTCATTTTGGGTTTTGACTTTTAGTGCCTTCTACTCCTGTGCACATTGCCAATGGCATGAAAAATTACATGAAGAAAACTTCCTACATGCAAGAAAGCGCTATAGATTCTTCTGAGGATCACCGCTGGCCACGTGGTACCTTGAGGCACATCTCAGAGAGCTCTTTTGGGCCGTCTGGGGGTCTGAGGGAAGGAAGCCTCAGTTCTCAAGATTCCAGGACTGAGAGTGCCAGCTTGTCCCAGAGCCAGGTCAATGGTTTCTTTGCCAGCCGTGTAGGTGACCGAACCTGGCAAGAATCCCAGCAAGGCAGCCCTTCCCCTTCTGTGGTATCCAAAGGCCCTGAGAAGAAGAGGACCTCTACTGACAGTAACCAAAGCAAAGCTAGAAATCCAGGCGTTTCTGAGGCAACAGATTACTCTGATCGTGGAGATTCAGACATGGATGACGCCACTTACTCCAAGAGTCAGGATCATCAAACACCAAAAAAGGCATAGTTTAATTTGAATCTTTTTTTTAATTTAATAAACAACAGCAAATGTATTATAGAGCAGGACAATCTGCTATGATCTACTTACATTATTCTGGAAAGGAGGAATGATTTATCTATTATGCTATTAACTGCTACTGCATTTGATGCTAACTTTCAGAGGAACTAGCAGCTTTGAATACTAACTCTAAAATGGCTATTATTCTGGGAACTTGTTCCCTGATAACACAAAGGAATTTAATAATCAGATTATGATTGTTTTCTGCATGTCATTTATCTTTTGCACACTTTCTGTTATGAGAGAATATCTGAAAATTATTGTTCTTAAATAGTTCATGGAATAGCCAGGTAGTTGACTTTATTATAGATAACCTAAATTCTTGTGAAGTTCTGATGTGTGGCAATAAGAGCAACAACGTAGAAAAATTGCTCATTTTCTAGAAATGATACAAATTTAAACTCAAATTTATAAGCAAATTCAGAATAGAACCTTAAGCCCTTTTTTTTACTTAAAAACCAACATTCTTCATAAGAGGATTATGTCCTTATAAATGAGATTCAGCTATTATGCCTATGTTTATATTGGATTTGTAAACATAAGTGAAGTAAACATGGAGCCTACTCATCTTAAAATCTTCTAAGTGAAGAGCTCCTGCTTAATACATTATTGATTTTTTAAAGGGAATGGGAATGCTTTCCAAAATGCTTTGGGTGAGGGTTATGTAAAGCCAGATCTGACCTGGGTTCTGGGCTTCCCTCTGCCGAGTCTAGCTGTTTGACTGGAAGCAAACCCTAGATGCCGGTTTCCTCAGCCATGAAATGTGAAGCGTTGGATTGATGATCTAGGAGATCACTTCCAACTCCCATGATTTTTTAATCTACTGTATCCCTCAAGATCTTATTTTTTCTTAATTTTTCCCAAAAATACATAGTGAATCATCACGTAGTAATTCCTTTTGAGTCTAACAAGAAATCCTTTTGTTTTTTTTTTCTTTGTTAAGGAATCTTCCTCCTCAATGAATACATCCAACAATATGAATTTTAAAACTTTTCCTTCATCACCTCCTAAACCTGGAGATATCTTTGAGGTTGAACTGACTAAAAATGAGAACAGCTTGGGGATAAGTGTCACGGTACTGTTTGACAAGGTTTTCAAATGTTTTCTCTTCTCCATTTCCAGCAGCCTATTGTATTCCAATTTATTATTGAACTATTTTGCTTCAAGAGCAAACTTGTCAAGTACTTTCAAAATCAGAAATTGAACCATATCTTAAAACTTTTTTAAAAACTTAAGTTTGCTAGTCACTTTTTACTATGGTTACAAGATACTAAACCAATGCTACCTTCCCCCCCATAGGTTTCATGCTTGCTTAATCTGATATAAGACTTGGAAAATATAAAATTAACAAGTATGTTTTATATACATTTGATAGGTTCTGCATGAACATGGAATAATACATTTTAACAATTCAAGTCTACTGTATATGCCCTTTCCATAATAACTCTTAATTTGTAAACATGATTAGTATTTTAAAATTAGTTTCCCAAGGAATATATGTATTTTTAAGGTAGTTATAATATGTGCATAGACTACTTGCTAAAATTACTTTAAATTTTTTTAATGAATATACTATACCCTAAATGATAACAGTATCATTTATGGTATTTGAAGGATATTGGTTATGAAAAACAATTTAGAAACATTGCAGAAATGGAACTACTAGTATACTGATATCAAAAAGAAGGTATAATTGTCTAGCACTTATTAAAATATTATAACTCTTTTTTCCTTTTGCCCTTAACTTCTTCAGAATTTTATTATCTTCCTACTGTGAAGGGAAATAAAACCTGTATATCCACATGAGAGGGAGAGTCTACTCATTATCTGTCATCTGCACTATAAGCAAACTTCTCCACTAAAATCTTTCAGAATGAAAAAACAGTTTTCTCTGACTCGTGAAATTTGCTTTCAGATTAGCAAATATGATCAGAAGTATATTATTCCATATGCTACTTTTTCTGTTAGTTAAGTTCTCACACTAATTTTACATGGATGGATTGTGCTTTCTGACTGCTCATAATGCATGGTGTAGCTTTACAAAGGAAAAATTATTCTTTATATAGTCAGTATCTGGCATGTAATTTTCTGAATAAAGAGTTTTCCTAAAAAGCAACTGCTTTAACATTTGGAAAACTTATCTAGAAATATTGCTGGGTTTTGAAGTAACTGCATGTGCTGACATGCTGCAGCTGCTTTCGCTGATAAATTGAATGCTTTCTGGGTCTCAGATTTGAAAAATGGAGTGTGAACCTTTTTGTATTACAAAATGTTGCTTTATTTGTCTCTTTCCACTTAGGGAGGTGTGAATACCAGTGTCAGACATGGTGGCATTTATGTGAAAGCTGTTATTCCCAAGGGAGCAGCAGAGTTGGATGGTAGAATTCACAAAGGTAGAGTATTTATGTGTGTGTGGGAATTACATACAGGATTATCGCTGCAACTACACTAGAAATTAGAAAGTTAATAAAGACCTTCAAATTATTTGTAATATAAAATAAGGATATATACAATTATTAAGGCTTCAGCATTAAAACACTACTTGATATCATTCCAAAACTGCTTTTTTCCAGCTCATTCTCTAGTATCAGAAACTATCTTCACAGTGTTTTATACTTTCTAAGATGCCAATTATCAGAGAAGGGAGTGGAATAGTGCCCTTAGAAAAACACTGACATCTACATTTCTAATAAGAACTAACCAGGTTAGTTCCCTCCAACTGTTCTACGTTTGTAGTTCAATTTATCTTTTACAATGATTTAAATCAACTTCACAATATATATATATATCTTGTTCTAAAATGTATCTAAGGTTAGACATCCAGTCAAGATGGAGGTGTGGGTAAACACGGCTTGCCTCCTTGCATAACCACAGTAAAAATTACAACTAGACTGCAAAACAAATATCACCCAGAATCATCAGAAAATCGAGTTCTGTGGAAGTCCAACAACCAAGGAATTAAAGAAGCCACATTCATCCAGACGGGTAGGAGGGGCAGAGATGTAGAACAGCCAGTCCCAAACCCACATGTGGTGGATAAAAATTGGGAGGGATACTTCAGGAGTGAGGGATGCCAGCCCCACACCAGACCACCCAGCCCAGGGTTCTACCTTCTGTCAGGAAGGTAAGTCCCCATAACTTCTGGCTGTAAAAAACAGTGGGGGATGGGGCGGTGCAAGAAACTTAAGGATTCTCAGAAGTCTCCTCTTAAAGGGCTTGCAACAGACTTAGAACTTCCATATACTTACTACCTCTGGACTTCAGTACCAGGGCAACAGCTGGAAGGGCACTAGTGGCATATGGAGAGAAATTGTAGTGTTGGGTATCAGGGCAAGTGGCAGGGGCCCTTCCCAGATAAAACTCCAGAGGCCAGGCAGTGGCACTGGCCCCTCTCTGAGTCCCCGCACACACACATACACAGAGGGGCAAAATGGGTTGTCCACCCTGGTAATTACCTAAGGCTCTGCTCCATCTAACTCACCTGAGTACTTCTGTACAAGGGACACACTGCTAAGACAGAAAGTCAAAACAGCTCTACCTAATACATAGAAACACAGGGAGGCTGACAAAATGAGGAGACAAAGGAATATGGCCCAAATGAAAGAACAGCGCAAGTCTCCAGAAAAAGAATTAAACTAAATGGAGATAAGCAATCTATCAGATGCAGAGTTCAAAACACTGGTCATTAGGGTGCTTAAGGAACTCATTGGGTACTTCAACAGTACAAAAAAGACCCAGGTAGAAATGAAGGTTATACTAAGTGAAATAAAAATTTACAGGGAGCCAACAGTGGAATGGGTGAAGCCAAGAATCAAGTCAATGATTTGGAACAGAAGGAAAAAAAAAACTATTCAATCAGAACAGCAAGAAGAATTTTAAAAAAAAAAAAACAAGGTTAGGCTAAGAGCCTCTGGGACAAGTTCAGACACACCAACATTAGAATCATAGGGTTGCTGGAAAGAGAAGAGGAAGAACAAGAAATTGAAAACATGTTTGAAAAAATAATGAAAGAAAAATAATACAAGTCCAGGAAGCACAAAGAGTCCCAAACAAGTTGGATTCAAAGAGGACCACACCAAGACACATCATAATTAAAATGCCAAAGATTAAAAATAAAGAAGAAATCTGAAAAACAGCAAGAGAAAAGCACAGAGTTACCTACCAAGGAGTACCCAATAAGACTATCAGCTGATTTCTCGAAAGAAACTTTGCAGACCAAAAAGGGCTGGCAAAAATTTTTCAAACTGATGAAAAGCAAGGACATACAACCTAGACCACTCTCTCCAGCAAAGCTATCATTTAGAATGGAAGGGCAGGTAAAATGCTTCCCAGACAAGGTGAAGCTAAAGGAGTTCATCGTCACCAAGCCAATCTTATATGAATTGTCAACAGAACTTAAACATTTTAGAAAAAGAAGATCAAAACTATGAATGTTAAAATGATAATAAATTAACAACCGAATCTAAAAGACTAAGCAAATAAGCAAAGCAAAAACAAAATAATAAATATGGACATGATTCAGAGGGTTATTGGTTGAGAAGGGGCAGGGGGAGAAAGGGGGAAAGGTGCAGGGATTAAGAAGTACAGATTGGTAGGCACAGAATAAGTACGGGGATGTTAAGAAACAGTATAGGTAATGGAGTATTGGTAATAGAGTAGCCAAAGAACTTATATGTATGACCCACAGACATGAACTAAGAAGGGGAGTTGGTGGAGGGAATAGGGGTATCAGGTAGAGGGAGTAAAAGGAGGAAAAATTGGGGCAAATATAATAGCAAAATCAATAAGATATGTTAAAAATTAGTAAATAAAATAAATTAACAAAAATATAAAATAAAATGTACCTAAGATTAGCCGTAGAATTGGGAATGACAGTAAATACATATTAAGAAACTGTGACACAATATTAACCGTAATTTGTCTGAGTCTCTCCTCAACAAATTAATTGATACAAAACAATCATAGGGTATCAAAGAACATGGTTGTATTTTATGATTTGCTTCTTTCAAAATGACTGCCTAATTTATAGGTGACCGTGTCCTAGCTGTCAATGGAGTTAGTCTGGAAGGAGCTACCCATAAGCAAGCTGTGGAAACACTGAGAAATACAGGACAGGTAATAGATCATTGTACCAAATTTTTAAGATAGCTTCAAAAACATAATGTGTGAGATCTCCAAATTTCTTAGTCAAGAAACCAAGCCTGATTTATACACATATTGTAGTATTTTTTCCTTCCAAATTAAGAAGCAAGTACTACGACAAGATTTGGGGTTTTTTTGTTATTATTGTTTTATATGTGGGAAACTGGCTTTCTGTGTCATATTTAGCCCTAATATTACCAGACATCTGCCAGGAGAAATGATGGAGATTACATTTTTTTCATCAGCATCTACAAATATCTATTGATTTTAATTCTTGTCATTCTTTATCCCAAAGGCTAAATTTATTTATTTTTTGCTCAGTTACATTATGAGTTAGGGAGATTACCACATTATTTATAATAGTCTAAATATTATACTACAGTGATGATTTTATTCTAATAAAGTTTTCTATAATATGTTTATAATTTTTATAATAGAACATTTTCTTTTCATCATTTTTTCTTTTATATAGAAAATAATAAAAACTTGATTTTGAAGTTTTCAATCCCTTGCTTCTGTCCCTTGTTTTTTTTTTTCTACCTATATTTTGGTAGACCAGGTATTTACTTAACATGATTTTATACTTTCAATTATACAAAGTCCTGAAGATTTATGTACTTTCTTATAATTATTTTTAGTTAATAAAGTGCTTTTTCATTTGTCCAGTTGGTCCATCTGTTGTTAGAAAAAGGACAGTCTCCAGCATCCAAAGAACATGTCCCTGTAACCCCACAGTGCACTCTGCCAGAATCAGATGGCCAAGGTCAAGTCCTTGAAAAAATGATGAAGAAAGTTACTCCTGTCAAAGACTACAACTTTGTTACTGAAGGTCAGACCTTGGGACACTTGCAGTCTCAGCTTTCACTTATTCCTGGCATACCCAAACTTTGAGTTTTACATGTTGGATCACAATTCATGCCTCTAATTACTCTTGTCAAGTGTATAGAATCTGATGCAGCACTACGCTGAATTTTTTAAAAGACGTTGTAGGTTTTAGAGTCTGAAAGACTTTGGAAAATGAAGTCATGCATGAAACACATTATCATATACTAGTACCTGAAATAGCTGTAAAATTCAAAATCATATTTATAAGGGAAAAATATAAAAATATATAAACAATTGCTGAAAATGGCTTCAAACACACTGAAACCTTGATGCCTACATTTTCTGTAGTTCCATTTAACTCTATGGACTTGTCAAGCTGACCCTAATCCTGAGCCGAAAGTAACCTAGTAGATCCCAGATACTGGTCTTAGAAACTTTGACAGCCCTTGGACATACTACTAATTGGTAATAAAATAAGAAAATTAAGAATGATATAGTAGTGAGTTTGTCCTAAGGTCAAATATATTCATAATACAGAACTGTCCTTTATTCTCAAATTCCATTTATCTTGCTTTTCAGGGGCATAAATGCCATTTACTTTATAAGTAATAGTGGTGGTATATAGTCATTGTTTATTTTTTATTTCAAAAACTTATTTCATTACACAAATGTCAGCAACTCTGAATTAGTCCCCAAAATAAGGATGAAAAAGCAATCCAGCCTATATTTTTTCTGATTATGAAAGTAAAATTAGTATACCCTCTTGATCTCACTGCCCTATATTCTTTATTATTTCTAACGTTCTTTCTTTAAATATCTTTAAAAAATTATTTTCTAAGTATTGTTTTTGATATTTTTTTGTTGTTGAAAAATTTAACATTATGCATAAACTGCATAATGTTATTGCGGTTTACTGGATTGTCTTACACTCTCCCAGAACATGAGGATGCCATCTTTTCCATGCCCTTCTCTAACATTTGTTTTGCTCTTTCCACTTCTCTCTTATGGTATTCCCGAATTTCTCCTATTCTTCTCCTCTCCTGTGATTTTTTTCTCCTTTTTGTGTCATTCTACAGTATTTTAAAACACATGGAATTAAAGTATAATTTCATTTCAGAACCTTCTTTTCAAAATCCCTGATTTCAAAATCCTCTTTTCTGTTCAAGCAGTTAATCATGCAGTTTAGTTTTTCATTGAGAAGAGAGTATGAAATAGGATTTGATCACAGAATAAGAGTGCAATAAGTATATAAAACTGTCAGTATGGTGGGAAAATGGGCTTTTAAAAATGTGTCCAAAAGTATGACATTTTTATGTTTATATGTATACATAGCATGTTTTTTTTTGCAGAGAACACATTTGAAGTAAAATTGTTTAAAAATAGCTCAGGCCTAGGGTTCAGTTTTTCTCGAGAAGATAATATTATACCTGAGCAAATGAATACCAGCATCGTAAGGGTTAAAAAGCTCTTTCCTGGGCAGCCAGCAGCAGAAAGTGGAAAAATTGATGTGGGAGATGTTATTTTGAAAGTGAATGGAACCTCTTTGAAAGGACTGTCTCAGCAGGTGAGCCCCCAGCATTTGAAGTGTATCATTTAAACAGTGGGAGAGGTGGGCCTTTCAGAATGATTTGGTTATGGTGGTTTAACTGTGGCTTCATTTGTCATTTGTGGTCCCCCCACCCCTGCCCAGGAAGTTATATCCACTCTCCGAGGAACATCTCCAGAAGTATCCTTGCTTCTCTGTAGACCTCCACCTGGTGTGCTACCAGAAATTGACCCTGCTCTTTTGGTGAGACCTATGAAAAGTGATTTATATTTTTGTAGAATATCATTGGAGTGATTAATTCAGCTATAGTGATTTCATCTTTGTGTAATCTCCTGGGTTTTATCTTAGTTACTTCAGCTAAGATTACTATCTTGTGTGCATCACTTGACCTCTGAGTCCATTCTGTATTTGTAATATAAAGTAATTTAATATACTTTCTCTCCCTTCCAGTCCTAGAATTCCAGGATTCTGGGATTTTAGAAATTTGTTTTCCAAGCATAAGTAGAAACAGACATAAAATAATGGTTACAAAACCTTATGTTTATTTCTTTGTTGAACCAAAATTGGAAACATAATCCTCTTTCTGAACGGATAAAAATGAGAATTATTTAAGATATTTTTGCCTTTATTTTTAATATTGAAATCATAGAGTAAGCATTACAGTAGTTGTTCATTTCCCTTTCTTATGTCAAGGAATAACTAAGGGATCCAAAATCTATTTTGATGGTTATTTGTAAATTGCATACTGCTAGGTAAGAATCCATACATAGATGAATAATCATGCAACTGAAGAAAGACAGCCTTTGTCCTGTCTACTTAAAATCATGTTCCATTCCCAGTGAACATTACTCCTGGATATGGCAGACAGCAGTGTGTGGCCACAGAAACTTTCACCGTTCGATCAGACAGAGGGGGTGTGTTAGAATGATATCGATAGGAAAGTAATGTTTCTGTAAGGTGCATTATAAATAGCATTTGAAGAGACGACATTGATTTGGGTCACCAGTTGGGAACTGGTGGAACTCTCTTGATGAAAGTATCAATATATAAATTGGTACAATCTTTCTGGAAAGCAATTTGAAAATATTTAACATGGTCTTTAAAAACATCCTATGGGTTGATTATAGAAAATTCTATTTCTACTATATAGAAAATTACAAGGAAATAATGAGAAACTCAACTGAAATGCTACATACAAATAAGTTCTCCTAGATTTCTGTTAATAGTGTAAAGCTTTCCACTAGGAGAATGCTGAAATAAATTAATGGGATAGCTACCTGTGGGACTATTTATTATACAGTTTTATGCAGTTATTCAAAGCATATGTAAAGACCTCAGAAAATACTCATAAAAACCTAAAGTTAATATAAGTTGTCACATTCTGGTCTCTTTTAACATGTCCATTACAGACCCCGCTACATTCTCCAGCACAAGTACTTCCAAACAACAGTAAAGACCCTTCTCCACCTGCCTGTGCAGGGCAAGGCAACAGCTCAGATGAAAATGAAATGTCTGACAAAAGCAAGAAACAATGCACATCCTCATGCAGGAGAGACAGTTACAGTGACAGCAGCGGGAGTGGAGAAGAAGACTCAGTGAAAGCTCCAGCAAAGATACCAAACATGAGCTGGAGTTCAGCTTCGCATCACACCCCAAGCAATGCAGCATCACAGGCACAAAATCAACATGAGGCAACCAGAAGTCAAGAAGACATCATTTGTACCATGTTTTACTGTCCCCAGAAATTACCCGATAAACCAGGACTTGAACACAGGTATTGTCAATATTTTAATGCATTGCACTCAAAGCAGCTGGTTGTTGTCAGTACCAGGAGCAGCAAGCCACATTTCTCTAAGAATGAAGCGTGCCTATGTGGGAACCTCTCAGTGATTAAGTAGATGGTGGCTCTGTTGGCTGTCTAACTATTTTGACTGACAGTTTCAGCTAGCAAGCTACTAAGCTCTCTAGGCATTCAGTCTGAGCCTTGCTGCTCTCTTCAGCATATTTACTAAAAATTGGGAAAGTTGTTTGTATTTCACCATCATTCATTTTACTTAACAGAAAGAGAATAAACCTGTTAAGACAGTGATGAGGTGGAAGAGTAGAGAGTAGAAATATGAAGGGGAGAGATTTCTAGCCAAGATGGAGGTGTAGGTAGATACGCTGTGCCTGCTCACACAACCAAAAGAAGGACAACAACAATTTAAAAACAAAAAACAACCAGAACTGACAAAATCAAACTTATGGAAGTCTGATAACCAAGGAGTTAAAGAAGACACACTCATTCAGACCCGCAGGAGGGGCGGAGATGGGTGCGTGGAGAGGACTCGCAGCAAAGCGTCAGTGGAGGACTAAGGTGGGCAATGCAGCAGCTGGTGGACCCAGCACCAGATTGTGGAATGCAGCGTGCAAGGCTGCAGCTGGCCGGAAAGACTGTGGTGGCAACTGGTGGAGTGGGTGATCCCCCATTCATGCACAGATAATCCAGGAGGAACAATTGGGGAGCAAGACAGACCTAGCTCCAGCGCAGGGAAATAAAGCTTCAAACTACTGATTGAAAACACCTGTGTGGGGGTTGAGGCGGCAGGAGGAGAAATTCCCTCACAGGAGAGTTTGTTGGAGAGACCCACAGGGTCCTAGAATGCATACAAACCCACCCACTCAGGAATCAGCACCAGAAGGACCCAATTTGCTTGTGGGAAGCAGGGGAAGTGACTGAAATCCAGCAGAGAGCGGAGCAAGTGCCATTGTTCCCTCTTGGAGCCCCTCAGCATCACCAAGCAGCGATGTGGTGAACACTGCCGTGGTGAACACCTAAGACTTCACCCCTCACTATGTAACTATGTAACAGGCACGTCAAGACAAAAAAAAATTTCCCCAAACAAAAAAACAGATCAAAGTGTCAGAAAAAATATGACTAAATGACGAAGAGATAGCCAACCTATCAGATGCACTGTGCATCTGTGGTTGAGATAGCCAGCCTATAAGATGCACTCACTATCCATCTGTGTTTTGAACTATGGTTCAAACCACTGGTAATCAGGATGCTCACAGAATTGGTTGAATTTGATCACAAATTAGATGAAAAAATGAAGGCTACAACTAAGTGAAACAAAGGAAAATGTACAGGGAACCAATAGTGATGGGAAGAAAACTGGGACTCAAATCAATGGAGTGGACCAGAAGGAAGAAAGAAACATCCAATCAGAAAAGGCAGAAATAAGAATTCAAAAAAATAAGGAAAGGCTTAGGAACTTCCAGGACATCTTTAAATGTTCCAACATCCAAATTATAGGGGTACCAGAAGGAGGAGAAGAAGAAGAGCAACAAGTGGAAATGTTATTTGAAGAAATAATAAAGGAGAACTTCCCCATTCTGGCAAAGGAAACAGACTTCCAGGAAATCCAGGAAGCTCAGAGAGTCCCAAAGAAGTTGGACCCAAGAAGGAACACACCAAGGCACATCATCATTACATTAGCCAAGATTAAAATGAAGGAGAGAATCCTAGAAGCAGCAAGAGAAGAGGAGACAGTCACCTACAAAGGAGTTCCCATCAGACTGTCAGCTGATTTCTCAAAAGAGACCTTACAGGCAAGAAGGGGCTAGAAAGAAGTATTCCAAGTCATGAAAGGCAAAGACCTACATCCAAGATTGCTCTATCCAGCAAAGCTTTCATTTAGAATGGAAGGGCAGATAAAATGCTTCTTAGATAAGGTCAAGTTCAAGGAGTTCATCATCACCAAGCCCTTATTATATGAAATATTAAAGGGACTTATCTAAGAAAAGAAGATTAAAAATATGAACAGTAAAATGATAGCAAACTCACAATTATTAACAACCACACCTAAAACAAAAACAAAAGCAAGCTAAGGAAACAACTAGAACAGGAACAGAACCACAGAAATGGAGATCAATAGGGGAGGGGGAGGAGTGTGAAGGTACAGAGAATAAGTAGCATAGATGGTAGGTAGAAAATAGGGGAGGGTAAGAACAGTATAGGAAATATAGAAGCCAATGGACTTATATGTACAACCCATGGACATGAGCTAAAGGGGGGGGAAATGTGGGTGGGAGAGAGTATGTAGAGGGCAATAAGGGGGGGAATGGGATAACTATAATAGCATAATCAAAATATATTTTAAAAGATTAATCTTAATATTGAAAAAATAAATATAAAGGGGAGTGGTATGGAGGAAGGGGTAGAGAGTTTGCAGAGCGTAGGCTATAATATAAAAGACTACAGGAAATGGGGAACAAAGAAATAATTGAAAGCATAGAGGTATAGAACAACTACGTCTATACCTCTAATAGTTATTTATACATTTTATTGTTTGGTTATGTCTTTGCATATATCCAGGTCCAATTATATGTATTCAAGTCTTTTCCTATTATATCATGCAAAATAACCATAGGAATTAAGTCTTACTTTTTTTCTATTCTCTTATATTGAAACAAATATTAGGCTTCTGAAAACATTAGCTTCAGCCATGAATTAACAATTAGGGATCAAAAGTATAGTTAACTTATTTTACTGATTTGTGCATCTTCAAGAGCTTCAAAATAGAACCTAGAAGGAAAATAAAAGCTGGTAATGTTAGCACATAACAAGTGTGAAATAAATTCACAGTCCAGAATTCAATGAGAGGTAGCTAGGATCTCAACCTAAAGCAAACATGAACACTTGTTAAACATTTTCTGTTTGTGGCACAAACTTACTATATTGATACTGAAATGTATTTGAAAAAAAAACATTATTTCTTTGTTCCTGTAGTAATCCTCCTTCCCCTTTACCACCGGATATGACTTCTGGGCTACCCGAAACAGAATGTGTTTCCACTAATTTAACAGACAAATATCATATACATCACACTTCTGAACCAACAAGACAAGAAAGCTTGACATCTTTGAAAAATGATTTGGAGAACCACCTTGAAGACTTAGAGCAGGTGAGTTGTTTCATCTGTGTTAAGAAAATTCCATAGTACACACACAATTTCTCTTTAAGGAAAAGACTTTTATTTTACTTATTTTATTTTTTTTAAAGATTTTATTTATTTGTCTTCAGAGGGGAAGGGAAGAAGAGAGGAAGAGAAATATCATTGTCTGGTTGCTTCTTGTGTGTCCCCTGCTGGGAACCAGCCTGCAACCCAGGCATGTGCCCTGACTGGGAATCGAACCGCAATCCTCAGGGTCACAGGTCCACACTCAGTCCACTGAGCTACACCAGCCAGGGCGAAAGAACTTTTTTAGAGTACCTCCATATTCATGCCCGGTAAACAGATAACCTATCTGGTGTGTTTCTGTGCTTAGAATTAGGGGAAAGGCAAAAAGATCTAGGTACAAATCCTGTTTTTACCACTGACCTGCTGCCATTTGGTAGACACCTGCAGAGAAATTACTTAATTCTTCTGAGTATCAGTAGTTTTGGCTATAAAATGGGGCCAGAAACCTCATACAATCGTGGTAAGGAATAAATGGAATAGTATAAAGCAGGGGTGTCAAACTCATTTTCACCAGGTACCACATCAGCCTCATGGTTGCCTTCAAAGGGCCAAATGTCATTTTAGGACTATGTAAATATAACTGCTCCTTAACATAGGAGCAGTTCAGTGAGAGCTCGGTGCTGCCACTAAGTGGAAACAAGGTGTGGGCCAGATAAAACAAAGTGGAGGGCTGGATTCAGCCCAGGGGCTTTGCGTTTGCCACCTGTGGTATAAAGAGAACCTAACTGAGTATTTGCTATTTGCTAAATTCTGATGGATTACCTATTTAATTTTTAATCAGGGTTGAATGTAATTTTTTCACCTTCACACTTGTTTTTGTGTGCTGAAATGTACTTCTTTACATCCTGCAAATTCACTTTGGAAATCAGATTTTCAAGAAAATATCCTTTATATTGATTGAAAGTCAGTATTTTTAATAGTGTTTTTATTATCATGTAATAAATACTTATTGTAGGAAAATTTAAAAACAATAAGCATTTGGGAGTTAATTTTTCCAAATACTTTGTTTGCCTGTAATTGTGTGTGTGCATGTGTATAGCATCTGTACCTTTTATTCTCAACAATAGAGTAAAAATAGTCTTTGAATGATTTCCTTAGAAATCTGTCATCACCCCTGTAAGCTGCAAGCAATCTTGATGTGTCCACCAAAATCATGTTTTAAAAAAAATTTTTATACAACTAAATACATGAAGTTGTGCTATTTAGTTACCCAAAGACTTCATTTAAAAACAACAGCAATAACTTTATTTTGTGGCTCTTGGCATCTGTGTTGGTTGTCTAAATATACATGAAGAATTTTCTGAACCTTCTCTTCAAAAAGTGTTCTTTAATGATCTGGGTATAGCCACTAATGTATCCTTGTTTATTCTGAAAATACAAGAATCAAAGCATGAATGAGTTCTGTCTCAGATGCCTCTAAACAAACACATCATGTTGTATTTAAACCCAACTTTTACTTTGGAGGGCATTCTATCTAGAATCAGGTAGACCTGGCTTCCTCATTTGGAATATATAAGTAACCTTTTAAGGTTAGGTTTCCTCCTCTGTTATTCAATGGAAGTAATAGACATCATTTTGTTCATCTGGAAGGCAGCATTGACATTCTAAAGGAATCACTGTTTTCTTCACTTAGGAAGTAGAACTCATCATTACTCTAATTAAATCAGAAAAAGGAAGCCTGGGTTTTACAGTAACCAAAGGCAATCAGAGTATTGGTTGTTATGTTCATGATGTCATTCAGGATCCAGCCAAAAGTGATGGAAGGCTAAAACCTGGGGACCGTCTCATAAAGGTGAGACATTACATGGAATGAACTTGTGCAAATGTGGCCAAAGAGCAAGCCAGGGCTAGAGAAGAAAGAACAAGAAGATTGAGTTAATATAACACTCTGTTTCTGTGTTTGGTTTATGTTTTCCTTCTCCATCTCTTAAAAGTAAAGGCCTTTATGTAGTTAACAGTTCTAGGAATACTTAAAATTATCTTTTTAATTTAGAAGTCCTTGGTTAGAAGAACTAATCTCAGTTAAAGCATTAAACAAGCTATGTTGGGTTTCAGGGACAGAAAGTTTCTTAAATTACTATGAGGATAAATGTCCTAGACTAGCGAAATAATGATGCCTTTTTTAAGTATTTACATTATTATTTTACTTATAATTACTTGATTTCCAGAGGATAGGGAATTACCAATAAATTAGAAACCAGTCTTTATTGTGAATCTTTTACTGACTAATATATATTATATTTTTAAAAGTTAGGGGGATTACTGTATTTTCTTGGCATATTCTCTGTTCCAAATATTATCATCCTATTTTTCCCCTTTTTCATTTTGGTAGGTTAATGATACAGATGTTACAAACATGACTCACACAGACACAGTGAATCTGCTCCGAGCTGCACCCAAGACAGTCAGATTGGTTCTTGGACGAGTTCTAGAGTTGCCCAAGATGCCAGTGCTGCCTCATTTGCTGCCTGACATTACGCTGACATGCAACAAAGAGGAGTTAGGTAATGCAAATTTAAGCTTTCTGCAGTGTGATTTTTCTTGGCAGGATTACAAATAAGTACTCTTAAGGCTAAGGAAACAAATATTTTTATTCACTGAAGGTTTTTCCTTATCTGGAGGTCATGGCAGCCTTCATCAAGTGGTATATATTAGTGATATCAATCCAAGATCGGTTGCAGCAGTTGAGGGTAATCTCCAGCTATTAGACATCATCCACTGCGTGAATGGAGTCAGCACACAAAGCATGACCTTGGAAGAAGCTAAGAGAGTATTAGACATGTCACTTCCTGCAGTGGTGTTAAAAGCAACAAGGTACCATTCTGCAATTATTTGTGGGTTTTGTTTGTATGTGCTTATGCATTTCAGGCTATTGTTTTACTTATGTTCCCTTAAAAAGATTATTAGTGAATTTGTAATTCACAGACTAAACTAGCAGGATTTAATAGTTACGCAGACTTTCTGATAGACAATATATCCTAAGAGCACTTTAAATGGATTAGTGTTTGGATACATGTTTGCAGTTATTAATAGGATGGTTATGACATTTGTCACTTAGGATGGTTTCAGTTGCAAGTAACTGAAGATACATCTCAACTTGGTTTTAAACGAGAAAGGGAATTTACATGGCTAAAAAGATTATGGAGTCAACAGGTAAAATTTCATTAGGCCTCTGGCTCCATTTCCTTGCTGTTGCACTTATTCTCCACCCTGTGTATGTGTTTCCTTCACGACAGTCACATTTCTGTGTCAGCGTAGTGCCTCACATCTCCATACGGCACCGTCCAGGGCGGTCTCCAGTCAAAAGTCTCACCAGTCACTGTGGTAAAGCAAGGACTGTGTGCTGATTGTCTTAGACCCGAAGTAAGGCCAGTCTCTGAATTGACACAAAAGAATATGAATAGATTGATTGGTTTAGGCCAGTCTGGGCACATTCTCAGTGTTGCGACAGTTAGTCCTACCTAAACCTCATAGCTGTAAGCAATGTGGCATAGAATTACCACATCCACTATACCTCATAACAATCTTACATCATAAGAAATGCTAATAGCAACTTTTCTTTCACTTAAAAATGAAATAAATTGGAAAAAATGTATTTATTCGTTTCAAATAACTACAAATGTAGTGGCTTAAACAACAGAAATTTACTGTCTTAATAGTTTTGGAAGTCAGAAATATGAAATGGGTCTCAGTGGGTAGAAAATCAAGGCAGAGCTGCATTCCTGCTGTAGGCCCCAGGAGACAATCCATTTCCGCGCCTTTTCTGCCTTCCAGAGGTTGCCTGCATTGGTCAACCCACGGCCCCCCTCCGTATGCAAAGCCAGCAGTCACAGCACTCCGCTCGTCCTCACATCTCTGCCTGGCTTGCTGCCTCACTTTTCATTTATAAGGAACTCTGTGATTACATTGAGCTCAAGCAGATAATCCAATACCATCTCATCTCTACATCTTTAATTTACTCACATCTGCAAAATCTCTTTTGCTTTGTAAGGTTCAATATTCACAGGTTCCAAGGGTTAGCGTGTACATGTGCAGGGGGAGGAGGTAAGAGGGACCTTACTCTGCCTACCACAGTATACCAAGTACAGGCTTTCTAGACTACAGGCTTATATAAAGGGAAACTGCATGTTTATATCTGTAATACATGGTGAATTTTATGGAGCGTATCTTTCTAAAACATAGGAACTATTAATTAAATCATTTGATAGTAAACTTATTTGCTCCTTCTAAACCTTTAAGTCAGTTTGTGTACATTTTTCCTTGAGTGCACTTCCTGACCGTATTTTTCTAATATGTTTCTAAAAATTAGATTTGGCATGAAGTTACTTTCATAGATATAGTTGAATGTTAATTAGTGGAGAAGGAAAGGGTTCAAACAAACTGAAAATTTTTGTGTGAAAATTAACATCTCTTTTAAGCATAGATCTAGCTGAAATTTTTTGCCTCAAAATCAGTAGAGCACCCTTTACCCTAGCTTAGAAATTACTTTCTTTTTCTTTCTACTTTTATCATTTCTGTGGTCACTAAAGATAGAGTAGTGGTAGTCACAATTACTTCTGCCTCTGTTCTTCTCCCAGCTCTCTCTCCACCATTATATATATCTGATGTCTTTAACATCCGCAGAGCAGCAATAATGGAGGGATGTGTATTGTAATTATGTGTATGTCAAGAACTATAAAGGGTCTTTGATTTTTACCTTACTTGCAAGCTAGTAAGTTAGCCAGTTATTGTTTCCTGCATGTCAGTAGAAGATATGAAACTCCTGGATCAGGAACAAAGTATTTATCACAAATGGTATTGCTCTCAGTTCTGTATGTCCTCAAAGTCCCATGGAAATGACATATGTGGGCCCAGTGGATTCCTGAACATGTAATGGATTGTATGACAGGAGAGGAATACTTTAAGAGAGGCTGGGAACCTGACTCTTGCAGGGGTGTACAACCCATATCCTTCAGGCCACATGAGGCCCAAGATGGCAATGAATGTGACCCAACACAAAATGGTAAATTTACTTAAAACCTTTTTTTTTGCTCATCAGTTTTTGTTAGTGTTTGTGTATTTAATGTGTGGCCCAAGACAATTCTTTTTCCAATGTGGCCCAGAGACACCAAAAGGTTGGGCACCCCTTTTAGCATCTTAGTATGGCATCCTGCTAGGAAGCATGCTTCTGGTTTGAGAAAAGAGGTTTTATCATCCCTCGAGCTTGCTCACTACAACCATAGCCTTGAGAATTGGCACAGATAATATGTGGTGATGGCCTTGCATTTCTGGGCTACCCAGGAAGAATATGCAGGGATGCTTAGGGCCCATGGCACGAACTGCCTCTCCCATCACTGTACATGTTAGGCAATGTCCCTTTTTCTCAAGTATTAGCAACAGTAAGATTGCTTGCTAGTCCTCTGTTTCCAAGGTGCTCTCTTTTTTACTGTTTTTCACATTGGGTGATACTATTCTTCTGATGATCCTTTGAATATATATTTGTGTGTATATATATGTATGTATACATATATAGGGAGACATATATAGATATATAGATAGAGGGAGAGTCTAGATTTTCACTTTAAATAACTTAAAAGTAAAACACACATCAAGAGCTTTAAGTTCATAAAACTTAGTGATCTGTGATTTCTAAGTTATCTTTGAACTATGACCTGAGTGACTGAGAAGCAAGTTACTAGGTCATGAATATTACCAGTATTTGAAATGAGAGGGAAAACAAAGTGGTATGTTAAACTGAAACCCAGAAAGAGACTATGTAAAGAAGTGATTCTTAATCTTTTTTGAATCAAGAATATCTCTTTTAAGAAAATACATAGATGAAGACTGATAAAAAATTTTGTCTGAAGCTTTAGGGTATGCCTTGAAACCCATCTAAAATAAAACTCCTGAGGCTAATTAACAAATAGTCCAAAGGGTATTAAAACAAACATCTTAACTAATTTGCAGTTGTCTTTCATTTTTTTACAACACAGAGATGGTCAGCCAGTCATCCCAAGTTCCAGGAAGTATGCTGTTTCAACCCCAAAATCAACCAGAGCCAATGGTAAGGATACATCCATTTTATAACACAACTGGTTTTGGAGTGGTAACTATATTTTTCCCAGATGCAGGTTTGGAAACTATCACTAAAAGTGTTTTTATTGTCTTTCCAAAGTGCTATGCAAGATCTCTATCTACCCCATAAGGTTATGATGAGGCATAAATGCAATAATATATGTGAAAGGTCACATTGATTGTCACATAAAAATTTAATCAGTTTCTTTTTTTTTTAAACTTTTTTATTGATTATGCCATTACATTTGCTCTATTCCCCCCCACCCTGCATACCCTTCCCCCATTATTTCCCCCTTTAGTTCATGAACACGTGTCTCAAATTCTTTAGATTCTGTATTTCCCCTACTATTCTTACCCTCCCCCCTATCTATTTTCTATCTACTGTCTATGCTACTTACTTTCTGTACCTTCTCCCCCCTTCTCCTCCTCACACTCCCCTGTTGCTAACCCTCCATGAGATCTTCATTTCTATGGTTCTGCTCCTGATCTGGCTGTTCTCTTAGTTTGCTTTTGTTTTAGGTGTGGTTGTTAATAACTGTGAGTTTGCTGTCCTTTCACTGTTCATCTTTTTTATCTTCTTTTTCTTAGCTAAGTCCCTTTAACATTTCATATAATAAGGGCTTGGTGATGATGAACTCATTTAATTTGGTCTTATCTGAGAAGCACTTTATCTGTCCTTCCATTCTAAATGAAAACTTTGCTGGGTAGAGCAGTCTTGGTTGTAGGTCTTTGGATTTCATGACTTGGAATACCTCTTTCCAGCCCCTTCTTGCCTGTAAGGTCTCTTTTGAGCAATCAGCTGACAGACTGATGGGAACTCCTTTGTAGATGACTGTCCCCTTAGCTCTTGCTGCTTCTAGGATTCTCTCCTTCATTTTAATCTTGGCTAATGTAATGATGATGTGCCTTGGTGTGTTCCTTCTTGGGTCCAACTTCTTTGGGACTCTCTGAGCTTCCTGGATTTCCTGGAAGTCTATTTCCTTTGCCAGATTGGGGAAATTCTCCTTTATTATTTGTTCAAATAAGTTTTCCACTGGTGGCTGTGCCTTTCCCCCTTCTGGTACCCCTATAATTCGGATGTTGGAACATTTAAAGATGTCCTGGAGGTTCCTAAGCTTCTCCTCATTTTTCTGAATTCTTATTTCTTCATTCTTTTCTGTTTGATCATTTTTTTCTTCCTTGTGGTCCACTCCCTTGATTTGAGTCCCAATTTCCTTTCCATTACTATTGGTTTCCTTTGTATTACCATTCATTTCAATTAGTTTAGCTTCCATATGTTTCTCTAATTTGTGACTAAAATCAACCAGTCCTGTAAGGATCCTGATAACCAGTGTTTTGAACTGTGCATCTGAAAGACTGGCTATTTCTTCATCGCTTAGATCTATCGGTTCTGGGGCTCTGAGTTGTCCTAGAGCCATTTTTGGTCTATTCGTGCTGTTAAGTAAGCGGAGCCAAGCCTTAGTTGTTTACCAGGACAGGGCGACCCAGGTCGCTGGTTTGTGACGCTGTGTGTGGGGGCGTGGTCAGAGAGGGAGCAATGGCGGTCCTCTCCGCTAGCCCAGCCCATCCAGTCACACCGCTCGCCCCTGGGCTTGTTTATCCGATCGGAATTGTGCGAGCCTGCTGCCCCGCGCAGGCTTCCCTTCTCACTGGTTTCTCCGCACGCAGATGCGCGACCCACCGACCGACCGAGACAGCCCGCCACGCCTCTTCCCTGTGCGCTCCCGTAGCTAGCTCACGTCAGCGCCTTCGGCTGCTTGCGCACCGCACCACCCGGCAATTTTTTCTTGCTAACCTGCTCCGCTGCTGGCTTCACTTCTCTTACCAGTTTAGCTGAGCATTTAGTTGTCTTTGGACTCCGTATTGTCGATTTTCCGTGTGGCTTGGTTGTGATTGTTGTTAAAAATAGTTGTTCTTAGATTTGGTTGTGCACAAAGGCAAGGTGGTTCCTCCACCTACGTCTCCATCTTTAATCAGTTTCTTAATTTATCATCTGTTGGGCACTGTTCGGGGCATTATGAATATGACAATGAGTAAACAAAGTATCTGTCTTACATTTTAGCATAATAATGTAGATTGTAGTATTAGTAGTTGTGGCATATAGTTGTATAGTAGTTGTTATTATCCTCCTTTTATAGAAGGGGAAACTGAGGCACAGAGATGTTCACAGAGTTAATAAATAATAGAGCCAAAATTCAAACCTAGGATATCTGACTTCATGCTCTCATTTACATCATCAGTCTCAGTAATTATAACTTTTTAAAAAGATCTTATTTTTAGAGAGAGGGGAAGGGAGGGAGAAACATTGATTGGTTGCCTCTCTCACGCCTCCAGCCAGGGACCTGGCCCGCAATCCAGGTGTGTGTCCTGACCAGAAATCTAACCAACTTCCTTGCCCTTTGCCAGATGATGCCCAACGCACTGAGCCACGCCGGTCAGGACAGTAACTGTAACTTCTAATGCGAGTGTTAATGTGATAAGAGTGTTAACCACAGGGAACAGTGGTTGAAATTAGTGTATTTGAAATGTAAATTTAGTACTTCAAACATAACTAAACTTTTAAGTTACCGAATGCAGCATCTAATTTCTTTATGAATTCTGAAAAATCATATAGTATTAATAATGACTCATAATGAGGGGAATGTAAAATGGTAGAAACCATTTTGACAGCTTCTTAAAATTTTAAACATATACCTACCATATGATCCAGCCATTTCACTCCTATTTGTTCACTCAAGAGAAAGGAAAGCATTTATCCCTACACAAAAACCTGTACAGGAATGTTTCTAGCAGCTTTCTTTGTAATAGCCAAAATTGGAAACCACTGAAATGTTGAATGAGTAAACCAACTGTAATATATCCAAACAACAGAATACTATTAAACAATAAAAATGAATGGTCTGTTTTATACACACAGCAACATAATTAAAATAAATTCAAATAAGTCTGCTGAGTGAAAGAACCCAAACAAAAAAGAATTCATACTGGGTTATTCTGTTTATTCAGAATTATAGAAAATGTAGCCATGGTGGGTGTAGCTCAGTGGATTGAGTGCTGGCCTGGGAACTAAAGAGTTGATGGCTAATTCAATTCCTAGTCAGGACACATGCCTGAGTTGTAGGCCAGGGCCTCAGTAGGAGGCACGTGAGAGGCAACCACACATTGATGTTTCTTTTGACCTCTTTCTCCTTCCTGTCTCCTCTCTCTAAAGATAAATAAGTAAAATGTAAGAAAGTGCAAATTAATCCGTAGTAACAGAAAGGAGATCCGTGCTTGCCTGGAGGAATGAGGGGGAGAGGGCAGTTCAGGGAACAGGAGGGAGCAATTACAAATAATAAACTTGTATTTTATGCTATTCTAATGTGATTATTTTGAACCAGTGGTTTATTGTTAATTTTTCATTTTTTCCCTAGAAATTTAATAATGGACTATATCTCCTGAAAGTAATAATAAAAGGCATTCTTGGGCTCTTTGTAGCATTATACACAAAATTATAGAAATTTATTCCTTACCTGTATTTCCTCTTTTCTTTTTTTAATATATTTTATGGATTATGCCATTACAGTTCTATTTCCCCCATTCATTCCCCTCCACCCTGCACACCCCTCCCCCACCATTTTCCCCCCTTTAGTTTATGTCCACATATCTCAAGTTCTTTAGATTCTATATTTCCCCTAATATTCTTGCCCTCCCCCCTATTTTCTACCTACCATCTATGCTACTTATTTTCTGTACCTTCTCCCCCCTTCTCCTTCTCCCACTCCCCTGTTGCTAACCCTCCATGTGATCTCCATTTCTATGGTTCTGCTCCTGATCTAGCTGTCCTCTTAGTTTGCTTTTGTTTTAGGTGTGGTTGTTAATAACTGTGAGTTTGCTGTCCTTTCACTGTTCATCTTTTTTATCTTCTTTTTCTTAGCTAAGTCCCTTTAACATTTCATATAATAAGGGCTTAGTGATGATGAACTCCTTGAATTTGATCTTGTCTGAAAAGCACTTTATCTGTCCTTCATTCTAAATGAAAGCTTTGCTGGATAGATCAATCTTGGATGTAGGTCTTTGCCTTTCATGACTTGGAATACATCTTTCCAGCCCCTTCTTGCCTGTCAGGTCTCTTTTGAGAAATCAGCTGACAGTCTGATGGGAACTCCTTTGTAGGTGACTGTCCCCTTATCTCTTGCTGCTTCTAGAATTCTCTCCATTTTAATCTTGGGTAATGTAATGATGATGTGCCTTGGTGCGCTCCTTCTTGGGTCCAAGTTCTTTGGGACTCTCTGAGCTTCCTGGATTTCCTTGAAGTCTATTTCCTTTGCCAGATTGGGGAAATTCTCCTTTATTATTTGTTCAAATAAGTTTTCCACTTGTGGCTATTCCTCTTCCCCTTCCGGTACCCCTATAATTCGGATGTTGGAGCATTTAAAGATGTCCTGGAGGTTCCGAAGCCTCTACTCATTTTTTTTGAATTCTTGTTTCTTAGTATTTTTCTGTTTGGTCATTTTTTTCTTCCTTCTGGTCCACTCCATTGATTTGAGTCCCAGTTTCCTTTCCATCACTATTGGTTTCCTGTGCATTTCCATTCACTTCAATTAGTTTAGCCTTCGTGTTTCCTCTAATTTGTGGCTAGAATCAACCAGTTCTCTGAGCATCCTGATCACCAGTGTTTTGAACTGTGCCTCTGATAGGTTGGCAATTTCTTGTTCTCTTAGATTTATCGGCTCTTGGGCTCTGAGTTGTTCTTGCGCCATGTTTTGATCTGTTCATGCCTGTTACATATGAGGAGCAGAGCCTTAGTTATTCACCAGGGCAGGGCCACCCAGGTCGCTGGTTTGTGACGCTGTACGTGGGGGCAGGGTCAGAGAGGGACAATGGCGGTTCTCTCTGCCCCTTCCCGCCGCTGGGGCCTGCGAGGTCCATCTCACCGCTAGCTCCTTCATCAGTTTATTTGCATGTGAATGTGTGACCGCGGTCAGCCCTCAGTGAGTCCACCACCTTGTGCCCTCAGTGGGTCTGCCTGCTTCTCCACACCTGGGATCCGCCCACAGCTGCCGGCGTGCCTGGGTTGCGTGCCCGGATCAGGTGGATCTTTCCTGCCTGACCCCCGCTCTGCTGCTGGCTCTGCCCCTCTTACCAGTTTGGCTGAAGGGTTCGTTGTTGTCAGACTTCTGTATAGTTCAATTTTCTGTGGTTTGGCTGTGTTTTTGTTGCTAAAACTTTGTTGTTTTTAAACTTGGTTGTGTGAGAAGGTACAGTGCTTCCACCTACGCCTCCATCTTGGCAGAAGTCTCCACTTTTCATTTTAACTTTTCCAAAATTGACCATATCTCTCAAAATCTCTTGAAAATATAATTTAATGAGTCAAATTATTTTTAATATAACTTTAATTGTAAGAGACACATAATCTTATTTTAATATATCCATTGAATTTTTGTACTGACAGCTAAGAGTTCAAATTAACATTTGGTTTAGACACATATTAAAAGTCCTATTCAGTTATGTCCAAAACTTATTTTACTGTGTTAAACTGATAGTCTAAAAGACTTGCTATCTTCTCTTAACTAGTCGTGAACCAGTTTATCGCCTGTGATGTGTCTCCCATTTGGTTGGAATAATTCACATTCCATACCTCACACTAGAACAATTCAGCCTGAACTGAGCTTTTATGAAAACTTTGTTCTTTTAAGAAACTGATGTTTTTCTTGGGAAAAATTCTTTTCTAATATCTGATTCCATCTAGTTGATTTGTGACATGACATCTTTTAATATGCTAATAAAAAAGCACGTACAGATGTGTGGGTTTTCTCTCATCATGTGATATTGCTACTGTGCTTCTGACTGGCTCATCCCTTTCTTTTTGTTGTCCCTTTGAGGTCATCAAACTTCGGAGCCTTGTGGCAGATCCACCCTCACTCCTAATAATTCCTTCTCCAAGGTAAGTAAAGGCCGCCTTCTTCATGTCCTCCTTCCTTATCCAAATAACCAGTTTATTTGTGTCTGAACCAAACTGATTTTACATTTAAATATTTGCCTTCTCTAGAAAAATATATTGATAATGGGAATATATTTCAGTGAACTAATTGGCCTTTTTCAGTACAGGTCACATCATCAAGGCCCACTCAGGTAACCCTACTTCATTTGTACATACTTGACTTCTAAATAAGCTAATTACTTAAGTTGATAGTTTTAGTGCTGGGATTTTTTTCATTCACATGCACACTTCTTTTGGTTATTTTAGATACCTGGAAGAGAAGAATGTAATTAAGAGTGAAATTGGTCCTTTGGGTTAGTTAATGCTGACCAGCAGTGACTATTGAATGACAAATCTCTGGGGCAAGTGAAGAAAAACAGTAATGGCAAAAGAAATAGGCTTACTTGCTTCTTGAAAGACATAGAAATACTTTACCAATAATAAAATGAAAGGCCCTAAATCATTTAAGATCAGCACAGAGAAACTTGGTGGTGCTTAAACAGAACTATTTTTTTCCATCGCCATTTATGCCCCATCCCCTCTTCACCTCCACCCACACCCCTTCCCTCTGCAATTAATAAAACTATTTTATCACAAACCTAAATTCCACTTCAGGCTCTCTCTTTAAAGCTACATGTATGCCTATTTGTTTGGCTAATATTTTGTTGAATAATTTTCTTTTGGCATGTAATGTACATTCTAAAATAATCATGGCTGGGTCTTCATTTTTTTTTTTGAGATTGTTTAATCCCACACACATGCCATACAGTGTTTTCTGAACCACATTATTTCAATGTCTTCCCATGTAAAATCCACAGCTGAGGCGTTACTTAGTAATCTGAAAATCATATCATTCCAACAAAATTTCTGGATATGAACTGAAATGAGTGGAGGAGGAGAAAATGAATTTAGTTTAGTGGCCAGAAGCCCAAACTTTTATGCCTTTCATCTCACTATGTTACCTCAAGTTTGTGACATGGTTTAGCAATGCCTGAGAAGGTAGCACAGCATAAGAGTTGTTAGGCAGAAATGATTGGAACACATCAATAAAATTTCTTGGTATTTGTGTGTTTGTGCATTGAAATACAGAAATACTGTCTGTTCTCTGTTCATCCACAAGGCCTTCATGTCATATAGCTGAAGCAACTGGATTTTTATGTATTTTGAGTGTTAGTTATGCTGTACAGTGCTTATTTTCTTTTTAAATATCAGCATGTTGTTTAAAGGGAGAAAGGTAATTTCTACTGAAATTAACATAAAATCCTAGAAACGATGACTTTTGTTATTCAGAGCTCTACAAACACTTTTGGTTGGAGTTAAAATCTTCCAGAAAGTTGCTCAAACAATATTCTGCCCTTGAATACTAATAAATTTCATAGTACAGACATACTATGAATTTCTCATAAAGATTGGGGTTTCACAATCCAGTGAAACTTTGACATCACGTAACCACTATTTATGGAGAAGCAATTCAGTTGCATCAATCATCTCTACTTTTTATGTTAATAAAAAGTAAAGTCTTCAGAACACTTTTACTTGCATAAAATTATTGTAATTCTAATTATTTAACTTTGCATTTTTGCTGAGTCATTCTTTTTCAGTAGGCTATTCACCATGAAGTGCTTCATAATTTATCCTTTACTTAGAAAGTTGTATTTTATTATTTTCTATTTTAAATAATTATTGTACTTTATAGTTATGAATCCATTATTATTTTTCTTAAATTGAGATAAGATTTAGACTTGAAAATCTTTATACCTACTAGTTGATTAGATCTCTAAACTGAAATTTATGACCATGTAATAGCATCACAAGTACTGAAAAGACTGAGTTTTTCTCCCTTTCCTTCAACTTCAAACTTTTCTTAAAAGTTCTATGAAAGACAAATCCCATAAAATAGTACTCAGAAAAGAGCTTTCTGCAGTCAAATAAGTTTAGGAAATACTGTATAATAGATTTCTCTTTTGGAAACTCAGAATTTATATTAGTAAGCATTGTAAGAATTCTTAGAACAAAAAAATACTGGTGTAGTGTTAAATCTAGGGTGTTTAGACATACTTGATGATAGAAAGTTCTGTCCCCTTTGCACATTTTATTGCACTGGGATTTTCTAAAAACACTTCTAAGGTTGGGAGATAAAAAATGGGTTTTGTACTAAGAAAGGGGGGGAGAAGGACATTGAGAGGCAATGTACTGTCCCTCCCTAACGTTGGAAGTTAATAAAATAGGAAACTAATGATTTGCTTTGGTTTTATACTTTAGGTTAATGGGGAAGAAATAATTGAAGTCTTGTACCCTGAAGAAAAACACTCTACTTATCAGATGAAGGCATCAACAAATCTCATTCTGTCCAAAGGTAGTTTTCCAAATCAGTCATCCAATTTCTCTACATGCCCTAATTATTCAGGTAATAAAGAAATATTAGGTATCTCTTTTATTTGCCTTACATATTCCTATAGTTGATTTTTTTTTAGATTTTATTTATTTATTTTTAGATTGATAGGAAGGGAGGGAGAGAGGGAGAGAAACATCACTGCTTTTTTCAAGCCTCCAATCAGGGACTCAGCCTGCAACCCAGGCACATGGCCTCACCTGGAATCGAACCAGTGACCTTTTGGTTTTCAGGCCAGTACTCAATCCACTGAGCCATAACAGCCAGGACCCCATAGTTGGTTTCAAAAGGGAAGATTGTTGTTCAAAGAAACAAAAGAACAGTGAAAAATTAATTATTGTTAGCCGCATCACTGTACAAATGTGCAGGATTCATTCTCATCTCTTAAAATTAAAACTATTTTAAATGTTTGCAAAGATAGCTGTTTTGTTTAATAGCGTTTCTTATATATTTTAAAGGAGCAATTTATAGGCTACCCAATATTTAGACATATTTTTCTTAGGACATTTGGGCTGCTTATCATTTTCTTAATCTTTGCAACATAATTTCCCTTTCTTTCATGAATTAATAATTTGGGATTAATTTAGGAATATAAGCATCAAATTACTAGCGTCTCACAAAAAGATGTATCACAGACACTGATTTTGGTTTATTCTTCGTAAGTTGCTGTGAGTGGTCTTTTGTCAGAGAAACCAGAGTAGTTCTGGAACTGAAAATGACTAGGCCCCATTAGTGTGAACTACTTGTCAAGTTAAGGCTACTTTTCAAAGTGGATGCTTAAAATATTAAAGACCTGGTATATTCTATTCGAAACATTGTCTTTTTCTTATACCAATATTTTTAAAGTAAAACCCCATGTAAATTACTGTTTTTCAAGAATCTGATGTACAAGAAGATGATATTTATGATGACTCTCAAGAAGCTGAAGTTATCCAGTCTCTGCTGGATGTTGTGGATGAGGAAGCCCAGAATCTTTTAAACCAAAATAATGCAGCAGGAGGTGCCTGTGTTCCAGGTAGATGAGCCAGAAGGAATAAGTTGGTACACTAAGGAGCACAAGAAGCCCTCTAGGGAACATTTTAACTCCTCTTAACTTCTTATTTCTCTCCCAGGTGCACTAAAAACCATTGGAACATTTCCTGAAGAAAAAGCAGAAGATACAGATTGTGGTGGGTCACCTTTACCTGAAGATTTTACAGAGGTAAGGATAATGCCTCGATAAATAAATACTGTAAGACCCTATATCTTGATAGAATTATCTTCTTACTTTAAAACTTGCTTTCTCTGCTGACGCCTTGCCTCTCCCTATCTCCTGATTTCCCTTTTCAACATGAAATAAAGATAATAACTGATGGTTGCTTGGTAACTTCAGTAAGAATTAGAAATTATGTCATTTACTTATTTTGGAGGGAAAACTTGCCCTTATTAAATCTTTTAACTATTTTTTTTTTTGGTGAAATTTTCCATTCAAGAAAAAAGGTATTAAAAAAACCATATATTTTGGGTATGTCATTATTTTTACATCAAATAAAAGTTGAGAATTCCAGGATCCCATTACAGTTAATATTAATATAGGCACCTAGGTAGAAAACTTGTTTTTGATCTTCGAATGTTGCCTCTTTGCCCCTCATGGATCCTTGGTCTTAATTACCATGGGAACATCTAATTCTTCCAATTACACCATGGCTTTTGTTATGATTACTTTGAGGTTTCAGTTGAGACTTGTTTAGAAAAGTTGGACAGATGACTTGTTCATACATTGGAATAGTTGGGTCCAAACTTGTAAGAATAAACTGTATAAGAATCGGTGCTCAATATATATTATTAAAAATTTGTTGGAATTAAAAAAAATGAATTGATGTCATCTGAGATTATTGCCTGTTTTGCTGAAACATTATATTAAGGGTAAAAATGAAGGTTAATTGCATTTGTTACATTTAAGAATTGTCCTATCCCAGTGAAATAATCATTACTTTAAGTTTCCTCAGATCAGAGAAAAAGAGAAAGAAGAGTTTTCAAAAACAAATGATAGACTTTTCAACTTCTCACATAGACTTTAAGATCAGATTTTCAGGGACATTGAGCTGAGGAAAAGTGTGGTATATTAGGTAAATTTTATGTAGAGCTGCTCAAACTGGGCATCATTCTATTTATATGACTCTGATCTTGTTCAATATTCTAGGATAATTTCCCTTCTTACTCTTCTTACTCTTCCTACCAAACATCTTTGGAATTGTCAAAAGTAAGTCAGTTTGGATTCTTACAATAGTTACCATACAGGTACCATATACAATCTCATACACACATGATTAAGTTCATTAAACACTTATAAATAATTAATGTGTATAAGTACATGGAAGCTTGTACCTGTTGAGTGTGTATTTCTTTTTTTTTATATATATTTTATTGATTATGCCATTACAGTTGTTCTGTTCCCCCCTTCATTCCCCTCCACCCTGCACACCATTCCCCCACCATCCCCCCTTGAGTGTATGTCCACGTATCTCAAGTTCTTTAGATTCTATATTTCCCCTACTATTCTTGCCCTCCCCCCTATCTATTTTCTGCCTACTGTCTATGCTACTTATTTTCTGTACCTTCTCCCCCCTTCTCTTTCCACTCCCCTGATGCTAACCCTCCATGTGATCTTCATTTCTATGGTTCTGCTCCTGATCTAGCTATCCTCTTAGTTTGCTTTTGTTTTAGGTGTGGTTCTGACTAACTGTGAGTTTGCCGTCCTTTCACTGTTCATCTTTTTTATCTTCTTTTTCTTAGGTAAGTCCCTTTAACATTTCATATAATAAGGGCTTGGTGATGATGAATTCCTTGAATTTGATCTTGTCTGAAAAGCACTTTATCTGTCCTTCATTCTAAATGAAAGCTTTGCTGGATAGATCAATCTTGGATGTAGGTCTTTGCCTTTCATGACTTGGAATATTTCTTTCCAGCCCCTTCTTGCCTGTCAGGTCTCTTTTGAGAAATCCATTGACAGTCTGATGGGGACTCCTTTGTAGGTGACTGTCCCCTTATCTCTTGCTGCTTCTAGAATTCTCTCCTTCATTTTAATCTTGGCTAATGTAATTATGATGTGCCTTGGTGTGTTCCTTCTTGGGTCCAAGTTCTTTGGGACTCTCTGAGCTTCCTGGATTTCCTGGAAGTCTATTTCCTTTGTCAGAATGGGGAAGTTCTCCTTTATTATTTGTTCAAATAAGGTATCCACTCATGGCTATTCCTCTTCCCCTTCTGGTACCCCTATAATTCGGATGTTGGAGCATTTAAAGATGTCCTGGAGGTTCCTAAGCCTCTACTCATTTTTTTTGAATTCTTGTTTCTTGGTATTTTTTTGTTTGGTCATTTTTTTCTTCCTTGTCCACTCCCTTGATTTGAGTCCCAGTTTCCTTTTCATCACTATTGATTTCCTGTGCATTTCCATTCAGTTCAATTAGTTTAGCCTTCATATGTTTCTCTAATTTGTGGCTAGAATCAACCAGTTCTCTGAGCATCCTGATCACCAGTGTTTTGAACTATGCCTCTGATAGGTTGGCAATTTCTTGTTCTCTTAGATATATTGGCTGTGGGGCTCTGAGTTGTTCTTGAGCCATGTTTTGATCTGTTCATGCCTGTTACATAGGAGGAGCAGAGCTTCAGTTGTTCACCAGGGCAGGGCCACCCAGGTTGCTGGTTTGTGAGACTGTATGTGGGGGCGGGTCAGAGAGAGAGGCCACCCAGGTCGCTGGTTTGTGACGCTGTGTGTGGGGGCGGGTCAGAGAGAGGCCACCCAGGTCTCTGGTTTGTGATGCTGTATGTGGGGGTGGGTCAGAGAGAGGCCACCCAGGTTGCTGGTTTGTGACGCTGTATGTGGGGGCGGGTCAGAGAGAGTCCACCCAGGTCTCTGGTTTGTGACGCTGTATGTGGGGGCGGGTCAGAGAGAGGCCACCCAGGTAGCTGGTTTGTGACGCTGTATGTGGGGGCGGGTCAGAGGGAGTCCACCCAGGTCTCTGGTTTGTGACGCTGTATGTGGGGGCGGGTCAGAGAGAGGCCACCCAGGTCGCTGGTTTGTGACGCTGTATGTGGGGGCGGGTCAGAGAGAGGCCACCCAGGTCTCTGGTTTGTGACGCTGTATGTGGGGGCGGGTCAGAGAGAGGCCACCCAGGTCGCTGGTTTGTGACGCTGTAGGTGGGGGTGGTGTCAGAGAGAAACAATGGCGGTCTCCTCTGCCGCATCTCGCTGCTGGGGCCTGCGCAATCTGTCTCACTGCTAGCTCCTTCGCCTGGTTTATCTTAGCGTGAATGTGTGACCGTGATCAGCCTACCACCTTGTGCCCTCAGCGGGTCCACCCATTGCTACTCCACACCTGGGATTCGTCCTTGGCTGCCAGCATGCCTGGGGAGGTAGGTGATTCTTTCTTTCCAGACCCCACTTTGCTGCTGGCTCTGCCTCTCTTACCAGTCTGGCTCAGTGGTTCGTTGTTGTCAGACTTTAGGATAGTTTAATTTTCTGTGGTTTCTCTGCGTTTTTGTTGCTAAAACTTTGTTGTTTTTAAACTTGGTTATGCGAGAAGGCGAAGTGCTTCCATCTATGCCTCCATGTTGGTGGAAGTCCTGCTTTTTGTTCTGGTTGAATGTTTATCTCTTCCTTATGTTCCTTATGTTTAAATCTGGCTTTCTTCCCTTCTCCATTGATTTCTTGTGAATTATTCTTTATTTCACTTAGTGTGACCATCATTTCTTCCTTTTTTTTTTTTTTTTGCCATACTCAAGGATTTTCCTGAGCATCCTGATAACCAATGTTTTGACCTCTCTATTTGATTGGTTGACTGTCTTCATTTTGCTTAGTTTTTTTTCTGGGATTTTGTTCTTTCGTTTGGGCCAAATTTCTTTGTTTCCTCAATTTAGCAGCTTCCCTGTGTTTGTTTCTGTGTATTAGCTAGAACTGCTTTTACATAGGTCTTAGTAGCACAACTATCTAGAAAAGGTACCTGTAAACTGTGTGGGGTAGAGCCTTCAGTAATTTCCAGGGTGGGGCAACCCACTTCACCACTTTGTGGCTGTGTGGGGAGGGTTTGGAGAGGGGACAGTGTTACCTCCTGGCTTCTGGCTGTTCTCCCAGGGCTTGTCCAACTTCCAGTCATTTCATCCTCTTCCTATATGCTACTGGTACCCTTCCAGTTGCTGTCACAATGGTGAATCCCAGAGTAGATGGGTTTACATATGTTCTAAGACCGTGCTTACCCTTTAAGCAGTGAAAATCTGGTAGTATCTTTCTCCATCCCAATCCCCACTGGTTTTTACAGGCAAAGGTAACAGGTATCTACCTTCCCAGTGCTAGAACCTGGGCATATGGTCTGGCCTGGGCCTGGGATCACTTGCTCCCAAGGTGTCCCTCCCGTCAATTTAACTACCGCCTATCCGCACCACACTGCCTCTCTGCCCCTCTCCACAACTCCACCTCTCTTATCCTTCTGGGTGAATGTGTCTTCTTTAAATCCATGATTGTGTGACTTCCATTAAGCTCAATTTTCTGACAGTCCTGGATGTTACTAGTTCGAGATCTGGTTGTAATTCTTTCTATGGTTGCATGAGGAGGTGAAGTGTGTTTACCTATACCTTCATCTTGACCAGAAGTCTAAAAATTTAAAATCTTTTCCTTGGGGCAACACTATAGCTGCCTCCTCTTCCAAGAGCTGGTAATCCATAATGAGAAGAGAAACTGAAGGTCAGTCTCCCCAACCCAACCCTACCATCAGCATATGCAGACGAACTTTGCAAAAATAGTGGTAAATTACTTCATACAAGTATCACTGTATTTAATTGGTCTTTATCTCACCACCTTAATGTTAATAATAGCACTTGACTCTTATAAAAGGCTTATACTTTTCAAAATCATTGCACACATAGTTGATTCTTAGACCAGGATTACAATGGAGAATGAGAAATTCAAATGACTTTACTTGGGAAAAAATTTGAACCCATACAAAAATGGTCAACTTTTACAAAACAGGTAAGGTCTAAGAAGCTTCCTTTTAGTTGTCAGTGGATAAAAACAAACTTTGTTTTTCTTAGAAGTTCTGCAATTTTACTCAAATGAATTGAAATTTGTATCAGTAAATTATAGGTACTTTTAACTCTACAAAGTCTATAACTAAAGGGTCTTATTAAAGGTTTTTAATGCTTTTATTAACTCAGACAACTTCCTGTGTCTCAGGCATAAGTATGTTTGGGCATACAGCGGTAAACAGACATGATTCCTGCCCTCTTGGAGTTTACAGTCTAATGGAGAAGGAGAGAGAATGAGCAAAGAAACACAAACACACATAGAATTACAAGTTGTGATAAGGTCTATGAAGTTGGGGGTTTTTTTAAGTGCAAAAGAGAGCAAGAAGACCTACCTTAGATGGGGTGCTTAGGGAACAGTCTCAGAAGGCAAAGACACTTATACTGAATAAAGAAAGAGTACTTTCCATAGGAAGAACTTTGTGGTGAAAGGAGATGAGTGACTTTGAAGAATTAAAAGAAAGACCTGTGGGTTTGAAGCCTAATAAGAGAAAGAGGGAAAAGTACAACCAGATTAAATGGCAGAGGTAGACAGAGTCCAGATAGCTCAGGGTCTTGAAATAAATTTTTTCTTCGTTATGATAATTTGTCCTGATAAAGGTCGAAATGTAAGATGTCTTACCCATTTAAGAGTGCAACATCTTCCACTTGAATCAAACTGCTCCTTTAGTATTGGGGTCTCAGAGACACCATACTCACTTATAGTACAAACTGACTGACCAGCGCCCCCTATGGAGAGGCCCTGCACTTTACTAACCAAAGAGCAGGACAATTTAACACTTTGGAAGTTACCAGGATATTTCTGGAGAACCCATTTTTCAGATTTTAAAATTGAAGTAGTATAAAAACATACACCAGATGTGCATGTCTTAATAATCATTAGATTTTCATCTTGCTTTCTCTTTACTGCTATACCATTAATATCCCTTATATAAGAATGAAAGGCCAAAATGAGTCTGAAGGTGAATAAGCGGAACTTCCAGCAAAATCTCTTGGGCCACTGGGAATGCCTCAGCAGTTTGGCATGTATTAATTGAATGTCACCTGTGACTTTGTAATATGAAGATGAACAATAACAGTACATAAAGGAAATAACACTAAAAAAATTGAACATAATGAGATTATTTTAATTTTTAAAATATTTTTACAATGGACTAATTTCTTTCTCTTTAATATAGTCTACCAAAATGAATGGCTGTGAAGAATATTGTGAAGAAAAAGTAAAAACTGAAAGGTAAGAAAAATAATTGTTTAAGTATTTATAATAATTTCATTCTTTTTTTAGAAGTGCTCTGAAGATTTTCTTTTAGATATTGATTTTAAAAATAATTTGTTCTTTTCCAACAAAATGAGAATTGTTGCATAAATTATGGAACTATGGCTGAATGTGAAGAATATTTTGAAAATATTGTTACCAGGAGATTCTAGTGACATGTGACAATATAACATTGCTTCCAAAAAGCCTTCTTCTCTTGAGCATGTGAAAAAATGAAAAAAAGGTCTAAGAGGAAATGTACCAACAATGATGATGTTGATCATCTTTTCTGGTGGGATTATATATAACTTGTTTTTCTGTTTCTACATTTCTCTACACTTTATAAATTTGTTCCTTTATTAAGAAAATGAAACCAAAGAAGGAACATTTAAAAACTTAACTAATTTTTTTTCTTTTTGAAAACAATTTCTAATATAAAATAACACTTTTTTATTAATTAATTTTATTTAGTTATTTTTCAAGTACAGTTTTTTTTAAATAACACTTTTTATAATACTAAATGGTGGGTCAAAGAAAGTTGTATGAGGGGTAACCCCAAAAAAAACAATTTATTTATAAAAATTGTGCATTTATTCTTACATGTTTAAACTTCAGTCACCTTCAAAAGTACTCTCCATTTGGTGTAATATATCTATCGAGATTTTTTTCCACTGCTCAAAACAGTTTTTGACCTCATCAATTTTGATGCCTTTTAGTACTTCTGCCATGTTTTGTTTCACCTCTGTCTCATCAGCAAAATGTTTCTCTTTGAGGACCTTTTTTATCCAGTCGCTTAGGGCAGGATCCAGGTGCATAGGGAGGGTGGGGCACAGAACATGCCTATTTTTGGTGAAAATTTATTGAACACTCAGCGCAGTGTGGGCAGGTGTACTCGTAAGTCCCCCATCATGACATGGGCAAAGGCATTGAAAGAGTCTTCAAAAAAAATTCACTGAAGTTCTCTGAATTCATGGAAATTCACTGAAAAAATTCAGTGCAGCCTCTCACAACACCGGCAGCTGGTACACTGACACAGATGGGTTTCTAGAACACTGGCCTGTTGGGGGAAGCCTGTGCTACAAGGGGCTCCCCTCCAGAACATAATTCCAGTTTTTAGGCGGGGTTTCCCCATCCTTTTTAGTTTTACAGGAGGCAACAGTCAGAGAACCACATTGAGCATGTTTTGCAACCAGTATGACAATGATGTCACCATTTGAAGCCTTCAGGGCAGGATTCATCAATAAACTGAATATGCAATGGAAGCTATTGTACAAGGTTCATCCACAGTTTGTCTGAAATCAAAAACCCATGTATAGTCAGAAGAGAGTATAGTCAGAGTTTGCAGCTCATCAGTAAAAAATTCTCCATGTTGACAACCTTATTGATACCTCAACTGTGGGACTTACTGCCGATGCTAGACTGTTACATAATTTTATGCTCCAGGAGCGTTTGGACTCCACATTTGTATTTGACAGACCTCTTCCTGTGTCTCAACTTGTACGTCTAATTGGAAGCAAGACCCAGATACCAACATAAACAAATGGCCAAAGACCATGTGGTGTTCAGCTGCTTATTTTTGGTTATGATGATATGGGTCCTCGTATTCCCCAAACCTGTCCATCTGTTAACTATTTCGACTGCACAGAAATATGCATTGGAGCCCTACTTGGAGACATATGTTTGAGTTTATGGAGTGCAGTTTTCTTTAAGAGAGACACTTCCTGCAGAACAGAACTTAACTATAAAGAATGTTTCCATTGGAATTGAGTATAAAATTGATGATGATGATGATGATGATGATGATGATGTGTCTCCATTCCTGGAAGGTCTTGAAGAAAGGCCACAGAAAAAGGCACAGCCTGCTCAATCTGCTGATGAACCTGCACAAGAGGCTGGTGAATCAATGGAGCACTAAGTGATAATCCCCTGTCTCTACATGTATTATCAAAATATGTGAGGATGCAGGAACATGTACTGATGACAATAATCTCTACTGTGAACCAAAAAATGCAGTAGTGGGATAGTACGTTTTAGGAATCAGTCCATATATGAGTTTGTGACTTTTTTCCAAGCAACTTGACTGAAACCATATAATGGGATGCATTTTCCCTTGAGAGGGTCTATATAATCATTTTCTAGAAAGTATAGTTATCTGTACTAATGTTTTTATATGAAGAACATAGTGTCTTTGTGGTTTTAAAGACAACTGCGAAATAAAATTGTTTCTTCCACTAAAAAAAAGGAAAACTGAATAGATTTTTGGCCCACAGAGTGGTTATGCACAAACTTGGCTTCACATTGGGTGCCACCCAAACAGCCAAAGGGAGCTAATTTGCATTTTCCTAGAAAAGCACATTAACAATGAATTTGTCACTATGTGAAGGTAGACAAGGTAGTGCATGTTAGTGTAGAAATGCATACAGTTTTATACTTAAAACAATGGCAGATGTCTGAGGCAGCCACCAATAATTATAAAGATGCCAGCTGTACCTGTTGGCAAAAGAAGGGGAGGAAGGAGTAAAGGTAAATTAATGTACTTTAGATAACAATTAGAAACACTATTAACATAAATTTTAATTGCATGTTACTAATTCTTGGCTATACTTTTCAACATATCTGAAATCATGAAGGGTCCCACTGTTATAATCAATATTATTTCTTAATGCATACTGTAAAATAATAGTGTATCTTACAGTGATGGGTGTCATAAATTCAAAGAACTGTGGTACATACTGTTAAATCTAGCAATTTTTTCCTAAGAATTGGTCCCACTACCATATGTGTGCAAAGACATTTCTATAAGACTGTTTTTTGCAACATTGTTTATAGTAGCGAAAAACTATAATAGATGCAAAATAAATTAGGGTATACTTCACAGCGAAATACTAAGGAGTTGTTCAAAAGGATGAGAAAGAAGAGAATGCCTGGTGGAAAGATCTCCAAAATATATCCTTGAAGACAAGATATACTTAGTGGAAGGCAAAACAACCTCATGAATGCAGAACTTGCGAATTAAATGTTTGCAATAAATGTTCATTGTGACCCACAGTTAGCAGAAGCAGAGGAAAACACCCACCCTAAAAACAGCATAATTGCTCTGTTTTGACATTTTGGGAACATTGAACAAATGTACTCTGCTTCGTTCCCCTGAGTATCAAAGAAATTTTTAAAAAGTGCATTGAGAGGACTTCCGCCAAGATGGAGGCATAGGTGGATGTGCCGTGCCTTCTCACACAACCAAGTTTAGAGACAACTAAATATTAGCAATAGAAAACACAGCCAGAACACGGAAAATTGAACTTTTCAGAAGTCCGTTAACAACAAATTCTTCAGCCTGACTGGTACGGGGCGAAACCAGCGGCTGTTGAAGCGGGGTTGCACAGGAGGACTGGGTCAGACGGACTCAGGTGCGGAATCCAGGCGCAGGGTTGGACCTAGTGAGCGACCGAGCAAGGAACCAGGCGAGCGACCTCGGGGGAGACAGCGGGAGAGCGGTGCTGCGTGTGGACTGTGGTCGCGCATTTGTGCGCAGATAGACAAGCGAGGGAGTGGGCGGTTGGACCAGAACCCAGCGGGTCCCCGCGGCAAGCGGCAGTGGAGGGCGCCACCATTTCCCCGCTCTGACCCCACCTCCACATACAGCGTCATAACCCAGCGACACTGAGTGCCCTGGACCTGATGAACCACCTAAGACGCTAATCCTCACCCAGCTGTGAGAAACAGCAGAGGGGGTCGCCATTTCCCCACTCTGGCCACGCCCCCACATACAGCGTCACAACCCAGCAACCTGGGAGTCCAAGGCACCGCTTCTCACACTTAAAGGGCCAGAACAGACCAAAAATGTCGCAAGATCTCAAAGCCCCAGAGCCCATAGATCTAAGCGATGAAGAAATAGCAAAACTCTCAGACACACAGTTTAAAACACTGGTGATCAGGATCCTCACAGAACTGGTTGATTATACCGACAAATTAGACAAATATATGAAGGCGAAACTAATTGAAATGAATGGAATTGCACAGGACACCAATAGCAATGAAAAGGAAACTGGGACTCAAATCAATGGAGTGGACCAGAAGAAAGCAAATAATGGCCAAACAGAAAAGAGTCAAGAAGCAAGAATTCAAAGAAATGAGGAGAGTCTTAGGAACCTCCAGGACATCTTTAAACGCTCCAACATCCAAATTATAGGGGTACCAGAAGGGGGAAAGGCACAGCCACCAGTGGAAAACTTATTTGAACAAATAATAAAGGAGAATTTCCCCAATCTGGCAAAGGAAATAGACTTCCAGGAAATCCAGGAAGCTCAGAGAGTCCCAAAGAACTTGGACCCAAGAAGGAACACACCAAGGCACATCATAATTACATTAGCCAAAATTAAAATGAAGGAGAGAATCCTAGAAGCAGCAAGAGCTAAGGGGACAGTCACCTACAAAGGAGTCCCCATCAGACTGTCAGCGGATTTCTCAAAAGAGACCATACAGGCAAGAAGGGGCTGGAAAGAAATATTCCAAGTCATGAAATCCAAAGACCTACAACCAAGATTGCTCTATCCAGCAAAACTTTCATTTAGAATGGAAGGACAAATAAAGTGCTTCTCAGACAAGATCAAATTCAAGGAGTTCATCATCACCAAGCCCTTATTATATGAAATGTTAAAGGGACCTATCTAAGAAAAAGAAGTTAAAGAAACATGAACAGTGAAAGGACAACAAACTCACAGTTAGTAACAACCACACCTAAAACAAAAGCAAACTAAGAGGACAGCTGGATCAGGAGTGGAAACATAGAAATGAAGATCTCAAGGAGGGTTAGCAACAGGGGAGTGGGAGGAGGAGAAGGGGGAGAAGGTACAGAAAATAAGTAGCATAGACAGTAGGTAGAAAATAGATAGGGGGAGGGCAAGAATAGCATGGGAAATATAGAATCTAAAGGACTTGAGACACATGGTCATAAACTAAAGGGAGGGTAATGGTGGGGACGGGGGGGTAGGGTGGAGGGGAGTGAAGGGGGGAATAGAACAACTGTAACAGCATAATCAATTAAAAAAGAAAAAAATAAAAAATAAATTAAAAAGTGCATTGATACTCAGGCCTTTACATTATTTATCATCTCAGCATAGTACTAAACATTACTCTTCTACCTAGTTTTGTCTTTTCTAGCCACCTGTATTACCAGGAACACAGCATTGGCTATGCACCCCTAGATCAATGAAGACTTGTACTGAGTTTTAGTACGTTAAGCGAGTGCCCAGATACAGGATTGTCTTTCTAGCTCCCAATTATAGCAAAAGAATAATATTCATCGATAGGGACTTCTGTAAGTAAATTAATGTGCATTTGTTACAAAATAAGAGAGTTATATTGACACAATTGTGATCAGTTATCCAGGTTGAAGGGTGGACAAACGACCCTTCAACTATCCCCAAAAGGACCCCTATGGTCTGAGGTTCAGAAACTTTGGATTTGTTTGACAATAAATTTTAAGAATTGTGGGTTTGGGACCTGACTGGCCTTGCTGAGTTGGTTGAGCATCATCCCACAAACCAAAAGCTTGACGGTTCGATTCCCGGACAGGGCACATGCCTGGGTTTTGGCCCGGTCCTTGGTTGGGACACGTGCAAGACCCAACCGACCAATGTTCTTCTCACACATTGATGCTTCTCTTCCTCTTCTGCCTCCCTTCCCCTCTCTCTAAAAATAAATAGCATCTTTTTTTAAAAAAAATTATTTTAGACTTGGGTTTTTTAATCAGATAATCTATTTTAAAAAACCATAATTATAGAGAAAATAAGTGGTTCTAGGACATAATACTTCTATTTATGTTGCACAAAACTAAAGAAAACTTTACAGTTGTGTTTCATTTCATAGATTAATTCCAGACTCACAGGAAAGGAGGACTGATGGTGATGAAATGACGCAGGAAAGTGAGGAATCGCCAATACAAACAACAAACCATGAAGATGCCCATAAAGGCAAGGAGTTCAGTAGCAGTTTTTTTCATCAAAAAAACAGTGGGTAGAAAAAAGAAGGGTCTGAAAATTATATAAATTTCAAAATATATGGATATGTTATTTCACCAAATGTACACATTATTTGGTTCTGCACATAAAGTTAAATCACATAACAGGTAAGCATCAACATTCATTTCCATAACCAGAAGTTTGCACAGCTCTAGATTAAACTTTTCAGCAGCTTGGTATAAAATGAACAAATATTAGTTTAAAAAGAAAAAATTTTGCCGTTCTGGAATGAAAAGTTAAGGAGCACATTTTATTTATAGTAAAATAGGTAGAATAGCTCAAAGAAAAGAATTTATTACCCTCGAATCCCAACCTCATTTTTTTTAAGAGCTGGAGTCACTTGCTCTTATTACTTCCTCTCTCGTTTTATAACTGAGCCAGGGGAGAAACGAAGTTCTTATCCAGAGTTTCGTCTCTCTTTTTTCATTTAAGGAAATGTTATACCAAAACAGTGAAAGAGCACAGTTTTGTAACTTGAAGTCCTAATTAAAAGGAATTAAAGAAGTTGCGTGAATACTTTTTGGATGTAGGTAGACAGTGGTCAGGGACGGTGCTGGCCCCTCCTCTCGCCCACGCTCTCCTGCCCTCTGTGCCAGTGGCATCCACCCTCAGCTCTGTAAACATTCACGGTTACTTCACGTGAGTGAATTTTGTCCTAAAAAGTAGCCTTTGCCCCAGCCAGATGCTAAGCTTCTTGAAATATTTCGTACAGCTTTGTATCACCCACAGTGTCTAATCTTGCTATTGCCTGTGTAGTGTCTGTGTCATCAAAATAGTTTAATCAGCTGATTAACAAACGAAAGCTACACTTGTGCAGAATATAGCAAACTATCTCTCCTACTTTTTTTCTGGGTAATAGTTACCTTCTGTTATGAGCAGGTACTAAATTAGGCGCATCTATTCTGACATTGATATCACCTGTTGGATAAACTCCTGAAGACCTCAAGGGCTTCACTTACCTGGAGAAAACTATCAAATACCAGAGATACCAGCACTGAGTACCAAGAGCAGGCAGATGAGAGGGAGATCAGTGTTCCTAGTGTATTGCCCTATTGTAAGGAATTTCTGAGGCACTTCCCTCCCTCTTTTCCCCATGTGCTTGGAAGCTCATTTAAATGCAAAATGATAGTTGGACTGGATGCATTTTCATCAAGACAACAGTGCCACTGGAGCCTTAAGAATTTCTCAACAGTTAGTGAGGTGTTTCCTTGAAAGCTGAGTACAGGTCTTGCTGTGGCCAACATTATCCTGTGTTGATTGTACTTATCTGCCTATTAATTCTAGTGCCTTATTAATTCTAACTTTCTAAGACTCTTTCAGTCTTGTAAAAATAGATGAGGTAAGAATAGACTAAATTTAGTCCCCTTATTGGGCAGATCAGTTCTGGGGGAATTTTTATCTTAATTGCCTGCTGTCTTCTTGTTAGGCCACCCCTTTCTAACAGACGAGGAGCTCGCTGCACTTCCCGTTGTCAGAGTGCTTCCCTCTGGTCAATACACTGGCACCAGGTTGAAATCAGTCATTCGAATGCTGCGGGGTTTGCTAGACCAAGGAATTCCTTCTAAGGAGCTGGAGGTAAGTAGCTTCTGCCAATGGTGTTTTTCTCTCAAACAAAATTTTAGAAGTTAGAAGAAATTTTGAAAATGTCTCTTACTTTACAACGTTATAACTTAACTTCTAACCAACTGTAGAAGCACCATCTCACCATATCTAACAGTAAATTATTTTTTTAAATTAGGACCCTAATAAATAGTATTGACTTAAAGGGATGTCTTTAGCCACAGTGGAGCTTGATGATTCTCCCGGAAGATTATTCTCCCTGCTTCTTATTTAGGAATAAAGTGTTTTGTTTTGTTTTTTAAGTCACGTATCAATTCCAACCATCTGCTGAACTTCATACTCAACACACTGTGGGTATGGTTCATCATTAGCCACAGTTTCTAATTTAACCCAGCTCTAAGAATGTACTGTTCCTATCAATTTTGCAAAAGTGATTTTTTTAAGATCTGAAGTTTAAATGTTAGCTTCCATCACAGCATTTGGTAAAGTAAATCTTATTTTTCTCTATCACAGCAGATTCTTAATTTCTTCAAAGCATATATCACAATATGTGCTCATTTACTTCTTTACCGCCTTTTTCTCCCAATAAAATATAAGCTCCAGGAGGGCCAGAATCATATCTTTTTTCTCACAGCTGTATTGCCAACACTTATTACAGTGCCTTGCAGATATAGTAGGCACTTTCAGTATATATTTGTTTAATGTGTGGATGGGTGGATAGATGGATGGATGGGTGGATAGATGGAATGAAAAGTGAAAAATAGTTGGCTTTAGAACGTAATACTGCCTAACCACAGCTCTACCACATTAAATATTCTATGACCCCACAGAGAATATTATCTAGAAATCCTGCTCCAGCTTATTACTTTAAGCCAAAGTTGGTTCTATGAGTTGAGTCTTTTTCTAAATTCTAATTATAGACATCTGAACTTAACATTAAGTACAGAGATTGGAATGATGCAGCCACACAGCAGGGACACCGGCAGCCACCAGAGGTGGGAGGGGTGGGGGTCGGTGTGTCTCCCGCATCCTCAGGAAAGGTTGGCCCTGGTCCCACCGTGAATTCAGCCCAAGGAGGCTGACTGCGGTCTTCTGGCTCCCAGACAGCGAGAGAATAAATTTGCTGTTTTATGCTTCATAGTTTTTGTGAGTTTGTTACAGCAGCCACCGGTAATTGTGGGTGATTGTAGGAAATTGTGTAGATTATATTCAAGATTCTTTGTGGTTTTAAGATGCATGCATTCATTCATTCAACCTACTAATAAATATTTGAGGCAAAACAGAAAAAAACAAAATAAAATTAGGCGACAAAGTGCTACCTCACAAAGTTACTTGATGTCAACAGTTAAAGATTTTTGCAACAGTGTATTTTAACAACCAGTATACCGAGTTAGTATTGGAAATTTAGACTTACTTATCTTGACAAGACATATTCATTTCGAAGTCTTTCCTGAACAATAGCCAGTTTTGCATCCTAGCTTTTAAAGAATTTGCAGTGATTACTGAATTACTGCTTATCTTAACCAATTTTATTTCCATTTTTGCTTACAGAATCTTCAAGAATTAAAGCCTTTGGATCAGTGTCTAATTGGACAAACTAAGGAAAACAGAAGGAAGAACCGATATAAAAATATACTTCCCTGTAAGTTCCAATTTGGCTGCAAATCTAGTGTATAATATAAATTAAACTGATTTAAAATTTTTATGCTAGTTTATCTTATCTCTCACATAACTGTACATTCAAAGATTTGTATTAGTAACAAATAAATTTACATGTACAGTGTGAATTCCTTTAAAAGTTATCTATGTATTGAGCAAATCAATTAGAAAAATATTAAGTACTTCTTAGACATTCATGAATTTACTACTAGCATTGTACTAAAAATTAACCAGCGCTGCCATGACTGGTGTGGCTCAGTGGGGTGGACATTATCCCGCAAACTGAAAGGTCGCCAGTTCTGTTCCCGGTCAGGGCATGTGTCTGGGTTGCAGTGTGTGAAGCAACCAATTGATGTTTCTTTACCTCTTTTTTTTCCCTCCCTTCCCCTCTCTCCAAAAATAAATATATCTTCAAAAAAATTTAAATTGCCAAAATTAAAAATACCAAATCAGTATTTTTAAAGTCCTTTTAACAATATAAACTGTCTTCTAGATGAGCAATTTCTTAGTTCATATTTCACAACCAACATCTACTTATTCCACTCGCTGTCAGCCGAGACAGATGTCTGTGGCACATGGCAGCAATGGTGCACTGCCAGGTTGCATTGTACTTTGAGTTATTTTAGGTACCAGAAGGAAAAAAAACAAATACTTTTACCCATGTTTTATACCCATATTATTGAACATTTGTTTTCCTACAATTATATATGAATATATGTGCATAGCTAAAATATTAATGTCTAGCAACTTATTCTAAAAATTACCAGCCACATTTGTGTGTGTGTGCGTGCATGCATAAGCACGGTGCATTACAATGTGTGGTGCACAGTTCCATCTTCATCAGGAAGTCCTCGATCTAAAGATAATAACAGAACCAATAGCGGCAAATCATGCAAAAAACAATAACACAATTGAGACTTCCGGCCAAGATGGAGGCATAGGTGGAAACACTAGCTACTCGCACAACCAAATTTAAGGACAACAAAGATTTAGAAACAAAAACACAACCAGAACAGACAGAAAATTGAACTGTACTGAAGTCCCACAACAAACCATTCATCCAGATGGTTAAAAGGGGCGAGTCAGCAGCCAGCCGAAAGGGATCTCGACAGGAAAAGGCAGTGGTTGGCAGACCCAGGCATGGGGAGGAAACAAGCAGACCCACTGAGTCATGCAAGGCAGTTGTCTGACTGGGAACACACATTCCCACGCAGATAAACCAGGCCAAAAAAAGGGCAGTGAGACAGACAGCATAACCCAGGGCCCCAGCAACAGGAAATAAAGCCTAAAAGCACCAGTTGAAAAAACTTTAAGGGGTGGAGGTGCTGGGAAAGACTCCCAGCCTCACAGGAGAGTTCGTTGGAGAGACCCACAGGGTCCTAGAATGTACGCAAGCCCACCCACCTGGGAACCAGCACCAGAAGGGCCCAATTTGCTTGTGGGAAGCTGCAGAGGGGACCGAAATCCAAGAGAAAGCAGAGCAAGCGCCACTGCTCCTTCTCTGACCCTGCCCCCACATACAGTGTCACAACCCAGTGACTGGGTTGACCCGCTCCAGTGAACACCTGAGGCTCCACTCCTTATACGTAATAGGAGCGACCTGACCAAAAATGGCTCAAACAGAAGAACAAATCAAAGCCCCAGAGCCAATACTTTTAAGCGACAAAGAGATAGCCAACCTATCAGATGCACAGTTCAAAGCACTGGTGATCAGGATGCTCACAGAACTGGTTGATTTTGGTCACAAATTAGATGAAAAAATGAAGGCTTCACTAAGTGAAATGAAGGAAAATGCACAGGGAACCAATAGTGATGGGAAGAAAACAGACTCAAATCAAGGGAGTGGACCAGAAGGAAGAAAGAAACAACCAAACAGAAAAGAATGAAGAAACAAGAATTCAAAAAAATGAGGAGAGGCTTAGGAACCTCCAGGACATCTTTCAACATTCCAATATCCGAATCACAGGCATACCAGAAGGGGAAGAAGAAGAGCACAAAGTGGAAAACTTATTTGAACAAATAATAAAGGAGAACTTCCCCATTCTGGCAAAGGAAATAGACTTCCAGGAAATCCAGGAAGCTCAGAGAGTCCCAAAGAACTTGGACCCAAGAAGGAGCACACCAAGGCACATCATCATTACATTACCCAAGATTAAAATGAAGGAGAGAATTCTCGAAGCAGCAAGAGATAAGGGGACAGTCACCTATAAAAAAGTTCCCGTAAGAGTGTCAGCTGATTTCTCAAAAGAGACCTGACAGGCAAGAAGGGGCTGGAAAGAAGTATTCCAAGTCATGAAAGGCAAGGACCTACATCCAAGATTGCTCTATCCAGCAAAGCTTTCATTTAGAATGGAAGGGCAGATAAAGTGCTTCTCAGATAAGGTCAAGTTGAAGGAGTTCAGTATCACCAAGCCTTTATTATATGAAGTGTTAAAGGGACTTATCTAAGAAAGAGATTAAAAATATGAACAGTGAAAGGACAGCAAACTCACAGTTATTAAGAACCACACCTAAAACAAAAGCAAACTAAGAGAACAGCTAGATCAGGAGCAGAACCATAGAAATGGAGATCACATGGAGGGTTAGCAACAGGGGGGTGTGAGGAGGAGAAGGGGGGAGAAGAAGGTACAGAGAATAAGTAGCATAGACGGTAGGTAGAAAATAGGGGGAGGGCAAGAGTAGTGTGGGAAATGTAGAAGCTAAAGAACTTATGACACATAGACATGAACTAAAGGGGGGGAATGTAGGGGGAGGGGTGTCCAGGGGGGAAGGGAATGAGAGGGGATGGGACAACTGTAAAGGCATAATCAATAAAATATATTTTTAAAATAATAACAATTGCATTTTTTCAATCAAGATGGAAAACACAAAACTTATTTTGGAAAATTCCTTGTAACAAGTGAGTCTTAGCATTTTAAAATGGAATAGGTTATGGCTTGGCATGAAGTTAGGTGGGAATTATTTCAGCTTAAAAAAAAAAGCCAGGCTATTATCTCAAAGTCAGAGTCAGAAAAGCCATAACTCCAAAACTAGTAAGTGGGTTTGTTTCTGTGGACCCAGAAATACAAGTCACGTAATAGAAAGGCAGTTAACGTAGGATTTTGAAACCCATTATTAAAGTCATAATTTGGCAATCACAGAAATTACCAGTTAAGTTTATAAATATTGGAAATAGAGATGACTTAATAATGTTTAAGTACATCCAAATTAATTCTCCTGCATGCAGATAGCTTATATATACTTTTCACCAGGTGAGCCTATTTTGAAAATTTATATTTTGACTATATGAAGTTACAGTTAGACAAAGACAAGAGTCTGTATGACTAGAGAATAAAGTGAGCTTCCTTTGTATTAATTGTGTTTATTATTTTGGCTTCTTATTGAAAAGAATATAACTTTAGATGAGCAGGACTTAATTATGTCAGTTATATTTATAATAAATATTTCAATAGTTGTACTGTGATCCTAATTTTTGTTTTATGGAATAATTTTTCTGCATTGTCATTTATTATTAAATGCATTATTATCATCCTTATAAATAAGGATAGAAAAGAAGTAACAAAGTTGTATTTGTTTTTCTAGTTAAGAATTTCTAAATGCATTTATTAATTTGTTAATTTTAATTTTGCCAGCCAAACCTATGTAAATAATACCAAATTTTCTGTCAGAAACTGAGTTGCCATCCTAGTTATATTTGTAATTACAATTTGAAAATATGCCTTTATTAAAATGTTTTATGATTTCATCTATGGTTATGAAGAATTTCTTATAATCTTTGACTCAACCTGTTTATAAAGCTTTTCTTTAAAAAATGCATGAGATACATGGCCATGTTTTGTGGTGGGAAATTTACAGATGATGCTACAAGAGTGCCTCTTGGAGAGGAAGGTGGATATATCAACGCCAGCTTCATTAAGATGCCGGTGGGGAAAGAAGAGTTTGTTTATATTGCCTGCCAAGGACCTCTTCCTGCAACTGTTGGAGATTTCTGGCAAATGATTTGGGAACAAAAATCCACAGTGATAGCCATGATGACCCAAGAAGTAGAGGGGGAGAAAATCAAATGCCAGCGCTATTGGCCCAGTGTCCTAGGCAGAACGACAATGGTCAGCGACAGGCTTCGGCTGGCTCTTGTGAAAATGCAGCTGCTGAAGGGCTTTGTCGTGAGGGCAATGACCCTAGAAGATATCCAGGTAAGGAATTAAATCTTTCTTTTTACTAAGACTTATCTCCTAGTTGGAATGCAGGTCTGGGCACTTTCCATGATTGTATCAACGCATTTCTCAGAAAGGCCAGTGATTTCTTGGTTCCCATTCCAGTGGAGCTATTATTTTTTATCTGATATAAATTCAAATGTGACCTTCTTCATAAATTCTTCCAGCTTCCTCCTGTATGTGTTGTATTAAAATGAAAATGAGAATACAGGGCTTTTAATGTGATCATCTATCATCCTTTGCTTAGATATAGCACAGAATGACTCAGAGACTATGTGTTGGAAACTCATTTTTAAAAAAATCAAACCTCTAAGTAGATTCAATAAAACTTTTTAAAAAATCCTTAAGTAGAAGCTATTCCTCTCTAAACACAAAACATCCTTGGTGATACATGGACCATTGTAGCACAAACATTTGTCATTCAAGTAACTCCTACTGTGGTCATCTAACCCCTGAGTAAATTTAGCGTGAATTGGACAATTGGGTACACCTTAAAAAAGCTACTACTGCTTCCTGACCTCCACAGTCTACTTCACTCCTACCCCCCAGTAATACTAACTAGATGTGAGTAATGTGTTACTCACTCTTGGAGTGTTAGCTTTTGTAAAGAAAGAGTAATTTTACTTTCACAGAAACAAAGCACACTTGCATTTTTGACTCAGTTCTACAGATGGCATGTAAACATAGCCTGGGAATTTCCTTCATGATTTTTGATTTTACAAAGAGTTAAAGTTTATACCTTCTTATTCATTATACCAGCTTACATTACTTATGCTAACACAATTGTTCAATATTCCTTAAATTGTTTATTTAATCAACACATGTTTCTAGAGCTCAGGCCCTATTAGGGAATCTGAGGTTTGAGTGGTTAACAACACAGAAAGAAAGCCCCGACTTCACGGAGCTTACTTTCTAATGAGAAGGTAATGCTGCTGTGGAAAAAACAATGAAGGTGTTGAATGAACCACAAGGATATCTGGGGAGCAGTTCACTCAGGAAGAGTGAGTGCAGAGGCCCTGAGACTGAATTGTGCTGAGTGTTCTAAAGACCCACAGAGCAGTTCCTGTGGCAGGAGCAAAGGTTAGGCCTGAGAGGTAGCTGGGACAAGTGATGGAGGGTTTTTAAGCCATTGCAATGACTCTGGCTTTTGTCTGGGGTGAGTTTCAAAAGGGGTCATTAAAAAAAGGTTGTTATCAAAACATGTTTTTCTTTTAGGATTTCCAGAGAGTAGTTTTGACCAATATTTAAAATGTGGGTCTGGGCCTGGCTGCATAGCCCAGTTGGTTAGAGCATCATCCCATTACACCAAGGTCATGGGTTCAATCCCCAGTCAGGGCACATAGAAGAATCAAGCAATAAATGCATAAATAAGTGGAACAACAAATCGATGCCTCTCTCTTATTCTCTTTTTCTCTCCCTATCCTCCTTCCCTGCTCTCTCTCTAATATCGGTAAAAATAAAAACAATTTAAAAAATTAAAGGTGGATCTAGCGGCCTCCTTGATAAAGGCCCTCCATGTTTTTGTTGTTTCGCGGAGTTTTTGTCGCTTTTATTTTTCCTTTGATTTGATCCAATGTAAAAGTCAAAATTTGAAAAGACAAAATATCAAGAACTGAATACTTGTGTACAATATAGTATGTCTTTATATTCTGATTCTGTTGTGTAATTTCAGACAAGAGAGGTGCGACGTATTTCTCACCTGAATTTCACTGCCTGGCCAGACCACGATACGCCTTCTCAGCCAGACGACCTGCTCACTTTTATCTCTTACATGAGACACATTCACAGCTCAGGCCCAATCATCACACACTGCAGCGCTGGCATTGGACGCTCAGGGACCCTGATTTGCATAGATGTGGTTCTAGGGTTAATCAGTCAGGATCTGGAGGTGAGTGAGTACAAGTACAGGGTGAGTGAGCATTTGACCAAAAATGACGGTGGAATCTACTGTAATTTTTTAATGATGTGTTGAGATCCTGGAATCTTTTTTATCAGTTTGTATGAATGCCTTGATTTTCTTACTGTATAGAATTGTACATTCAAAACTGCGTAGGCCATAATAAAAAAGAGATAATTTAAATTTATATTTGTTTTACTGGGTTTTTTTAACCATGTGCTCTAAAGCCTCTTGTGCAGTATTATTTCATTTTACTCTTTATAGTTTTTAGGCTAGGCTTATACTTTTTTGTTGTTGTTTTTACCTGTAGGTAAGAAATGTAAATTTTGTTAAGCAAATTGATTGTTAATAGTCTACATCTGAACAATTACTCCCAATTTTAAAATTACTTCTAAATAAACAAAGCTAATAAGTGTGATATTGCTTAAAACCTAAATTAGTATAAACCTTACATAAACATTAGCATATAGAATTATACATAACATATAATTAAAACATTTGTCTTTAAAGAATTTTAGTTAAAAACAGTTCTTTCACTTCATACTCTATTATATCTACCATAATAATTTAAGTAGGACAAAATTAAATAGTCTACTCCTTGTTTCAAACTATTAAATATCAATGAAATAAAAATCAGGAATTTTATTGATTTAATTTTTTAAATTAAATATTAGTCCAGTTTCAGAGGGACAAGGATTTCTGTTGGGGATTTTCAGATAGAATGACCTTCCCTAATTCTTGAAAGATCATAAATAAAATTACCGAATGATAGCAAAGTCAGTTCACCAACTCATTTTGTCCAGAATAGTGTCCCCCGACTGCTAGAAGGGGAAGGAGAACAAGGGGTGACACCTGTGTAAGCCACCACGCCGTGAACCTTCCCGGCTCAAACCTGGCTGTCCTGACCTAACACATGGACTCTCGTTTGCTTTCTGGCAGTTCGACATCTCTGACTTAGTGCGCTGCATGAGACTGCAGAGACACGGGATGGTTCAGACACAGGTGAGTTTGGTGTCTTCTAATAAGGGTTTTTGTGAGGTTTCTGATGTTTTAAAAGTTCTGGTCAAACCACTTCTCTTTTGAGGGTTCCCACGTTATTGCATAAACCCAAAGATCTGTGGTAATGAGGGACTTTTTTAACATAAGGACTAATTCAGAAAAAAAATGAAAATATTTCTAGGCTATTTTTTTTTAATGTTGCCTTTTCATTTAAAAAAATGAGGAACTGCAGTATCTGCACCGAATAGATTACAGAGTATGAGGTGGCACGTTGGGGTCAAAATTGGGGAGTGGAGCAAACTGGTGTTTAATCAGCAGCATTCTTTCCCCATAGCCAACCAAAAGAATAGAAGGCAGCATTGTTGCTGCCGAAAGTCACCTTGAGTGAATGGATTCAGCAGCATTGGTTAGAAGGCAAGAAGGCAGGCTGGTGCCTACCTTGGACAAGGCACTGGTAAAGAGCAAAAGAGTGGGTCTGTTCGTCCTCTGTTCTGATCAAACCAGTTAGTTGCTCACCCACTGACCTATGGCCTTGTGTCCTTCACAGGGACTGCATTACTTAGGGTGTCTGCCTGCTCTGAGCAGATGGCTGTCCTTTGTGTTTGTGTTGGGAGGAGGGATGTGGAAGCTATTTTCATATATCGATAAATTCATATTTCTCTACCTCTTGAATTATATAGAAGTTTACTATTTTTATTATTTTTTAAAGATTTTATTTATTTATTTTTAGACAGAGGGGAAAGGAGGGAGAAAGAGGGAGAGAAATATCCACGTGTGGTTGCTTCTCACACACCCCCTACTGGAGACCTGGCCCACAACCCAGCCATGTATCCTGACTGGGAATCGAACCAGTGACCCACTGGTTGGCAGGCTGGCACACAATCCACTGAGCCACACCAGCCAGGGCAAAAGTTTACTATTTTTAAAATAAGAATTTGCCTACTTTTCCTTCTTACACATTTTTAATTCAAATTAAATCTTCTGAATATTAAGCTGATTTACAGTCACATTTTTTAGGTAAAGAAAACATATTGATCCAGATTAGCAGTTCTTTAGACCCGGGCATTCGGCAGATGTAGACTGGGGGCCTGGTGGGGACTGGGCTCCTTGTGGGTGCAAGGAGCATATCAGTGAACAAAACAGATATTCTAGTAGGATGCTGATGAGGAAGGCAGATAGTAAAAACATTAAATAAGTGAGTTATATAGGACATTTGAAAGTTATGCGTGCTTTAGAAGGAAAAATGTAGAGCAGGGTGAAGAGGATGAGTCGTCCTGTGTTAGGTGCCGTTTTAAATAGGTGGCACCACTGAGAATAACACTCGTGCAAAGATGTGGAGAAGCTGACAGAGCGGGGTCGTGCAGATATCTGGGAGCAAGAGCCTTTTGGGCAGAGCCACCTGTGTGGGAGTCCAAGGTGGGAGGGGCCTTGTGTGTGGCTGAGGCAGGAGGAGGAGGAGGCAGGTGAGAGGGAGGGGGTCGAGCCAGGGCTAAGGTTTTCCCCAGTGAAATGGAGCCATGGCAGCACTGTCACTCCACATGGCAAGGACCACTCTGGCTGCTGCGTTGAAACAAGTCCCAGTCGGGGGGTCGGGTGGGGAAGGGTGCAAGGTTGTAAGCAGGGAGCTCAGTTAGGTGGCCAGCAGGGGTGGTCCTGACTGGAAGAGTGGGTGTGGATGCAGGGAGAAGAGAAGTGGGTGTGCCAGTGGTTTGTGGGGTGAGAGCGGGTTAAGGATGAATGTATGCAAAACGTGGGAAAAATAAGACAGATGAGCAAAAAGTAAATAAAAAAGGTTACTTGTTTTCCTATACTTCATAGCCGTTAGTGTTTGGGCAACTTCCTCACTTTCCTGAGTCTGAGCAGGGGCGCTGAGAGGCGCTCTTCTTTCCATTCAGCTGGGGGTGTTTTACATTTCCTTTCAGACTCATGCATTCCTTGTCAAACAACGAGAAAACTCAGATCCCTGTGCCATCAACTTAATAGAGAATAATTTGACCAAAAAAGGTTAATTTTTGAAAAACACTGATTTCTGCATTTATCTCTTCCAAATATTAGAGAAAAGTATTTTGTGTAGCTTCTTGGGTATTAACCTCTTGACATTTCAAAATACCAGATGAGTTCAATAAATCTAGAAGAAATTTTGTAGAAAGTTTTTTTTTTAATTATAAAAACAAATCACACACAAAAAAAATAGAATGGCCCACTGGTCAGATATTGCTTCAGTTAGCACTCTGGAATATTTCTATCCATTCCCACCATCCCCCCTCGCCCCCCAGGGCTTTTCCCTTCGCATTTTATCAATCTGGCTTTTGTTTTTAATCATTTTTATGACACTGCACTATTCTGTATCCTGCTTCTCACATTGAATTACTCAGACATCAAATAGTAGTGAAGCTATATTTATAAAATATTCACATTATACATCTCTCTATATAGGATCAATATATTTTCTGCTACCAAGTCATCCTTTATGTCCTGACACGTCTCCAAGCTGAAGAAGAAGAAAAAGAACAGCCGCAGCCTCTGAAGTGACCTGAAAAAACAGCCTTCTGGGTGCCTTTCTGGTTCTCGCCTTAACATCCAGCAGATGCTCCTGTTACCCATTAAAAACAAAGACCGCAGGACAGCAAGTCCGCACGGCGTCGGCACGCCCGCCCCTCTGCCTCAGAGGGGCGTTCTTCATCACAGTGGGTCACCTCGCGGTGCTCTGTTTGTACAGCTACTTAACCTGTGATAGTTATTTTTCAAAAAATTTAACACTGAATAATGCAGCTCTTAGGGACAATTAAGGCAGCATTTAATTATAGTGGACATTGTTACAAGGACACACTGAGTCTATTTTTAATGTATCTTGTTTATAGAAAAATTATTTTCCAGTATTTCAATAAAGTAGTATTTTATAGGGATACTTAAAACCAATATTTAAGCTTTAAATGACAGTAGTATTGGCATAGGAAAAAAGTAGCAAATGTTTACTGTATCAATTTCTAATGTTTACTATATAGAATTTACTATAATATATTTATATATACTTTTTTCTGAAAATGGAGGGATCAGATGTTTGTAACTGCATCGTCCATTTGTTATACATCATCTCACGTTGTAAATAAAAATACACTTTAAAATATGAAAAAGCCCAAAGTGTGTGCAGACAAATTAAATCTTTTCCGTGTGTTACTTTTTTTCTAATGACACCCAGGCCCCAGGCTGGTGAGGACTGCTGGACCCCAGTCTCCCTCTCCCCACCCGGGCCCAGTGGTGCCGGCCTCGGGGGCCCAGGGTCATCAGGAACCACGGCAGATCCTGAGGCAGATCCTGATCAAGGTCAGGCGTGTGGGGCAGGCACCAACGGGCCGTAGCTAAGAAATTCAGTCTCCCTCGCTGGGAGCGGTGCCAGCTTACTGCACTTGCACCTAAATCCAAATGTGTTAGAGTTCTAGATGTGGCCCAGAATATCTCAGATGGTAAGGAGTAACGAAAGAGAACAGTAGTATCACACTGCCTAGAGATTCATATTTGGTTTTTCCTGAAGGGAAAGAGATTAACCTCAAGAGCCTGCTTCTGTTTTTCATTACTGAACATGTCTTATTAAATCCATTCTTGACAGCATACCTCCCCTCTGTGGGAGTGGTGGGTGCCTTTCCAAGAGCCAGGAAACTGCTTGGTTTATCCTGGTAGGATTGACCAACTCTGAGTTAGTTAACTTGAATTTCTGATCACACCCAAGTGCAGGAATTTGCTAGGACCTATTCCTTTGTGTCTGAGCTACACCAGGGCTGCCAGGAGCCCGTGTCAGTCAGTGCACGGTGCCCCGCAGTGGTGTGTTTGACCCCTCACCAGGCAGCCGGTTTGAACCCTACTCAGTAGTGGCTTCAAATCTGGCAAAAGCAGCAGCACCACCACCACCATATTCATTTTATTAAGAACAGTTTTTGTAATTGGGGTTGTAGCTGAGGATTTCTTTTTTTTTTTTTAGTTTCTGTTGCTTTAAAAAATGTTGGGAAACTCCTGTCTTGTGTGAGTTGGAATCATGAGGCCTTGATTTCCTGTCTAAGCGCAGGAAACTAGGCCAGCAGGACCCTTGGAGCCAGGACAGCTGGAGGTGATTATCCACCATCTGAATTCAGCAGAGATGGGAGAGGGAGAAGCTGAAGAAAGATCCCTCCTCAATGAAAACGGGGGGAGGGAAATGCAGGTTTCAGTTTACAGGCCCTGGGAACTTCATTGTAGTAAACTTTACCGTCCTCCTTGGGGACCTGGTTCCACTATTGGAGTGTGATGAGCCATCTGCTAGGGCCACACTGGTTCGAAAGCACGGCAAGGCCACAGAGCCAGGGTGGCATACGGTGTCAAATGAATGAATAAATACAGTTAACTGGGCTCTTAACCCACAGTGGATAACTAAGGACTATAAAATATACCCCCAAATATATAATGGCTCAAACATAATCATTTCTCACCTAACAGTTCTGGGCAGGAGAAGAGCTCAGCGGGGCAGCTCTCCTCCCAGTTTTCGGGAGCCTAGCCTGGAGGAGGTTCTGTAATCGACACATAGCTTCCAAGGTTGTACTGGGAATCAGCGCCATTCCCCTAGCCTGAAAGGGGAAAGTGTGGAGCGCCACCGTGGGAGGGTTGCAAGAGTCAGGCAGGCCTGGAAACAAAGCGTGCGGCTGCCACTCATTCCAGCAGCAAGAACTGGTCAAACAGCACCCGCCCACCCACCCAGTACAAGGAAGCTGGGAAATGAGTTGGGCAACCAGGTGTTTCCTGTGACAGGCCACTCCGCCATGGAAGGGAAACACACATTGGGATGGAATTACAAAACTGAACCAGAGTGGTATATTCTAAAAGAACGGTATCTTACTTAGTGTAGTCCTGAGCATTGCATTTTATCTCCACATCAAACCTTTGGTAGATGTCATCAGCAGAAATCTTTCTGAATTATCATGATAGAAAAAAATGAATATGGAGAGAAATGCATGTGGAGATGCTCACATCTGTGGTTCACGATACTCTGCCAGATCTCGATTTTAAAATGACTAGCTAAATGATATGTGGTGAAGCCAAGAAATTTTTAAAAATAGCTATCCTCTGGTCATTGATACCTGGACAGTAAGAGAATGTATTCCTGTTTCAGATAATTCAGAAATATTCAAGATACTTGATCATGGTGGAGAAAAATATGACAAATTATGCATTCACCTACATAATACTTTTAAGCTAATTTAAATGTTAACATAAATTTGGAACTGCATTTGACTATTTGATTGCAAGGAACTAAAAACCAACTACATGCACTTACACAAATTAAAAATTTCATTTAAAAAAAACAGGTTTACAAGGAGGCCATTTCTGTGATTGATTCTATAGTTCAAGAATGTCAACAGCAGCCCTGGCTGGTGTAGCTCAGTGGATTCAGCACAGGCCTGTGAAGCAAAGGGTCACCAGTTTGATTCCCAGTCAAGGCACACGCCTGCGTTGCAGGCCAGGTCCCCCAGTGGGGGCACATGAGAGGCAACCATACATTGACGTTTCTCTCCCACTCTTTCTCCTTCCCTTCCCCTCTCTCTAAAAATAAATATATTTTTTAAAACTTTAATAATAAAAAAAAAGAATGTCAACAGATGCATGAGTATCCTGGCCTTCTTCCTTCGTGATCTGGAAATGGCTGCTGCTCCAGCTCCAACTATTCCATCCACATTCCAGAAAGGGAAGCGGAAGAAATGACAGGAGAAAGGGATAGTGCCTAGTTAGGGCATGAAAACAAAATGTTCTAGAAATCACATGTAGACTTCCACTTCTAACTTGTAAGAACTGTGTCACATGGCCATCTCTAGCTTCAAAAAAACCTTATTTTTAGTTTAGCCATATTGCTGTCCCAAATGAAACCTTGGTTTTGTTAATGAGGGCAAAAAAAAAAACAACAGACACTGGGGATCAGTAAGCAGCGTGTGCCTTTCCAGTTCTGCCAGTTTCCGCCACTTCTTTAGTGGCTAACACTATGTCAATATTTAAAATCTTTTTGATCCCAGAACTCTCTGAACTTGTAACTGTTGAAAAGAGATTCATAGATAGGAAATATTTGAAAGTAATCTTCGGCCTTGCAAATTTAGAAACATCATTTTATCCCTTCACCCAAAATTATATTCTAAAGATCAGGCTAAGCAAACTCAATACATTTGCTGATAAACCAAGTTGCCAGTTTTGTAGTTTAGCCCACAAGCAGGATGACTAAGCCTGGACAGTGAGGTGGGGCTCTTCCTGGGGGGGAAGCACATACCCACAGAGGCTGGTTAGAACTAGCTCAGAGGCTAAGGTGTGATTCATTAAACTGGGTTAGGCTAAATTACCCTTTCCATACTAGGACTAATTGTGACTACACAAGGAAAAGAAGGGGACGGAACACTTACTGCTCACTTCCCACGCATCATAACAGGTATTTTCACATTGCCTAATACATTTCAGGCAATGTCTGAAGGATTGAATGTCTCTTTTTTTCCGGAGAGGAAAATGAAGACTAGTGGGACTGTCACTTGCCCAAGGTTGCCCAGATAACAGCTGGGATTCAGTTCCAGGTCTGACTTCAATCTACACTTCAGAGGCATCCCAGCTCTTCAGGGGGAAGGCAGCAAGTGGCCCTGGCAGAGCCCACGTTCTTTCCACGACAGCTCACCGCTGCACCCGCCCATCCGGCTCTTCTCCAGGCGTGGAGCTGGACTCATGCCACTTACCCTTATCTCATTTGGCCCCACTTCTTCTGAGCCTCATATAGGCCCTGGCTTTTATGAACTCATAATTATTTAGATCAGTTAGAATATAATTTACTCAGATATAGCTTTGTGTAGTTACACTCTTCATCCTAAAGTTAATGCACGGCCTCCTGGACTACTGGACTGTTTCTGGGTCTTCTCAGTAATACAGTCGCAAACTGTCTCTGGAGATGACAGTCTTCTGATGTGACTGCTTTCACTCACTTACATTGATTTGTGTTGTTTCTGCCTTAAAAAGGTGGTTTTTGGTAGACCTGTTCCCAGATTGTCCCCACTACAGTAAATGCTGCCCACGTTGACCATAGTAGCCGGTCCTTTCAGAATGGAGTGTTGGAAGTTATCGTTTTATTTAGATTCCTTTATAGAGAAACAATGTAGTTTTTTTTTTCTTTTGTATAGTCTTTAAAATTCATGGTAATGCTCATTTTGGGCCTGGGGATGTCAGTACACAACGCTGCTCTGCTCTCTGTGGCGATCTGTCCCCCACGGGCCTGTGACCCAGGAGGGCGGGAACGCTTCCTGCCTCGTTGTTGCAGTTTGTGCCGGGCGCCCGTGCACAGTGCAGACCAGCTTCCCAGTATAACCGTGCTTCTCGGGCGGGCACACGGGGGTCCCCGTGTGGTCAAGCAGCACTTGCGAGTGAACAGTCACGTCGCAAGTCTGCATAGTTCTTTTCCTTATAAATGTAGTTGCAACACCTAATGGGGCTCTTTCTGTACTACCATAAAGGTGAGCTTAATTGTTGTGACAATACCATAATACTCATTGTCATTATATTAACCTACAAGTTCTTGGGAATACTCACAAAATAAAACTGTAAAGATTTATCTTAGACAATGCACTTCCTCACACATTTTAAAACTTACAAATAAGAGTAGACAGAAGACACAGAGCTGTGCGCAGCTTCGGGGGCGCCTTGGAGTCAGTGACATGGCAGAAGACATCCAGAACAAAGTCAAGAACCAGGAGCCTGCCCCTTTTGACAGCTGCCTCCCCAACCAGAACCAGCCCAGGAACTGCTGGCAGAACTACCTGGACTCCCCCCGCTGTGAGAAGGCAATGACTGCTAATGGGGGCAATGTCTTCATGCACGAGGGGTACTGGCGTGGGTTCGAGTCCCTTGGCCCCATAGCCTGGCTGCCCGTGGCCTGGGATGACGTCTGAGCAGAAGGCCCATTGCCTGGGAAGATCTGCACTGTCTGCACCCTGTCCCTCCTCTGTCCTCCATCCTTCTCCCAGGAGGGTGAAGGGGGACCTGGGCACATCCCACCCTGGGATCCTGAATCATGGCTTAACTAATAATAAATATTTGTTGGAAAAAAACAAAAGAATAAAAGAAAGTGGAACCAAATGGAGTCCTGACAAAAACACACTGTATAGGAAGTCAGGTGATAAATGTGGCATCTATCAAACCGGTAGAGAAAAGATGAATGATTCAATATGTGGTGTTGGGACAATCAGATTCTTAACACAGCACACAGAAATATAAATTCAAGATGGAATAAAATAAGTACATACTTAGTCCATGAAAGTAAGAGAAATCACACGGGAAGTATTTTTAATGCAGTGGAGGAGGAGGAGGGTCCTCCGATGACAGGCCACACACGCAGCAGCCGGCACCCACTGTGGGGACCCCCAGAAGGGACTCCCCGCAAAGGGCCAAACACACGCGCAAACGGAGTCCTTTCACAACTCACCATCCACTTAAAAATGTAAATATTCTAACACTAGACAGATATGTGAACAGTAAAGACTAATATGGCTTAGTATGTAAAAATATAAAACTCTTGTACTGCAGTAGATATTACAGAATGGCAGAAGATAAAAGAGTAGGTAGAATGTTGACAAGCAGGACAAAGGGTCACCATCCATATGTGTTAAAATTTATCAATCAGAAAGGAAATACATAACAAAAGTAGGCAAGGGACATGAATAAGCAAGTGGTCATAAAAATACTTTACTCATAATTTTTTAAATGCAATTTTACATGAGATAGTTTCACACAAAAAAATTGATCATCGTGTAGACGGTGCGACTACAGGAACCCAGTTCCTCCCAGGCACTGGAATGCACACGCGTGGCCGGGAGCAGCCGGCCAGCGTTCCACGTGCCATCAGCCTGGCGATCCCCATTGCAGGAATGACCTACAACACTTGCAGAAGGGCAGGAGTGTTTGTAGCAGCATTGCAATGCCAGCAACTCGAAAGCTAACTAAATGTCCATGAGTGAGGAATGGTTAAACAAATGAACCCTTCCATGCAATGAAATCCTTCCTTGAAGCCACTGTTCTGAAGAACGAGGTAGGTCAGCACAGACTGACATGTAAAGATGCTCCAGACGTGTCATTAAGTGACTTGCAAAACTGTAAGTGGGATAATCCCAATATTTTTAAACTTACATGTGTAAACAAAAATCAAGAGGTTATACATGTGCCTATCACTGGGAAGTGAAGATATGGGATATTTACCCTTTAACCTCAGTGATTATTAAATTGCCTCTAAATGTGTATTTCATCCATGATCTGAAAAGACTTGAATCACTTTGGAAAAGGCCCCATTTTTAATAAGAGTTGTAGGCTTCCTCACCAATGTTCCAAAGGACCTTCCCAAAATCAAGTGGGTTCAGACTCTGTCCTTGCCCTGAAGTACGAGATGCTCCATGTAGAATCCCTGCCCTTCTGAGACTGAAGTCCACCTGAGGATGACATCACACAATGGGCATCACTCTTCACTGCACGGGAAGAATGTGCTGTGTAAACCCCAGAAGGACTCCCTGAAACAGGCAGAGTACCTTCTCCAAAGTGTATCCTGATGATTACAAGCCACACAAAAATATAAATATTCCCACAGGCCCTGCCAATGAGACCCACGCATCAGTTCTGACCTCTCTTTACTGGTTGTGAAGGAAGTCAGTGTCCAGTCAGGCAGCAAGCCCCTACTACGCACATGAAGAGATGTGGCCTGTTGGTTCGAGAATCATATGGGAATCCATAGGTTCTGGTGACCCGGGAGTTACTGCAACTTCTTCATTCACCTCCAAGAAAGCACTGGTCTCCTTGGAAGAGGTGGGTTGCTTGTTATGGCAGCCTTCAGCACCACCTGGATTCCTTTTCCTGTGTTTGTTCTTCAATCTCCTCTTGTACACCTTATATGCTAGGTGTTAAAACATGCAAGTATTTAAAAAATCACTTCAGTAAGGACAATAATTGAATGACCTTGTACGCTAGTCGATACTTCCGAAGTATGTTTGCTTTGGGTCACATATGCATAAACACATAGGTAAAAAAGGAAGGGGCAAGGAAAATGGGAGGAAACCATGAAACAAAACAATTCAGTGTATCAGAATGGCAGTTTCTATCTGAAATGGGCCTTTGGGGGATGAGACAGTCATCAGTCACCGACAGCTCATCCACTCTCTCATCCGTTTACCCAGTCACCTCCCGTGGAGTGCTGCCAGCGAGCCCGGCCCTCCTCTGGCTCCTGGAGCACAGCTGGGAGTGCACGTTCCCTCCCTCATGGCCTCTTGTCTTGTGGGAAAGTTAAACCACACATGTTCCTTACACTGATTGTTGTATCAGTAATCCATATATAATCATTTGTATCAGCAATTGCTGAGACTGACTCAGAGCCTGGTACCTGGCAACAAAAATGACCATGGCCTAAAATTAAAATACATGTGTGTGTGTTCATATCTACCCATCTATGTGTGTATTTTTTTATAGGTCTCATCAATGGGAATTTCTTTCTTACACTTTTTCTGTGATTTTTTAAAATTCTTTTTGTTATTCGGTTAGAGCTGTCCCAATTTTCCCCCTTTGTCCTTCTCTCCCCAGCCCACCCCCAACTCCCACAGTCAATCCCCACTATATATATATATTATTTTTTAATTTACTTCCTGTGAATCTACATAGTGATTGACTCCAAAATGATGTATATGTGGCTGCATGGATAGGTAAGCATTCAGAGTGGGGCCAAAGTATAATAGGTTTACAGTTTTGAGTACACAAAGCAGAGATTGTTCTTGTATTATTATTTATTTATTATGGTATTATTTTCCATATGGACAACTGTAAACCTACTTTTGCCTCACCCTGTATGTATACACATATGCATATGTATACATATATACAATTAATTTCAATATTTGTGTATGTATTATACTTCATAGTTGAAAAATATGTCACAGCAATTGAGCACAACTCTTAGTCACAAAAACACCATGAAGTAACTTGACATTTGGCTCTTGCTGAAACACAGTAAATGTCAGTTTTGAGATAAACAATGGCTCGTGGAGCTTGAGCAAGTCCTGAAACTGAAGTGCTGATAGTGCCCTGTCTTCTGTGACATACTTGTTTAAAATTGTAAGCTTACTTCCCCCTAGTTTTTTAATATTTTTCTGTGAAACTTTCACTTTGTGGCAAAAGATCTCATTTATGCACTTTTTTCCCAAAAATGTCAGGCTAAAAATGCATCACAAGGGCAGCACATGTGGGTTTGGATTGGAAAAGGAGTTGGTAAGTTGAGTCAACAATTTTCAATCAGGTGTATCCATCCAACGGGGGCTCTACCCACCTGCAACAATGAGAATTCCATCCACCATCTGGAAGAGTCCGTAGGCCAAGGGGAAGCAAATCATCTGGACCATCTGCTCAGCAGTGAAAGACAACTGCAACATGGTGATACACATCTGAATATTCTGAGCTCCAGTTTCTAAGGAAATTGTCCTGCACCTACAATAATTTTTTTTCAAAAGTTACATCCTGGCAATAAGGACTATTCTTAAATGTTCTCTTACAAATAGTAATGTCAGCTATGAGCTTAGGCCACTAACAATGATCACTCATTTAAGGTCTATTTATTTGCTAAGTGGTGGGCAGTTTCCTGAGAGGCACCTGGGAGTAGGGCCCTATGAACCCTGCCCTGGGAATCTGATGGAAAAGTCAAGATATACACACAGGAAAAGCTCAGTAACACCAGCAGATGCTGTAGAAATTTAGGAAAAGGGTGTCAATGGTTAGAGAAGGCTTCACAGAGGAAGAGCGGGATTAAAGGATGGAAAGAGGGGAAGAGGCATTTAATGTGGGACAAAGATTGAAATTAAAGGTCTGGGGACAGGTATGAGCTTGACCCGTTCAGAGCCATTGCATGAGCTGAAGCCAGCCTGTGTGGGCTAGAGGCTTGGAGGAAATGAGAAGGGAAAGTAGAGTTAGAGGTATGAAAGAGCAACGGCTAAACAACACTTGAAAGTAGACTTTTAATGAAAAAAATGTCTGAAATGGTTTCCTTGGTGAAAGGTCTAGGAAAATACAGGAGAAAGTTTTTTCCACTTTCTTATATTTGATTAGTTTCCTAATTGCAAAAAAATAAATAAATAAATCTCACTTGAAAAAGAAAAGGCAAGAGGAAAAGAAAGGAAGACACAGGCAGGACCTTGGGAGCTGGGTGAAGCAGTTTCAGCTGCCTCCAGTTCACAAAGGGAGGCTTCAGGTTTTTTATAGTTGGAAGTGAAGAGGAGAGAGGTGCTTCAGAAGGTAAAGCAGCATCTCTATGCAAGCTGGATTGGAATGTGGGTGTGTGCTGTGGGAAGGGAAATGCCGTCACTGGGGTAGGACAAGTTATTTTGTGTCTAGTTACACCACTGCTTCCTATGCTTTCTTCAGACTACCCTGACTTCTCTCAGACCCACATCAATAACATGATGTGATTAAGCTGCTAGGCTGGACCTCACACCTAGACCATTCACTGGGCAAATGCGTATCTCAGTCCTGATCCTTCTTAAGCCACCAGGTGTGTAAAAAGCAAGAATGTTGACACTTCTCTATAGGAACACTTTCTCTCCAGGTCCAATTATATTTCAACCACTCAACAGTCGTATTTCTAACTTTGGAAACAAATCCAGATCCAAGTATGAACTCAACCACATTCTAGCTTAAGGCACCTGGTCGAGTTACCTAACTTCTCTGAAAGGTTTGCTCATCTGCAAAATGAGGGCACTGATAATATCTATCTCTCCAGCATAGTAAGTAAATGAGATACTCTTGGTGGAGCCCCATCCAGTACTTGGTATGATCTAAATGTCCCCAAGTAAACTGGAAACACCATAAAGCTAGTTTTAAAAATTCCCAATTCTACCTTTGGAATTCAACTGCATAGTTAACTTTTCTTCAATAATTCTTCTTCTATGTTAAAAGTAGTACATATCAAAAAACATAAAAAATACACCAAAAATATTAGGCAACTAAAATTAGTCTCAATTCCACTATTCACACACTATTAGCATATTTCTTCCAGTATTTTCCATGCATAAAATTATTTTCCTTCCTTCTATAAGATGGCACTCAAAGTGCACATTGTTTTCCATTCTTTTTTAACTAAAATGTATCTCTTAAGTATTTTCTAAAAGCACTAAAATTGATTCATCATATTCTATTTCATAGGCACATCAAGAATTAAATATCTCTGGACTTCCACCAAGATGGAGGCAAAGGTGGAGACGCTGTGCCTACTCACACAACCAAGTTTAGAGACAATTGAATATTAGCAACAGAAAACACAGCCAGAACACAGAAAATTGAACTTTTCGGAAGTCCGTTAACAACAAATTCTTCAGCCTGACCGGTAAGGGGTGAAACCAGCAGCTGGTGGAGCAGGGTTGCACAGGAAAACTCGGTCAGATGGACTCAGGCGCGTGGAATCCAGGCGCAGGGTTGGACCTAGTGAGCGACCGAGCAAGCGACCAAGCAGGCGACCACGGGGGAAACAGCGAGGGAGCAGGACTGCGGGTTGACCGTGGTCTCGCATTTGTACGCGGATAGACAAGCGAGGCAGTGGGCGATTGGACCGGAACCCAGCGGGTCCCCCGCCACAGCAAGTGGCAGGGAGGGCGCCGCCATTTCCCTGCTCTGACCCCACCTCCACATACAGCGTCATAACCCAGCGACTCTGAGTGGCCTGGCCCAGGTGAACCACCTAAGACACTGCTCCTCCGCACCCAGCTGTGAGAAGCGGCAGAGGGGGTCGCCATTTCCCCGCTCTGGCCACGCCCCCACATACAGCGTCACAACCCAGCAACCTGGGAGTCCAAAGCCCCGCTCCTCACACTTAAAGGGCGTGAACAGACCAAAAATGACTCAAGAAGACCTCAAAGCCCCAGAGCCTATAAATCTAAGCTATGAAGAAATAGCAAAACTCTCAGACGCACAGTTTAAAACACTGGTCATCAGGATCCTCATAGAACTGGTTGATTATAGCCACAAATTAGACAAATATATGAAGGTGAAACTAATTGAAATGAATGGAATTGCACAGGACACCAATAGCAATGAAAAGGAAACTGGGACTCAAATCAATGGAGTGGACCAGAAGAAAGCAAATAATGGCCAAACAGAAAAGAGTCAAGAAGCAAGAATTCAAAAAAATGAGGAGAGTCTTAGGAACCTCCAGGACATCTTCAAACGCTCCAACATCCAAATTATAGGGGTATCAGAAGGGGGAAAGGCACAGCCACCAGTGGAAAACTTATTTGAACAAATAATAAAGGAGAATTTCCCCAATCTGACAAAGGAAATAGACTTCCAGGAAATCCAGGAAGCTCAGAGAGTCCCAAAGAACTTGGACCCAAGAAGGAACACACCAAGGCACATCATCATTACATTAGCCAAGATTCAAATGAAGGAGAGAATCCTAGAAGCAGCAAGAGCTAAGGGGACAGTCACCTACAAAAGAGTCCCCATCAGACTGTCAGCGAATTTCTCAAAAGAGACCTTACAGGCAAGAAGGGGCTGGAAAGAGATATTCCAAGTCATGAAATCCAAAGACCTACAACCAAGATTGCTCTATCCAGCAAAACTTTCATTTAGAATGGAAGGACAGATAAAGTGCTTCTCAGATAAGATCAAATTCAAGGAGTTCATCATCACCAAGCTCTTATTATATGAAATGTTAAAGGGACCTATCTAAGAAAAAGAAGATAAAAATATGAACAGTGAAAGGACAGCAAACTCACAGTTATTAACAACTACACCTAAAACAAAAGCAAACTAAGAGGACAGCTAGATCAGGAGTGGAAACATAGAAATGAAGATCTCAAGGAGGGTTAGCAACAGGGGAGTGTGAGGAGAAGTGGGGAGAAGGTACAGAAAATAAGTAGCATAGACAGTAGATAGAAAATAGATGGGGGGGCAAGAATAGTATGGAAATATAGAATCTATAGGACTTGAGACACATGGTCATAAACTAAAGGGGGGGTAATGGTGGGGATGGGGGGTAGGGTGGAGGGGAATGAAGGGGGGAATAGAACAACTGTAACAGCATAATCAATAAAAAAATTTTTTTAAAGAATTAAATATCTCTGTATTACAAAATATTTACATTATTTCTATTTTTACATTTATGAATAACACTGCAATTAACATCCTTGCACATCAACATTTGTCTATCTGACAGCTTCAGGACAGAGCTCTAGAAGTAAAACAACTGAGTTAACTACAAATATTCATATGGTTATTGATAAGACTTGTCTTCTAGAGAGTTCATGCCAATTTGTTCCCCCACAGTGGAAACTAATGCTCACATCATCTATTCCAATAACATGGAATATTACCATTTTTAATATTTCATAGTACTTATAAATTCTATCCCCCAACTTGTAATGATAATATTTAAGGTAAATTTCTACTTTATTTCTCAAGTTTGCCCTTTTTCTTCTTGTCCCTCATAAGTAGCACTTTTTGACAAATTGGCACAAATAATGCATATATGTTTAATCTCTCAAACTTGCACATGTCATAGAATGGTCTCTGTATTTAGTGAAACCACCTCACCTCTCCTATTTACTGAAATACAAAGACAAATGTGTCCAGATTACAAGTGGTGTTAACACCCCAGTCCTACTTTCACAGATTATAACCTCCATCGGTTTGGTCTTTGCTTCATTTACATACAGAATGACTATGATCTTTTTACCCCCTTTATGAAGGGCTGTCCTGTTCCATCCACTTCGTAAGTCAAAACTCAGTATTTTCTGACATAGCCAAGTAGCAAAGCCACCAGTGGCCATGTGTTTAATTTATCCTTCTCAACAAAGGTTATGGGTGATTTAACTGTACCTCGGCCAAGAGTGGTGGGTAAGAAGTGCCAGTAGAAAGCCGGCAACATAGCCAATCGAAGGGAAGATGAAACTGATGGTGAGCAGGGCGGTGTCTGGATTCCAATATTCTTTTGCCAGCACCAAACCAGCAACAGTGACCGCCAAAAGGAGGACCCCACCAACAATGGTCCCAATCTAAAGCAAACCAATAAAAATAAGTACACATAAACATCATGGTCTTTATGTTCTATGATGCAAAGTCCAATTCTGCTCTAAAATCTTGGAATCTAGAAGTTTTAGAACAAAGAGAGGACATAGAGACCACTGGATCCAATCTCCTCTCACAGAGAATAAACCTGAGGTCAAACGTAATCAAGTGGCTTGTCTATGCTAGAAGCTGGTAAAGGTCAGTACGAATCTAAGTCTTCTTGTTGCATGACCGGTAAGTATCTTTTCCCTTCAAGTACAGGGTTTGGCCAGGAGGGCCAGTTGTATTTTTCTTGGATAAGATATTTGTAAAAGTGAAATCTGACAAGCATCCAACACCTTTGCATGTACCTCCTAGACACCTGGCTGGTAACCTCTTGTCTGAGATCTGCACCACCTGACTATCCCCCTCTCTTCCCACCACCCCTCAACCACCAATGGCTTCTCACTGTTTTGACCCCTGTTCCTTTTACCTCTAAATGAAACTTACCCATTCTTTATTGGACAATCTGAGCTAATTAATGAATATGAGAGGTACCGACAATTACCTCTATCCTCTCCCAAAGGAATACTGTTTCTTTCTTTTGTTGTTTAGTAGAAACAAAAAAATCAAGAACAAAAAATCCAGTGGTTTGAGTTTTAGATCAGATGAAAAAGAAGCAAGACCTAGAATGTTGGGGGAGAATCAGGATCTTGGCAAGCTCCTATTCATGCCATGTAGACAGAAAACTATGCATCTAGTTACAGCATCAACTTTGATTTGAAATGATTCTGGGAGTGGAAGAAGGTAGTCACGGGTAACCAAAACAAAACAAAAACAACTCAGTGTACCATGGATGTGTTCTGAGGGTAATTTTTACTGCCCAGACACAAGGACAGACAGGGTTCCTGCCTCACAGGAAGATGCTGGAACACACAAAGAAGACTTCTGATTATAAAAACCCCTCTGCATCTTTCTACCAAAAAAATGGATTTAAAAAAGTTTAAAATTCACCAAAAGCAATTTCTTTAGAAAATGGATCAACCTAAAATGAAAGGAGGATTAAGAACAGAAATTGAAGATACACCAAAATAATCATTAAATTATCCTTTTTTTCCTAAGGTGCTCTAGAATATTTATGCATATTACTAAATATTTTCTGCTACAAATCCCATGGAATAGCCAAAGCAAAGGAGTTTTAAACCTGCTCCTTACAGATAATAAAACTGACATACAGAAAATGCATCCGATTTCTCCATTGGCACTGACAGGCTATCATAGGATCTGGAAACACCAAAAATAATGATTGCTTTTTGTTAGACGCCCTTTAAGGAAAACAACTGAAGGTAGAGTATTTGAAAAGTAAGAGGTTCCCATGAACATATTTCCTTCTCTTGTTTTACAAACAAAATTGTGGCTATAAACGACCACATTGGAAATTTTCTGTGACTGAAATAACAAAGTCATTCATCTGCAGTCCAAAGGCACAACATGGAAGCCTCCTCCAGCGTTCCAGGCCCCGCTGCTCTGCCCGCTCCTCCCCCAGCCCTTTTCTCACATTCCTCATCTCCCTGGAGGAACCGTGGGAGTTGTTCGGTCTTGTCCCAAGCAGAAAGCAGCACTCGTTTGTGCAGGCAAGTGGAGTGGCCTTGTTCTGTCAGGTGGAGCCAAGCAGCAAGAGCTTAAAGCAAACCAAACCATAAACCCCAGACTCAGATGAACTCAGATGTAGTTGCTGAACCTCCAATCAGCCCAAAGTTTATTTCTTTATAAATACAAAAATAACTAAGACATGTTTGTAAACTCTTCATGAAAGTAGCATATAACACGATCCTCTAGCTTCTAAAACAATATATAATCACAAAATTAGAAAGCAACCCAGGAGATTAACACTCTTGTTAAGATTGTCTTCTCTCCAGCTAGGTGTTTTTTAAAAGCCATTTAAAAATAAGACATGAGACAGCCCTTCGCCCTGCTCTTCCACAAAACCATCTCTGCTCCCTGCACACTGGGTGCCATTTCACACACACCTGAGCGGCTTTCACCTTGAGAGCACCTATGCGAAGCCTTGGGAATGGATGGACCCTGGTTTCTCTCCCACCACACACAGGCTTTAGCTTTTCTGTCACTCCAGCAAGAGTCCCACCATTTCTAGGGTGTCATAACCCTGGGTTTACAGGTGTATGGGAGTGACAGAAAGGGTTAGGAAGTAGAGGCAATACTGCAGTTGGACCTAAAATGTAGGCCATGTAAGGAAAATTGCCGGGTGTGGGACTGTGTTTGCCTGGCTCATTTGTTCCAGCCGTTGCTCCATCTGCCTGTCTCTGAGTCTGAGGGTGTGCTCGCTGCAGGTGGGGCTGCTTACCTTGAGGATGATTTTGGATTGTTTTGTCCACTTATAATTCACATAGACTCCGAAGGCCACAGGAACAGTCAGACACAAAAGGGAAATTCCTGAACAGAAGAAAAATCTGTAAAACCTTAATTGCCAGTCCTCAGCAATTTCTACTTCGATTAGATAAAAGCTGTAATTACAGCTGCATTATTTTCTGCACCCACCTCCAACTTTTTTTAATCCTTGAAAGACAGTTTTTAAATGGTATATGATACTACTGAATGCTACCATACTTGGTCAATCACTTCTCTCACAGTCCCTCTGACAATCACATGGAATTTCAGAGACAACTGGAAATGGAAAGGTCAGAAAACAGGAGGACCCTTTATAATCTGTGATAGTCTTTGTTTCTATGTATGGTCCCACCCTCTACAACCATAGCTGTTATTCCCTATTAGAAGCCAATGGTTCATTAGCTTCACAAAGTAAGAAGACCTGTTTCGGACATTAGAAAGAGCATTTGTTGGACGCACCAAGCAATTTCTCATATTCTCCATGCGTGGCTAGTAACCCAAAAGCAGGTAGGGAAAAAAATGCCTTTTATGTAACACAAGTGAATAAAGGTGCGGACAGCAGGCTCAGTGGAGCAGGGGTCAACGCGCCAACAGCATCCGCTCGCTGACGTTTCTGGCCCTGGTTTCCCAGTGGAGCTGAATGCCTGCGATACTGGCTCCAAAGCTATATAAATTGCCTCTAATATTTTGGGTTTTAATTATTTGTGAATACCTTTTAGAATGTCACCAAAACAGACTATATCAAGTAATTTACTGACCAGAAAAGGTTGCATGCAATCGTGAAAAATTTTCCTCAAATTTTACAAATTAAAGGTCTCCAGCTGTTATCAGGAGATAGTCATAGTCATGGTTTTGAAATACAGCCCACAGGCTATAAGCCCTCCAGGTGCTTATTTGAGACTCCAGATTGACACTTTAGAGTTTTAAGAATCAAAGAACAAAGGTTCTACCAGTTCTCCAAAATTTCTGGCCAAACCAGAACTAGACCAGGCAGATAATTTCACCAAGCTTTTCTTCTGAGTCTAGTGAGTCCACGGAGATCTCTAAGAAAAGGACACAGTTTAATAAGAAATAATATTCAGGCCCTGGCTGGTGTAGCTCAATGGATTGAGTGCGGGCCTGCAAACCAAAGGATCGAGGTTCGATTCCCAGTCAGGGCACATGCCTGAGTTGCAGGCCAGTTCCCAGCAGGGGATACATGAGAGGCAACGATACATTGATATTTCTCTCCCTCTCTCCTTCCCTTCCCCTCTAAAGATAAATAAATAAAATATTTTTTAAAAAAGAAATAATATTCAGGAAAGGAAATAAAGAACAATATATGAGTAAAAGTTGTGACATGTAGATAGACTTTAATAATTAATAGGCATCAGTGATGGTGGGGTGAAAATGGAGACAACTATACTTGAACAACAATTAAAAATATATAAAGATAAAAACAACAACCGATAGGAATCATTTCTGTTGATCAGTAAAGTCAGGGCTCACGGGTGATGTGAAAGGTGGAGCTGTGGGAACTAAGGTCTCATTAGAGCTGCTGCGATCTAGTTAACCTTCTGACCATAATGAGTCCAATTGCTTTATAGTAAGTTACATAATTTTTAAAATAATGAAGTTTTCTGGCTTTATTTTTAAAAGTGAACTCTTGTAGGAGTTAAGAGCTTGGACTCTGCAGTTAGGTTCCTGAACCAGATATTCTAGATTTTCCCTTAGCAACTGTACAAACTTGGCCAACTTATTTAACCTCCCTGATCCTGAAAATCTAGGCAATGGAACTAGTAGTAGAATCTGTATTGTAGGGTTGCTCAGAGAATTAAATCAAGTAACATAAACACCCCTGCACAAAGGAGGCACCGAGTAAACAATCACCAGTATTGTTACTATCACCATTCCTGTTCCTGTCTCATTTCACAAGCTCATACACACCTATGTTCTGATATGGAATGGTGAAATTCTGCTCAACATTCCAGGACAAGGTGTAGAGATAGAGGCAAAGTGGCATCATTCCCAGGGCAGCCACCGTGGAGCAGGTCGTCATACTGATGCTGAAAGTAAAATTAAAATAACACGTAAGAAGGAGAGTTTGAAATGAAGAAATTAGTCCCACACCAAAAGCCACTCCCAGACACAACATCTTAGAGCTGACATGGAGTAACTTACTTGAAGCTTACTCCTGTCTTGTTATTCAATAAATGACGGTTGCACTTGTGGGCTACAAAAAGATTTCCAGCAGTTTTTGACCTCCGTCTATTAACCCTTATTTACTTGAAGATATACTTGTCCTAAACATTTTGCTAGTGATAGTAATAGGATTTTTTTCCATACCTAGTTTTTTTCCATTGAGATACAATTTATAGATCATAAAATTCATCATTTTAAAGCACTTTTAATATATTCACAAGGTTGTGCAAAAACAACACCTATTTCCAGAATATCTTTATCAAAAAATAAATCAAACAAAAGATACAACCCACCCTGGCTAGTGTGGCTCAATGGATTGAATGCCAGCCTGTAAAACAAAAGGTGGCCAGTTTGATCCCCAGTCAGGGCACGTGCCTGGGTGGTGGTGGGTCAGGTCCTCAGTAAGGAGAGTGGGAGAGACAGCCACACACTGGTGTTTCTCTCCCTTTCTCCCTCCCTTCCCCTCTTTCTGAAAGTAAATAAATAAAATCTTTTTTAAAAACGCACCCCATTAGCAGTCACTCCCCATTCCCTTCTTTCCCCAGACTCTGGCAACCGATGATCAATCTACTTTCTGACTTTATAGGATTGCTTATTCAGGACATTTCTCATAAGTTCAAGTGTGTGTGTGTGTGTGTGTGTGTGTGTGTGTGTGTGTGTGTGTGGCTTCTGCCACATGGCAAGTTTTCAAGGTTCGGCCATGTTTTAGTATGTATCAGTAGTTCAATCCTTTTATGACCGAATGTTATCTTGATTACTGTAGTTTTATTATACTGTATAAAATAAGTTATTGCTCCATAAATTTGTAATATATTGTTTGTATTTTTCCAGCTATGTAAGGTCTATTTTTTCGTCTTTATTTTAGTTGGAGAAAATCACTTGGTTACACATTAAAATACAGAAGCATGTATGAGTATACATAAAATACATAAGCATGCATAATGAGAGACCAGGAACTGGGGAGCAGAGTTTTGGGGGCCCCCTGCTCTCACCTGGGAAGAGGGAGAAACGTGCCTGGTGCAGGGAAAGCTCAGACGGAGACGAGGGAGAGAGCCAGGAGGTTCGTTCCATGAAAGAGAAGAACCAAGAGGTTCCAACTAAAGGCAAAACGCCAACAAGAGATCAGAGAGGATGAGAACCCAAGAAGTTGATTAGTGCCATCCAACTTCCCCCCAATTTTATGGGTCTCCACCCCAAATTGATTCTTCCCATCTCCCTCCCCCACTGCCAACTCCCCCAAGTTATTTTCTCTCCCTATCTGGGTGATGGAACCAGTGAAAGAATACATCAGTAAAATTAGGGGAAGTAAGGTAAATGGAAATGAGATATCCTCCAAGCCAACTAAATATTTTATCATTAAATTGTTGGAAAAATTACGCAATGTGTTTATACAAGTACACACTGTTTACAGACACCATGAATGCTGCTCTACCTGACGAACTGAGGCAAATAACACACCACACAACACAACCCAGGGGTAAAGTAAGACTTCATTCACTTCAATACCAGGCCCCGAAAGTCTGCGAACGTTCCAATATACACTGTTTAAGTTCCCACGCCAGACTGCCTTACACATAGCATGGGCCCCGTCTGTTCCCATGGCACAAATGGCTGCAAAACTGGGAGGCAGAGCACCCCCCGCCACACACACACACACCAGGCAGAGAAAGGAGACCCTCTTCAGGGCTGAGGTCTGCTGCAGAGGTAACGAGGGTGCTCCAGCACTTCATCCTCGGGCCTGAGGGTCACGTGTCATTCTTCCTCAATGTACATCACGAGGCTTTCTGTTTAATTTCCCTGTTTATAAAACAATCTATGTTTACTTTGACATTTTCTGTCAGAAAAATGTTTATTATACTCTCAGCCAAGGAGAATTTATTTTACTTCAATGATATTGAATATAATCCTTCTGCACTCTCATTTGTGGCAGATCGAAGGATGGACCAGAATGCTAATACACTGGTGCCAGGAAAATGTTCTTTCTGCCTTCCTCATGGGTCGTATGACTGCAGCTGAGTCTTGAAAATCTTTGTGATGTGACCCCTTTATGCTGAACTCAATGGTAGTCACCTCTACCACAGTCCAGAGGAACAGAGACTTTCTGTTAAAACTAAGTAAAATCTTGCTCTTCCAAGTACAAATGAGAATAACATTTTAAAAAGCAGCTTTTCAAAAATCAAACTTAGATAATTTACAAGTATTTGTATACATTCCTTCCCCTCTTTTATTTTTTCATCAAGCAGTCCTGTTTTATACATGTTCGTTCAGTGAATAGAGATTTATTCTGTTTTTTTCTTTTTGAAGTAATCAGACAATACATATCACTCTGCAACTCAGTTCCTTTTTTTTATCTCCTCTTAATAATACAGATGTCCTCTCAGGACAACAAATACACCTTAAGCTCATCATTTTAAAAAATTGCACAGTATACCATAACATTAAAATGCCATAATTTCTTCAGTCACCTTGTTAATGATGAATAAATTGCTTTGAGTGTTTTATCATTATAAAGAATGTTGTAATAAATATTCTTTTACATATTTCATTTGAAGTTATTCTTTTATGTCTATGAAATAGATTTCCAAAACTGAAACTGCTATGTCAAAATTCTGTTTTTAATTATAAGATACTACCAGATTATTTTCCAAAAAAAACTGTTGCATTTCACAATCTTGCCTACACTGGATGTGACCAATTCCTTTCGATTTTAATGAGAATACTCTTACACAAAAGTGCATTTTGCTGTTATTCTGTTACACTCAGTCTCAACAAAGTCATATTTTTTTTCATGTTTGCTGGCCTCTTAGAGGTCCTCTCTAAACAGTGTTGCTGACACCCTGGCCAAAATAGAGACATAGGTAGACACACTTTTCCTCCTTGCACGACCATAAGAATTACAACTAACCTCAAAACAAAAATCACCCCAAACTGCCAGAAAATCTAACTTTTTGGAAGCCTGACAACCAAGGATTTAAACAAGCCATATTCATCCAGACAGGTAGGGAGGGTAGAGGCAGGGAGCTGGGGCAGAGAGGACGCAGTGTGGCAGTGGCAAGGTGGTGGGTGCAAGGTGGCAGCCGCAGTGGCTGGCAGAACAGGTGGTCCCACATGCACGTGCGGTAGATAAAAATCAGGAGGCATAACTTGGGAGTAAGCGATCCCAGCCCCAGGCCAGACCACACAGCCCAGGGGTCCAGCACCAAAAAAAAAAGCCCCATAACTTCTGGCTGTAAAAACCAGTGGGGGTTGGGGTAGCAGAATAAACTGCCAGCCTCTCAGGAGACCATTTAAAGGGCCCACACAATCCTAAAACATATGCAAATCCACCCATTCTGGGAACCACCACTGGGGCAGCAGCTGAAGGGGTGGCAGTCACATACAGGAAGGGGGTGAAATGACTGGAAATGGAGCAAGTGCTGAGCAAGCCTCCAGCAGCCAGGCAGTAGTATTGTCCCCTCTCCAAGTCTTCCTTCTACACAGAGATACAAAGTGCTGAAGCAGTTTGTACCACCCTGGCGAATACCTACGCCCTACAACTTAACAGGTGCACTAAGACAGGGAGTCAAAGCAGTTCTACCTAATACACAGAAACAAACACAGGGAGACTGCCAAATTGAGGAGACAAAGAAACATGGCCCAAATGAAAGAACAGAACGAAACCCCAGAAGAAGAATCAAACAAAACAGAGATAGCCAACCTATCAAATGCAGAATTCTAAGTACTGGTGATCAGGATGCTCGGAGAACTCATTGAGTATGGTAAAAGCATAAAAGAAGAAATGAAAGGTTACACTAAGTAAAATAAAGAAATATCCACAGGGAACCAACAGTGAACAGAAGGAAGCTAGTGTTCAAATTGACAATTTGGAACATAAGGGAGAAATAAACACTCGACCAGAACAGAATGAAGAAACAAGAATTCAAAAAAAAATGAGGATAGGATAAGAAGACTCTGGGACAGGTCCAAAAGTTTCACCATCTAAATCATAGAGATGCTGGAAGGAGAAGAGGAAGAGCAAGAAATTGAAAACATGTTTGAAAAAAACAATGAAAGAAAAGTTCCCTAATTTGGCAAAGAAAATAGACATACAAGTCCAGGAAGAATAAATAGTCCCAAACAAGTTGAACTCAAAGAGGAATACACCCAGACACATTATAATTAAAATGCAAACACAAAATAATTAAAACACAAAATATTAAAGTTTAAAGATAAAGAGAGAATCTGAAAAGCAGAGAGTCACCTACAAAGGAGTTCCCATAAGACTATCAGCTGATTTCTCAAAAGAAACTTTGCCAGTTAGAAGGGACTGGCAAGAAGTATTCAAACTGATGAAAGGCAAAGACCTACAACCTAAATCACTCTATCCAGCAAAGCTATCATTTAGAGTGGAAGGGCAGGTAAAGTTCTTCCTAGACAAGGTAAATCTAAAGGAGATCATCATCACCAACCCATTATTACATGAAATGTTAAAGGGACATATTTAAGAAAAGATAAAAATCATGAACATTAAAATAACAACAAACTCGCAACTATCAACAACTGAATCTAAAAACAAACTAAGCAAACAACTAGAACAGGAACAGAATCGTAGATATGGAGATCATTTGGAAGGTTATCAGCTGGTACAGGGAAGAGGGAGAAAGGGGGAAAAGGTACAGGTATTAAGAAGCATAAATGGTAGGTACAAAATAGACAGGGAAAAGTTAAAAATAGTATGGAAAATGGAGAAGCCAAACAACTTGCATGCACAGCCCATGGAAATGAACTAAAATGGCGGGGGGGGGCGGTGTTGCTGGAGGGAAGGGGGACCCTAGGTGGAGGTGGTCAAAGGATGAAAATATTGGGGCAACTGTAATAGCATAATCAATAAAATATACTAAAAAAACCAGTCTTGCCCTGGCTGGTGTGGCTCAGTGGATTGAGTACGGATCTGGGAACCAAAGGGTCATCAGCTGGATTCCCAGTCAGGGCACATGCCTGGATTGCAGGCCAGATCCCCAGTGGGGGACACATGAGAGCCAACCACACATTGATGTTTCTCTTCTTCTCTCTCGCCTTCTCTTCCCCTCTTTAAAAATAAATAAAATCTTAAAAGAGAAAACAGCCTTGCTTGTCTAATTTTCTTCTTTTCTCAACTTACAGAATTGCTTTTAAAATTAGGGTACATATCATCATGTGTAATACCAGTATCTTTTCCAAGATTCTGGTATATTATTATAAGTTGCAGAAACTTATATGAAGTCACATGGGTTTACTATGATTTGGCCATAGTAAATGACCCTGAAACAGTCAAATCAGCCCATTTTTTATGGCTTCTGACTTTTTTGTTTTGTTAAAGATTTCCCCATATCCTAAGGTTATTCAAATATTGCCCCCACTTTTTATTGATATTTTTATATTTATATTTTTAACTCATCTAAAACATGTATTACATGTGGTATAAGGTATGAAGTTAATCTATTGTTTTCTATAATGAAAGGCAAGTGTATCAATACTATTTACTAAATAAGCAATTTTCCACTAATTTAAAGTGCCAACCTCACTAGACATTAAATGTTCAAGTTTATCAAAATGTTCTTTTTGCTTAACAAATGCCAAATTGTTTAAATTGTAGTGTTTTGTATGTTTTTCTCTTCAAACTTTTCTTAGCAGTTCTAGCATGTATTTTATTCCATATAAAATTTAAAATCATTTTATCCTATTAAGAATGCTTACTTTGAGCAACATGTCCTCCTACCTAGATAGCAGATAAAGGAAGAAAAGCAGTTCTCAAACCTCTGTGTCCATGATAAGTGCGTGGCTGGGAAGCTTTTTTCAATGCTTACTCTGTGATAATGCTACATTCCCTGGCTCTTCATTTAACCAAGTCTTATAAAGAATTCCCTACTACATCACTTTACTCTTGAACTTTTAAAAAACTTTCACAGCATTTTCCCCCAACATGGCTTTGGCTCAAATAGCAGGTAAGATTCATGACTGTTGAAAGTGTGAGATTTCCATCAGACTGATTCTATATCCTTGATTACATAGGTTACTGCCTCCATCTATACACAATTGTTCAAGCCCATGACGTTCACAGGAATGGTCAAAGATGGCGACAGATGATCCCAGTGCTCCGCCAGCTGTTACAAATGACAACAAAACTGGAAAAGCACACAGTGGACAGGTGTACGTGCAGTGGAAGGTCACATCTTTTGTTTTGCTGCCATGAAATTCCAACATGTATAAACAGTATAAACAGAGGACACAACAAACTGGGTTTCTCTGCTGTTCACATATAAATTGTTGGAAAAATCTGACTTTGATATAGTGCAATTCCACTTTCCATTAAGAATGTCATCACCATTCCCAAACAATTATAGAGAATAAATAGACAGACTCAGCAAATCTGGAAAAATTAGTCCCAAACTTCCCTTAAAACATGGAAAGTGTGTGTGTGTGTGTGTGTGTGTGTGTGTGTGTACATGTAGCATCAATACATATATCATTTTGCAATTGGGGCTTAAATTATTAAGATATTTTATTTTTAAACCAATAAAATCAGAAACTGAATTTCAAAAACTATGAAAGTACATACTTATTTCCCCACTGAAAAAAATTAATTATCTGGATAGCAGATGAAAATGGAATAGGCTATAAGATCAGGTCAACAGACCTGGCCCTAACCCACTGATTTCACAAAGGAGATAACCGGCATCCAGAGAAGGAGTTGCTCAAAGGCACACAGCTCCTCGGGCAGACACTAAACCCAGACCCCTACGCCAGTGCTCTTGCCTGCCCCACATACAAATTAATGACTCATACAGCATTTTGTGCCGGGTGAGATTTTAAGCACTTTATATATATTAACTCACTCAACCCTCACAGCAACCCACATGGTAGGTTATGTTTCTCCCTATTTTAAGTGAGGAAACTGAGGCATAAAGAATTTACATAATCTACCAAGAAGACCCAGTTCTGACCCAGTAGTGATGGATCTACTTACTGGTTCCAGAGTGGTGCACTTAACTACTACACTGTACTGCCAGATCTTAGTTTTCATGCCCTGCCCTCAAAGGCAAGAACCCTGTCCATCCTTAGTAGATTGCAAAAGTGTTCCCAAAGGTTCACTCTTCTCTTATTCATGCCCTCTGCAGTGTGACTTTGCAGCTGATCCCACTGAGAGGCAACATCTACCATATTCCTCCATTCCTTGAATCTGGGCTGGCTGTGAAATTTCCATTGGTCAACGGAAGGCAATGAAAATAATGATAAACTGGTTTCAAGCCCAGGTCTCCAGAGGTCTTGTAAGCTTCTTTTTTCCAAACCCCACGACTGCTAAGTGATTAGGTCTAGGTTGTCCTGCTGGATAATGAGAGACCATGCGGAGGAAAAGCCCAGATGTCCCAGCTGAGACCAGCCAAGACCAGTCTACGTTTAACCAGTTCACAAATATGTGAGAGAGCCCAGCAAGTTCAGCTGAGCTCAGTCCAGAGGCAGGATAATTTCTTAGGTGGCCCGTATATATGGGGCCAATTGCTTTCTGGGACAGTTATAATGAAGGAAATGACTTGACTTGGGCGAGGATCAGGCCAGTTGGCTTTCCAGACTGTGGGAACAGCATGGGCAAAAAGAAAGTAGGAAATGTGCAGAGTGTTTGGAGAACAGCGACTGTCCCATTAAACTATAGACCAGTTGTGCAGAAAGGGTCAAATGGGAAATAATCTTTGAGAAGTAGGTTAGGCCTGGCTTAGTTTCTACCCAGTTTAGTAGGTGTTAAGAAGCCTTTATATATATCACATTGTTCCTTTTCTCCTTATAATACCACAAAAAAAGTACTATGACTTTGAGTTACAGAAAAGAGGTCCCAAGTCAGGATTTAAATACAAGCAATCAGAGACCAGAGCCTCCCTTATCCACTTACGACAAACCATGATGGAGACACTGAAGGCGGGGGGGGGCATTGTAAAGATACTGCAAGTGCCAAGAAAGAAATTGTGAGGGCCTGACCTGAGGTGACAGTAGTTGGGGAGAGATCAAAAATAATAGCTATGGGTGACATGCAAGAGAGTGAGCCACAGGTCGAAACAGCAGACTGAGTGACCAAGGTCAAGAATGAAGGGAGTCACGGGAGAATGCTAAGATGATGAGCCCAGGTGACGGGGAAAATGATCGGGGTCATGAGCAGACACTCGAGAGTGCAGAAACTGGTTCAGACGTGTTGCTCCTGAAATGCCCCGTGGGGAAGAACATGTGGAGGACTGTGAGTCGGTTAAATGAACACAGAGTTAAGGCATGAAAAACGTGTTTAGGGTCATCTACAGAGAGCCAGACTCAACTTCTTCATCTATAAAATGAAGTTCTAAATGCTGAATTTTATCCAGCATGCAAAACAGAATTTCTGTCTATAAAGTTATATTGAGTTTTGCTGAAAAGTTATTTTTGTTGGTAATCAAATGGAAAGAAACATAATGAATTTGGATGTTATTTTATTTAATAATACTGAATTTTATCCTTTTGGCAATTTTGCTGAGATTTAAGATTTTATTACTCTTGTATCTATAAGCTTTTGAAAATCTAATACTTTAGTCTCCATTTTAAAATGTTGTTTCTTACAGGGGACTTTTTGCTTTTTGTTTTAAGACTCAAAACCAAAATTTTAAAGAATGATAGAGTAGCTAATATTTATTTCATACCCACTATGTGCCTGGCATTATGCATACATATTTTCTCCTTAAAATATAGCAATGTGAGGAATAAGTAATTTTAACCTCGTTTTTAAAATGAGGAAATGAGGCCTATTGGTTAAATATTTTGACCAAAGTTAAAGCTAATTAAGAGAAGTAAAATGATCTTAAGAGAAGTGAAATTATCTTTTATAGACTTCCTACTCTTTGGTGTTTTTATTACAATGTTGGTTAATAAAGAAATGAGGGTAATAAATGTTCTCTTTCCAGAGCAGAAGTGGTTGAGGACACTGGTCGAAGACTGACCTGCCTATTCAGCACAGAAGATGTAGTATGTTAGCAAGCAGCATGGAAGAAAGTTCTTTAACTACAGCCTGATGAGAGACAGATGGGAAGTCAAATCTGCACTCTGCCGTCCTCATTTGTAGCATTTGGCAAACATTTACCCCATCTGAGTCACAACTTTCTCAACAGTAAAATTCAACATAATAAAAGGTCATGGACCAGGTTATTATGAGAGCCAAGAAGAGAAAGGGGTCAATGATGAGAACTTACATTGTCTTGAAGAGAGATGATGACTTGTAAAAAAAAAAAAAGAAAGAGAATACATGAAATCATCTACTGCATGCCTACAAAGGTACTCAAAAATGTTTTCTTTTTCTCTCCAAAAACATTAAGATCCCAGAATTTATGGATGACATATGTATGGACTCTGTATAAAGAAGATTTATCCTTTCCCAATTATTATACAAATGATCATCTTTACTGAATTTGAATCAGCAATGAGTTTCAGTGGGGCTTATTTTTAATTAGCAATGCATCAAGTGATTCTTTTCAAATCTCTGTAAGTTGGTAAGTAAAAACATTGCCGTATTAAAGTAAAAACATTGCCATATTAAAATTAATTGTTGGTCTTCACCCATTAACATTTCCAGGTGAAATGCGCTCCATGTGTTGCCCATTCAGCACATGCAGGGAACCACAAACCCGTACCTGCAGCTGACTCACCACCATCCACTCATAGCCCAGGCACTGTCAGCACCAGATTCACTCGTTCATCAAATAACAAATCTCAGCCAAATGACATACACATCAAACAAAGTTTTAAATTTATAAGTAATTCTCTCCCTGGGCAGGACATAAAACAATCTGTTCATCAGTAAGCAAAGAATCTAGAAAGATCACTGTTTTTAGCTCTTTCATTTTTCCAACTGTGACTCCTCTATTCTTTCCTAAATGTTCTCCTTTGTTCCCATCACAACATGTGGTTAATTTACCCTCGTTAACATATAAATGAGTGATAAAGCCTAATGTCTCCTAGAGGTATTTGTCCACACATAACTGGGGATAAGGTCACTGGCTTAAATAAAAGGAATGAGCGTGTTCTCATGAATGTTAAGGATGTGAAAAGCAAAGAGAAAGAACGTTTTTAGCCATAAGTCTTTATGTTGCTCTCCAAGTCAACTCGACAGGCTACCACCGGCACTTGAAACAGGATACGTCTATCACATTACCCTAAACTCCTTCATTCAAGTCCCCCATGACGTAGGTGTGCAGGCAACACTTGCTGATTAGAGCTACAAGGGCCTCACTCGGGGTATGCCACCTCCACCAACACCATCACCACGACCGTTTCCAAACCACTGTCACTGGCTTCCGGGGATTCTCAGCCTATGTCCTGGGAGATCGTGAAGCCTGTTGTTAAAGCTATCAGTGAGGGTGAGAATGAGTTCATGCCTAGGAAGGGCTGTTGGGGGAGGAAGGCACCTGCTTCCACTATTACATATAACCCAAACCCCACCACTCAGAAAAGTAGTTGCCAGTCAAAGGACAATCACAGCAAAGTCCATTTTAAGCTCGGAAAGGAAAGTCCTTCCAGGACTGAACAAGTCTCTATAAAATATTTCCTACTCGGTTCTCCACCTAAAAATTGGCCGAGCTTTCAACACGAAAAGTGTCAGTTACCTCCGCCCCCCCCCCTCAGGAAAAAGTGCTATCAGGGGAAGACTGAGCAGTGTAACTTACCTGAGATCCATATCTCCTTCAACCCAGAAGGTGAAGATGTTAGAGATGGTTCCTCCTGGGCAGCACCCCATGATGAGAACAGCAATAGCTAGGACAGGCTTCAGAGAGAAGCTGGTGGCCAGAAGATAAGCTATAAGAGGCATGAGCCCAAACTGGCAGAGCAGTCCCACAGCAATGCCCCAGGGTCTCTTGATGTGCAGCCATAGCTTCCTGATCTCCACAGAGCATCCCAGCGAGAACATGAGCAGGCTCATCATCAAGACTGACACCACTGCAAAAACAAGTTCCAGGTTCCCAGGTGCCGGCAGCCCCACAGGCTGCTCCTCTTCTGAAATGTTGGCAGGGCAGGCTGAGCTGCTGGAACAATTTGCTTCCATCTCCTCATCTCCTTAGGGCAGCGTTACAAATGAACATCTGCCAAGAGAGCTGGGCAGGTCTATCCTGCCACATTTTGTAATAATGCAACAAAGTCACGCATGAAGAATCATTCCAATAACTATTGGCCAGTCAGATGATTCATCCTCATCTGATCAATTTCTTTACGACTGGCATTATAAAAGCAATTATCACGGTCACGACGTGTATAATAAACTGCATGTGGTAAGTAAGGCTTTCCACTTCTGTTCTTACTCATCATTTCTTGCATGTGAAATGAGACAAGCAAACTTATTGTCAAGGGGAGTGATCGGGCGATGTCGTCAGCATCCCATTGTGTGCTCCAGAAAAGCAGGGTGGATGCCAAGACATAATTTCTCCAAATTCCATGGGGATTTCAAAGAGCCAGGATGCAATGTTTTGGAGACAGAGAGGGTAATTTCAGGGAAACAAACAAAGGCAATTAAGCCGAAGCCCAGTATCACAGCATTAGCAAAGCATTTCTGTTGAAAATATTAAAGCAAAAGGCTGCCAGCTAAGAAAACGGCAGGGGGAACTAAGGATAATTTCAAGAGAACTTCAGAATTAGTCTGTCTTTCTTCTCCCTACTTCTATGAGAATTTATGTCTAAAGTCAGTAATAAAACACCAGCAAGAATAATGTCATGTAAAGCACCTGAGTATGTCTCATCAAACATTTCTGTACCCAAAATAATTCAGGGGAGCTGTGACTTTCCTTTGTAAAATAGTGTTGGCTTTGTGACGCCACACCCTCGGGCCTCCTGGTGAGGTCTGGGAGTTCCACAGGGAATGTGGTAAAGAGCTTGTCTGAAGTCTGAAAACAGTCTGAGGTCAGCCTCTGACCACAATGGCCCAGGGGCCCTCGTGTGTTCTAACCCAGCACTGCTGGCAAAACCAAACAAGGAAAACGTGGTTCTGTGAAACTAAAGCTCCAAAAAAGCAGAGGCCACACCCTTTCTCACAGAGAGCAGAAAGGTTATTTGTGGGACAAAGGCTGATGACAAGGTGCACTTTATAAATGACTGTCTGTCTTACAAGGAACACCAGCTATGCATTGTTCATTTTTTTGATTAACAAATTCTTCTTCATGACAAAATGGACATGTTTCCTGTATAAAAATACAAGTTGAATACAAATATAAAATAAAACGTCTTTGAAGAAAGTATAAACTGCCTTAGTCCAAAAGCTGGGTGGAACACCTGCTTTTCACCTAAAAGCAGCTCTGAAGGTGAAACCTTGCTGGAGGCCACCAGAGGTGAGCACAACAAGCTGCTGCCACCAACTCTAGTTTTACGTCGAGAACAAGCCCACATTTACACCAAGCTTGGCGAGCTGTCAGAAGGCAACCTGGAACCATCTGCAGTGTACTTACACAGAGCCAAGCAGAGAAATGGACACAGGAACTGGTCTCATCTCTGGAAAGCTGCATGTTCCCGTGTGAATAATGCAGACAGGTGGCAGAGCTGAAGAGGGACGGAGGAGGGGGACGGGGCATGCTAGGGGCTCTATGCTTATGTGGCTGTGTCTGATGAAGCAGAAGTTTTAAAAAGGTTACTTACTAAGAGAGGTTATCAGACATTTCTTTCTAGATAACATCAAAATTTTCCTTGGCAGACCTTTGTTCCTTGAAGAGTCACTTCTTAGTTACACAAACTTAAGTTTAGTAAACTCCTCCATTCCTGAGTGAGGAGAGGCGATAGCAACTTGAGTGGTTTGCTTGGTACTCAGCACTGATAGCTGGAGGAAGTGTCTACATTTGCACACTGCACTGGAGGAGACTCCGCAAGGGAAAGGTGACCTTGGCCACTGCCCATTTGAAATGTGTTGTTTTCAGAATTTCTTCACTGAATTAGGAGATAGGATTGTTCCAACTGACATCCACTGTCAGGAAAAGATACCAAAGTCCAAAAACCACCATGAAAGGGATATCTGGACAGGTGACAAGTTACTCCAGATTCAGTCATCCTGGCACAGATGTCACAGAGTGATATAGGATACAATGACTGAGTGTGTGGTTGTAACCTGAAGAGAAGTAACCTTCAGAGGACAATAACCATGTTGTGTGCCAGGATCTGGACCAGAAGGGAGCAGTGAGTAAGGAACCACTGGACCGAGTGGGACCAAGAGGTCCCAACAAAAACCACAGCAGCTGAAACCAGGGTCTACCAGGGGACTGGTCAGGCTTTTCCAAGTTTCTCTCCATCTAGGGTTGGGAAGGAGACCCCTTGGGAAATGTAAGCCCCTGGATTTCTTGCTAAATTTGTGAAGAGTATTTTAAATAGGGGGTTCTAAACGTACTGGCTTGTAGGAATTCAACAATTACAAAATTTTTAAAGATACACCCAAAGCTGGTGAGGTGGGTCACGAGGTCCCATTTAATCTTCTCATCCATTCTAAAAGGTAAGTACTATCATTCCTGGCTTCACACAGAAACAAAGTCTTAGTGAGGCTATGGGACTTGTCCAATGTTAGTAAGCCAGTAAATTTTAACATCTGGATTTCAATCCCAGTCCAACTCTCAGCCTGTTCTCATTTCCCTAGAACACTCTGGTGTGGAAGTACTGCAAAGTAGTCCTAGCATGATCATGCTGAATAACTGACAACCATGTGGGCATAGCCAAGGATAACACACTATTTGGCATGAAGATGAAGAAAAAAGCCAACTTCTGGCCAAGATGGAAGCATAGACAGATATACTTTGCCTCCTCACAAAACCAAAACAAGGACACCAACAAATTTAAAAACAAAAAACAACCAGAACTGCCAGAAAACTGAACTGTATGGAAGTCTGACAACCAGGAGTTAAAGAAAAAACATTCATCCAGACCAGTAGGAGGGGCAAAGACAGGAAGCCAGGGCAGAGAGGATATTTGGCAAGGCACAACTGGAGGACCAGGCAGGAGGCAGCTGACAGGGTGGGTGGTCCCATATTTGCATATGGATAAACTAGGAGACCGGGGTACCAGATAGACCATCCAACCCAGAGTTCCAGCTCAGGAAAAGCCTCAAAACCTCTGACTGAGAAAGCCTGTAAGGGTTGTGGTAGTTGGAGAAACCCCCAGCTTCAATGAGGAAAAACGTACAGGGAATAAGAAGCATAACAGGAATGTTCCATGTGCATTTTGGGATGAAGGGCTCTGTATATATCAGTTAAGTCCATTTCATCAAGGGTGTTGTTTAATACCACAATATTTTTGATGACATTTTGTTTGGAAGATCTGTCCATTTTTTATAGTGGGGTGTTAAAATCCCCTACTATAATTGTGTTGCTGTCAATATCTTTCTTGAGTTCCTCTAAGATTTTCTTTATATGTTTGGGTGCTCCTATGTTGGGTGCATATATGTTTACGATGTTAATGTCTTCTTGGTGGATTCTTCCCTTGAGTATTATGAAGTGACCTTCTGGGTCTCTGTTTATGGCCCTTTTTTTGAAGTCTATTTTGTCTGATATGAGAATTGCTACCCCCAGCTTTTTTTCTTGTCCATTTGCTTGGAAAATTTGTTTCCAGCCTTTTACTTTTAGTCTGTGTTGGTCTTTTGTCCTGAGGTGGGTCTCTTGTAGGCAGCATATGTGTGGGTCATGCTTTCTTATCCATTGGGCTATTCTATGTCTTTTGATTGGAGCATTTAATCCATTTACATTTAAGGTTATTATTGATAGGTACTTATTCATTGCCATTTTTGTACCTGTGTTCCTCTCTGTCTCTCTCTTTTTCCTTCCTTTTCTTAAAGCAGACCTTTTAGTATTTCTCATAGTTCACTGTTGGTGGGAATGCAGACTGGTACAACCATTATGGAAAACAGTATGGAATTTTCTCAGAAAAATAAAAATGGACCTGCCTTATGACCCAGCAATTCCATTGCTGGGACTATATCCTAAGAACCCTAAGATACCAATCCAAAAAGAACCTATGCACCCCAATGTTCATAGCAGCACAATTTACAATAGCCAAGAGCTAGAAGCAACCTAGGTGCCCATCAGTAAATGAATGGATCAAAAAATTATGGTACATATACACAATGGAATTCTATGCAGCAGAAAGGAAGAAGGAGCTCCTACCCTTTGCAACAGCTTGGATGGAACTGGAAAGCATTATGCTGAGTGAAATAAGCCAGGCGGTGAAAGACACATACCATATGATCTCACCATTAACAGGAAGCTAAACAACAAAACAAACAAGCAAGCAAAAGAAAAACAATGACACTGAAATCAAGAACAGGGGGACAGCGACCAGAGGGAAGAGGGGAGGGAATTTCAGGGGAAAAAGGGGAGGAATTTACAGAAACTAGCATGAAGGACACATCGACAACAACTAAAGGGGGTGGAAAGGGGAGGGAGATGGGGGGCACGGGGGCGTGGGCTGGAAAGGGAGTAAAAGAAAGAATACTGTAGTTGAAAAATATTTTTAAAATAAATTAATTAATTTGAAAAAAAAGAAGCATAATGGGTAGGTACAAAATAGACAGGGGGAGGTTAAGAACAATATGGGAAATGGGGAAGCCAAAGAACTTATATGTAAGACCCATGGACATGAACTAAGTGAGGGAATGATGATGGAGGGACAGTGCAGGATGGAGAGGAATAAACGGGAGGAAAACAATGGGACAACTCTAATAGTATAATCAATAAAATATACTTAAAAAAAGATGAAAAATAAAACCAACTAATCTCTAATCTTTAATTGTATCTCATGTGCTCATAAATTTACAAGCCATCTGTATATGTTCAACATAAATACACCTTAATTTTGAGATTCAGTTCTACAAATCACGGGAAGTATTTCATGTATTTCTGTTCTCTGCAGGTAGAATTAGAGTGAAAGATAGTCTTCAGGAAAACCAACCAAAGAGCCTGTGCTCTTCAGTCTGGGAATGTAAATGCTGAAGGGAAAGCACCAAAAAGAAAGGTAATTACACATGGCTATGGAATTGGTTCTCCAACTAAAAATGGCCTCAAAAGAAAACTTCTAAAAGCTTGAAAGACATAAAAAATCTTACAGGCTCCAAAAGAGTTTAGGTAAACTCTTGAAAGATAGGTATGAAACAAGTTTAAAGAAATAGGTAGTAAAGAAGTAAACTGCTTACTCAGACATAACACAAGATAAAAAGCTTAATTCTATATTTAAAAAAATAAAACTTCAAAAATAAAAAGACTATCATCTCACAGAAAAAATAAAGAGACCAATAATTGAAAAAGATAATTCACAAAGTCATT